ATTTGATCTCCGCAGGTAGTCTTCAATTTATAAACAGTTACTTAGCAACAGTTCAGAGTTACAATGGACATCCAAAAGTTGCTTACAATGCAATTTCAAAATCACAGTGGTTGTACCATCCTCACACAGTTACATGATCACATTTTGGGCCCTTGACAATTGGCTCACCTTGATGGCTGTTTTCCACGTCCCACGGTCACATCACCATGATTTTTGTTCATTTTATTTTTGTCAATATGTTTATTTCCAGTTTTTGATAAAAAGCACCCATTAAGTAAAATGGATTTGCTCAACAACCACATTGTTTCTTTTTTTTAAAATTTTTTTACATTAAAAAATTTTTAATGTAAATTTTTATATTACATTTGCATATTTGAAAAGCAATGTGGCAGCTGAGTACAATAATTCCATTACATTTAAATATCATCAATACAAATCTCAAAGTATTACGACAACTAATTCCCTCTCTTTCCCCCTTAATATATACTGTCTCATATTCAAACCAACATAATTCTTATTCTATCACTCAAACAGAAAATAACTTTCTAGCATTCATCAATAATCTTCAGTTTATACCTATCTTAATTAATTTAACATTTCATCTTTTAGACAGTCAATGGCCTAATAATTTTTTCTTAATTTTAATTTTCCATTAATATTTTAAATTTAACGTTTAATCTTTTTCATTTCCAAATTTTAAATGACCCCAATTTCTATCACGGTTCCTACACAGTCTAAAGTTTCAGATAACCTCTGATCTATACATGATTCTCACCTTCTGCATCAACCAAGTAATAATACGAAGCAATATTCTTATTTAGTAATTCTCCAGTATCTTAGAATCTCAAATTTAGTAGCCAAAATTTCTTATATTTTCACACTTAGTATTTCCTCCTTTTTTTCCCCTCTTTATGTCTCCTATCACATATTTGAGACTAATATTTTTTTAACCTATTAGTATTTATACCACAAACCAATATACAGATTTAATTATTAGTATTTTACTTCTAACTTTTACTTAACCAAAAATTTTTTTGTCTCGACTCATAACAATATCTTGAATTCAAATCTTAATTGTTTTTAAACATTCAATCTTTTAGCCAACAGTGACCTAATAAGCTTTTCCCCGTTTTAGTTTTCCCTTAATATTTAAATTTAACGCTTAATATTTATTTTTCCAGTTTTTTAATTAACCACAATTCCTTTATCACAATTCCTCACACAATCTAATGTTTAAGATACACACCTTATATATAGATTCTTACCATCTGCCTTAACGAATTAATAAAACAATATAATATTCTTATTTTACTATTTATACTTCTTGATTCTACATAACCAAAGTTTTCTTTATCTTAAATCGTTACAATATCTTTTATTCAGAATATATGTTTTATCTATTTGGGTGTATTCTATTTTAAATCTCATGTATAAATCAGAACCCCAGTCCTTTTCAGTCTTATTCTAGCTTTCTTTCTTTGCCAAATCATCTTTCATGTCTTTGCTTTTAAATCATCAAGCAGATCTCCTTGTGTTGTTGTGGCTATTGTTTGATACTGAAAAGACCATCCAATTGCCTTTTTTAAAGAGGACCAGCTAATCTAATAGGTCGTCTCCTTGTTTTTCCATCTCGACGTTGTCCCAAAGTGTTTATCTTCTCTTTCATCTGTTTTTCTTTTTGATCTTCAGTTTCCTTCTGGTTCATAAAAAAAGTCCTTTCCTTTTTCTCTATTATCAATTTCTTTTCTGTATCTTCCATTATCTGTATTGGTTGAGTGGTTGAATCTTCTATCATAGCATTTGATTGTTCCACTTTCTCTGTAGAATTCTGTATAGATGATTCTTTAGTTGAAGTCATAATCTGAGTTTGCATATCCAGGCTGCTTTCTTGTTTTTTCCTGCCTTTTCTTATTTCATCACCAATTGTAAGTAAAGTTTGGACAATCGCTTTTATCATGCAAAGAGTTTGTTCCTGTTCTTCCTCTGCAGGAAAAGTCCATTCCTATTCTTCTTCCATTGTAGTATATTAAATTGAAAGCTTATAGTCAAAAAGTCCACTAAGTGAAGAGCAGAACTGAGTTTCTTGCAGCTGATGTTTCAAGGTTGCTTATGTCTTATCTATTTTCTAAGCAGTCAACAAGTCTCTTTTAGGTAGTAACAGGTTGATCTCAAGTTTAGCCACCAGCTGTAACACCAGAGTTGTTTTGATTTTTTCAGTTTTTTTCTTCTATTTTAAAAGAAAAAACTTATATCTTCAGTAAAAATAGCAAATAAAAATCAGAGAAAAATAAAGAATAAAAAATTACAAATCTTGTAATCCATCATTTTTAAAGAAATAGAGTTCCAATTAGGATCCCAGTATTTTTTCAACGTTGTAAGCTCCCCTGGGTAGTCAATCGTCAATGTTTCTGGAGGGAGGGCTGAAATCCCCCTTCCCTCTCCACAGGGGGGAAAGTACTTTAGCAGCTTGAATAGGTACAAAAAAAAAAACAATTAGGATATAAGAGAGGTAGATCTCACCCAGTCCTTTCCACACTGCTTTGAAGTTGCCAGATAGTGAGTATGGCTTTGGCTGTCTGCAGCCTAGTGACAAGCCATATTTCTATGGCTGGTCTTTTGTCCGCAGGTTTGGAGGGATCGCCGGCTCCAGCAGGAAAGCTACCACTCTCCCGCGATCCAGTGAGAGCCCCTCCTAGCTGGTCACCTCTACAGCGCAACTTTCGACCCTTTTCAGGGTCTCCCAGCAATGCGAAACTGGACGGGGAAGATGAGAGTCATCTTCTTAGCGTCCATGGCAGCCGCATGGCAAACCGGAAGCTCAACAACCACATTGTTTCTTAAAGACTGCTGCAATTGCTTAATGAGCACCCAAAACATGTTGTAAAATTGGGTCTGGTCTCCTGGTGACACATATAGTGACCACAACAACTTATGACTATAGATCAAGGCTCAATTACAATAATAAGTTGAGAATTACCTGTATTCTTTCTTTTTCTTTATTATATTTAATTTCTTTTTTCCATATCCTTTTCATTCCTTTGAGATTCTTTAGTTGAGATTTTACAGTTTTTGGTACGGAGATATATTGATTCTCATCTAAGAGTATCCTTTTCTTAGCCCAAGCCACAGCAAGTGGCAAAATCTAATAACCATGACAGATCTCAAAAAAATTAAGCAAAGAAAATATTTGGTTGAGAGACCAACAGCTAGTGCCAGATCTATGAATGCTAGATTGATAAATTTTAAAAGGTGCTAGAAAAAGCAATGGCAAGTGGCTAAAAAAATATATAATAATGACCAATCAACCTAACATCAATCCTGGGAAGATACTGGAAAAGATAATAAAAAAAACAGATCTGTGAACATCTAGATCAGTGGTTCTCAACCTGTGGGTCGGGACCCCATTTGGGGTCGAACGACCATTTCACGGGGGTCGCCAAACCAGGCTGTCTGCCATTTTTTTTCCCTTTTCTTTGGCCACGCCCCTGGCACCTGGTGATGTATAAGTGGTTGGGGGTCACCACAACATGGGGAACTGTATTATGGGGTCGCGGCATTAGAAAGGTTGAGAACCACTGATCTAGATACAAAGTTATAATTAGAAGCCAGCAGAGGTTTGTTAAAAACAGATCATGCCAAACCAATCTTATTTCATTCTTTGACAAAGTGACTAAATTAGTAGACCAGCAAAATGCTGTGGACATAGTATACTTAGACTTCAGTAAGGCATTAGACAAAGTAGACCACAGCCTACTTCTTGGTAAACTGGAAAAAAGTGGGATAGACAACATTACCAGAAGGATTTGTAACTGGCTGACACACCATACTCAATGAATAGTCCTTAATGGTACTACGTCTACATGGAGAAAGTAAGCAGTGGGGTACTACAAGGTTCCATCTTAGGCCCAGTACTCTTCGATGTCTTCATCAATGACTTAGATGAGGGAATAGAAGGGGAACTCATCAAATTTGCAGATAACACTAAGCTGGCAGGAATAGCCAACACCACAGAAGTCAAGCTCAGGATCCAAAGGGATCTTGAGAGAGTTGAACAATGGGCCCTATCCAGTAAAATGAATTTTAATGTTGAGAAAAGCAAAGTTTTACATTTAGGCAAGAAAAACCAAAGATATAAGTACAGATTAGGGGAAACCTGGCTCAAAAACAGTCACTGTGAGAGAGACCTTGGAGTCCTAGTTGACGATCACTTAAATATAAGGTAGCAGTGTGCAGCAGCAGCCAAAAAAGTTAATACAATCCTTGGTTGTATAAACAGAGACATCAAATCAAAATCACATGAAGTATTAATATCACTTTATAAAACCTTAGTAAGACCACACCTGGAATACTGCATCCAGTTTTGGTCAAAACACTAAAAAAAAAGATGTTGAGACTTTGGAAAAAGTACAGAGAAGATCAACTAAGATGATTAAAGGCCTGAAGATTAAAACGTATGAAGAACGATTTGACTAGTCTAGAGAAAAGAAGGACTAAGGGTGACATGGTAGCAGTATTCCAGTATTTGAGGGGCTGCCACAAAGTAAAGGGGGTCAGCTTATTTTCCAGAGCACCAGAGGGCCGGACAAGAAATGATGGAAACTAATCAAGGAGAGAAGCAACCTAGAACTAAGGAAAAATTTCCTAACAGTGGGAACAATTAATCAGTGGAAGAGTTTGCTTTCAGAAGTTGTGGGTGCTCCATTACTAGAGGTTTTCAAGAAGAGAAAGGGCATATACCTAGTTAGCTTGAGAATCTATCTTAGTCTGGATTGTTCTGTTCATCTTTATTAATCAATTTAAACTTGCTCAACAATTGGTATCACTTTTAATTTTAAAAAGTATTGTTTCCAGCTGCATGTTATACTTTGTAAGCTTTCTGCCAATCCTTTTTTGGCTACTCTCAATAAAGACTTCTAATGTAGAAACTGGAGATGGGTTTTCCTTGCCCATTTGGTACTTCTGGATTATTAATAATATTTTATTCAATGATTTTTTTGTAGATGGCTAAGAACTAACAAGTTATGTTCAAGACTATGTTGGCTCAGCTTCCTACAACCATAAATGGTAAATAGTTTCTTTAACATATTTATTTTTCCAAGGCTCTTCCACTCTGCTACGTAATACTTTTTAAGAATATTATGTACTGATAAGTTGGCTGGTTAGTATTGGGTTTTTCATTTAAAAGCATTGTTCTTTTGATCATTTTGTTATTTACACATCAAAATGTACCACTTTGCTCTTGGTTTTTATATTTAAAAATTAATCATTCATAATAGTACCCTTGTGCGCATACCTATCTATATATCTATATCTCTCTATATCTATGCTGATAATTCAGTAAGTATGAAGGATCAAATATGCAGATATGTTCATGAAAAACATACAGGCATTGCAAAATACATATTTTTATTTGTTTAATATTATTTCAAGAAACAATAAAGGTGATACAAATATACATTTACAAGAATGCAGTAAATATACTGTATATTTATAAATATATAGTATAAATAAATAGACAGTATAAGCAATAGAATACAAGTGGATAGCCAATCAATTGAAGTTAATCAGCAGATTGAAGATATCATGTGGCTAACATATTCTAATGTTAATAGCTATTAGACATTTCATATACAATTTCTGGTCAAGAGAAAGGTCTCTACTGAAGTGTAAAAATATTTGGTCACACGATTTAAATAAGAGAAAAGAAAAAACTGTAAATAATAAACAATACATTAAGAGAGTAATGTTTTCGTATATACGTACAAACCTCTCAGCACCCCATCAAAACAGGAAAAACTCAGGAACCTTCCCTCCCACCAGGCAAACTCTAAACATCCTCTAAAGGGGCAGCCAAGCTCCCACTTCAGGTATCATTTCCCTGCAGGAAGCCAAGTGGGACTTAGCCTTCTTTCCTAGCTGTTCCTGACTGCACTAATACCACCCATACACTGACAGACATTCACCAGTTGTGTGGGTGTAGTCCTCCTGTCATCCCCAACATGGCTTCCCCAGAGGCCATGTGCATTAAATACACTCCATGCCCTCAAAAGAGAGACCCAACAAGGGAAGAATTTTTGATCGGTTTTAAGCTGGCAAACAGTGAGTTCTCCATATCGATGCTAAGCAGGTTGCAATCCAGGGAATAGAGGAACAGAGGTCCAGAGAAGGCCTCACCTTCTTTTCTGGCGATTTTTGCTGCAACTCCACTTTTTTTCTGCTTCAGTCAGGAAACCCATGTCAGCCAGCTTTAGATACAGCTTCCTCTAATGTTAAGAAATGTTAATAATATAAAGTTGCATTCTTACAATTTGTAAAATGGGGTTATATTTTATAACAATGAATTAAAATATTTCAAATAATGTTTTAGGAAGTTGTATGCTCCAGTCCTAAATATTCTAAATTTTTCAGAAAAATGTGGATGTCTAAAGAAACATTGGTTTTAGCCCATTTCTCCTGTCCTTCCATTTCTAAAATCTATAATAGTCGTATAGTTCTGAATCTGAATATAATAAATAAATTGGTGTTTTAATATTGCATTATAATTGGATTCTATGCAAATTAGGCTGCCATTTAGCAGAACAGCAGTAGTGATTTGTTGAGTGTAAGGGATGAAGGGCGTGGGAGAAACAAACATCTCTGCTTTCTAAAAATCTGGAATTTGAGCAGTCTTGATTTCCTAAGAGGGACTTTGTAAAAATGTGTGAAAAAGCAGTCTGAAATACTAAAAATAATAACAACATGATAAAGTGAAAAATGTGAAGGAAGAATGGATGATTCCCAAGAAATAACATCATTCCTGTCAAATTGATAGAAGCAAGATGGGTCATAAATGTTTTAGGTTTAATATTATTATTAGGGAAACAAAAGTTATTTTCCCCAATTGAACATAATCTTTAAAAAGTATTACTTTTTGTTTTTCAGGAGGCCCAAATATGTGGGCCATCACTTCTGAAGAAAGAAAGAAATATGATAAACAGTTTAACAGCCTTAAGCCAGTTGGGAATTATATTACAGGTTAGTGTGATCTTTTGCAGTGGATGGTTTTATGGTATATGATTTGAAGATTTAGTTCATTGAATTGCTATCTGGTTAAAAATATTACTTGAAAAAGAAATTATTGTAACTGTCAATATCACAAAAATTGGTAATGCTATAAGCCACATATAAAATTATAGTTGGCTTAACTTTTTGGAAGTAATGAACACGTGTTTGTGTTTATCTAATGATTGTTATCACAGTTTATTAGACAACAATACATGACATAAACAATATTTTTGGAATTATGGGGTACTGTTAGCTGTCCTAATTTTATACAAGATCGTAGATCTTCCAGGAGACATCACAGCAGGTAGCTCCACCTCACCAATTTTGCTTGATTTCAGAAAAGCTAAAGATAGATTTGATTAGTATTTGGATGGGAAGCCACTAGGAAATCCCAGGGCTGTAGATGGGCTAGAAAATTAGAGGGAGAGGCCTCTGAGAAGGAGGCAGTGGAAAACCATTGCCATAGTGTTTCAAAGAAAACCTCATGGACATCTGTGATGACACCAATAGCCAAACCTGGTTCAAAGAAGCCTTTAACTTAAGTTGCTTCTGGTTTATGGGAGTTTTGCCCCATATGGATTTGGTGTTTCCAATTTTCATTTTTTGCTGTTAGTTCAGTTCTTCCATCATTTTTCAAAGAGAGAGGAGAATAAAGTTAGGAAGTAGAGTCAAGTATCAGAGCATTCACACACTCTCCTGGAATGGGAGAAAGTGTATATGTCCCTTCTAATTTATGCAGATTCTGTCTCTGGATAAGGGAACAGACATCTACAAATGCTGAAGAGAAAAGCCGTTGAATAGCAGTCATGATCCCTTTTATCCATGGTGTCCCTCTGGTTGAGTATGATTCTTCAAACTAATCTGACATCTTTTCTAAAAGGCTCAAGTTTATTTTGTTCAAAGGCTTTGGAGCTCCTACCCAGTCCAGTATACTTCCCATTTTAGCCTTTTTGCCTTGTATGTCTCTCTCTCTCTCTCTCTCCCTCCCTCCCTCTCCTCCTCCCCCTCCCCTCTCTCACACACATACAAACACACACACACACACACACACACACAGAGTCTGATGAGAAAAAAATTAAGGTTATGAATTGCCTTTTCAGTAATAACATTGTAATTGTTCAGTCCAGGCAGATTTTATATCCTATCCCATAACTAAATGCATTAGAATCTTAACAGAATTATTTTAAAAATGTTTGTCTTTTAGAACAAAATTGCCAACTGAGAGTTTGGAAAGGCATTATTATATCCTTTTCTGTCCTCTGTCTTTTCTTCATACAGGTGATCAAGCACGAATGTTTTTTTTACAGTCAGGTTTGTCAAGTCCGGTTTTGGCTGAAATATGGTGAGCATCTCACTATGTGAATTAATTATATTAAGAGATCCCAAGGTTACTATAGAAAGATGCTGTTCCAACGATGGCATGAGATGAGCCTCCTTACTCATTGAATAATGTTATGACCAGGAGCTTGCAATTATATGATTTTTTTGATAGATCCCTATTGTTTCTGTATATGGGAATTTCTATTTCAAAACCGTTGATGCTCTCTCCAAAATTGACTCCCTTTCCTCATTAAAAACTATACAGCCTCTTGCTTTACTAAATTGCTGAGCAATGCAGTTGTAAATCACAACATCACATGACTGCATTTAGCAATGGCAATCCTGGCAATCCTTGCTGCCATTATTAACCGAAAGGCTGCATGTTGGCCCCATTCCTACTCAACTTTTACAGCAATTCCATGATGGGTCATTTCCTCAACACAAACTTGCACTTCCTATACACATTGGAAGACACATCTGTTTTGTTCTATGCAGACAATGCAGCAATACTCTCAAGAACATCTACTAGTCTTAAAAGAAACAGAGCACTAGCACAGTATCAAAAGGAAGACCAGCTAGGGCTTAACTATCAGAAACCAAAATCATAGCATTTGCCAAAAGCCTGCACTGCTACTGCCAAGCAATGCTGTTGTGCAGGGTGGCCGAAAGGACAAAGATGGGAGTGAAAATAGGCAGGTGAGGGAAGTTTAAATGCTTCTGAGGTTATAAGTTTGAACAAACTGCCAAGCACCTGAATTTTTATCATATGACCACATTAGTATCATTTTTTCAGCACTACTGTAACTTTGCAAGGTCACAGAATGAATAGTCATAACTCAAGGACCACCTTGAAGAGAAGAGAATAATTTATTTGACCAAATGTCATTAGACACACAAGAAATTTGTCTCCAGTGCATAAACTCTCAGTGTACATGCAAAACAACAAAGTAATAATAATCATAACAATGAGACAATGAGACAAGGTAATAGAAAAGATGAGAAGGATAATAATAATAATAATAATAATAATAATAATAATAATAATAATAATAATAATAATAATAAAAGCCGTATTACAAGGGTAAATATCCTAAGACATAAGACAGTACTATGGGAATTAGGTGTTCAGCAGAATGATACACGAGGGAAAAAACTATCTCTGTGTCTGGTTGTTTTGGCATGCAATGCCCTGTAGCAGTGTTACAAGGGGAGGAACTGAAACAGTTTATGTCCAGAATGTGAGGGGTCTGTAGATATTTTCTCAATTTTCCTTCTGCCCCATGCAATATACAGATCCTCAATGGACTGGCATTATCTTAAAAATGGCACATTTACATCTAAATCTAATTTTCTACTGTAAAATGGTCCTATTAAAAGGCAGAACTCTTAAAATGGATCTTCATTAGTATCATTTCTGAAAATAATTTGAGAATCTGATTAGAGCAGTGGTTCTCAACCTTTTTAATGCCGCAACCCCCAACCGGTCGTAAGTCAAGGACTACTCAACCGGTCATAAGTCGAGGACTAAACTAGTGCAGCACTGTTTGCAGAATGGGACTTTTGGCGGGCTCGGCAGGGCAGAGACAGCCTGGACAATTCCTATTGGCTTTTGAAAGCCAATAGAATTAGACTCTATTCAAGAGAGTCTATTCTATTGGCTTTCAAAAGCCAATAGAATAAAAGGGAGTAGCACAGCTAAGGAAAAGGGGGGGGGGGGGAAATGGCAGACTGCGTTGTTAGGCGACCCCTGTGAAATGGTCATTCGACCCCAAATGGGGTCCCGACCCACAGGTTGAGAACCACTGGATTAGAGAATCCATCCTTTAAAAAGGATTTTCTTTTAAAAAGTTTAGTAACAAAAGAGCACATTTGAATTGGATGCTAATGGAGATTGGTTGGTATTTCACCAGCTTGGTAAGTTTTCTTCCAAGCATGCTTTGTAAAGAAAGAGTTTAGATGTTATGAATGTGGATGTAATTTTATATCCTTTTCCTAATAGTTATAAATAGCACTTGGTGATCTACGGCCAAATATAGCCCTTGGATTTGTGGTTTTCAGTGTGCTGAATTCTCACCCTTGCCCATTGGCTACTTTACATACCAGGGTTCCTAAAGAACATGCTTGTGAGACTTGTTTGGAGATAAGGGATCAGCAACAGATATTGCTAGAAATAGAGGGAAAAACTTCATGCTGTATTAGGTGTGAGTAATAGACAAAGTAATAACCACTATCATTAACAATTGAACATATATACATACTCTCAGTTTGTATGCATTTTGTTTGTTTTAAAGGGCTCTTAGTGACCTGAATAAAGATGGGAAAATGGATCAGCTGGAGTTCTCCATAGCTATGAAACTCATCAAACTGAAACTGCAAGGCCAGTCCTTGCCTATGGTGCTTCCTCCAATCATGAAACAGTCTCCAGCATTTTCTCCCTTGATTTCTGCTCGTTTTGGTAATCATGCAAATATCTAGAGATTGGCCCCTTCTCTGTTATGCATGATAATGATGGAGGATTCTCTGCAGATTTGTATAAGTATTACATTTGTTAAAACTGTGTGAAGAAAATATGGCTAAAGATTATTTTGATAGCCATTGAGTACAGTAAAAAGAAGTAATTATATTTTCATTCTACTGCTTTCCAGTGTTTGGACTTATGCTAATTTTCCCAGCCAGAAGTGGCAACTGTGGTCATTTGGTGGAACAAATGAAATAATGCTTTGTGCATGTATAAGCTGCCTAACCAAAACCAGTTTTTACAATATCTGTCCTGGTGATAGATACAAATGTCCACATTAGTGAAATACAAATTTATTAAAGGATAATTTATTAAAAACAAAATGTTTAGTCTAGCTAGCCCTTTGAATTCTTTGTCAACAGCCAGTTTCAGAAAAATCATTTTTAAAAAGAGAAGCATATGCAAATGGAGCCAGTCATCTATTTCAGAGAGAGGGGTGGATTGCATAGTCTTGGACTGGTGTATTTATATTGACTCTTGAACTTCTCCAGGTATGGGCAGTATGCCAAATCTGTCTACGGTGGTGCCTTTGGCTCCCATGTCCAATCTGACATCTGTACCTTCCATTTCTCCCATGGTGATTTCGACCCCACTGTTGCCTTCTGCCAGCCCTCAATCATTGCCAAATGGAACCTCCAGCCTTCTTCAGCCATTAGCTATGTCCTACTCTTCCAGTGAGTACCCTAATGCCAGAAAGTTTCCAGTTTTGACAGCCTGATGGTGGTGATTTGTTCTCAGCATGTTGTTTAGTTTCCGAATGTTGATAGCCTGACTCGGGCATTTTTGCATAAAAACAAGCAAGACTGAAAAGCCAATCTAGTCTCCATTCCTAGCGAGTTTTTTTTTTTCTCCCACATGTATCCTATTTGTTCCATTCTCCTCTGTTCCCCTAGGAATCCCTCCCGAATATTTTGTTTTGTAATGGAGAACAAACAGAGGGGTGAAGGAGGTGCACTATCTCCCCTCCCCTACTTAAAAAATAATTTTCTGTTATTTATGCAAACTGCTTTTCCCACCTGTCAATGTGGAGGGAGATATAGGCTCCATTTTTTCCACTCTGCAAGTGGGATTTCTTTTTCCCTCTCCTTTGTCACTTCTTTTACCTATGTCAGTGGCATAAAGTCCTCAATTTGTGGTTGGGTTCTGGGCAGCGTCTTTTCTGGCCAGCTACAGAACCCATAAAAATAATGCAGCAATATTCCATGCACTTTGCAGTTATTCAGAATGGGGTTAAAGCTGATCTTTACAGCAAAATAAAATTTCATAAATAAAACTGTATAGCTTAGATTTTCCAGAACAATGTCTTTACATCTAATTTTAAAAAGGGAATAAAATGGAGGAGGAAGTGTGGTGAAGATGGGAATAGTAGAGGAAACAGAAAATAAAATATAAATTGGAAAGAGGAGTTGGATGTGGAGTACATTAAGAGAGGAGTGGGTATGTCAGAACTTCTGAGCTTGAGAGAACCAATAGAGAATCGGAGAGTGCTAGCTGAGGATCAGTAGAGATGGTGAAACTAACACTTTTAGTCTGCTTTGACCCGGGAGGCAGCTTGATTGGCTTTGCAGATGCTTAAATTACTTATAGTATTTTATTTCCCAGTCTAACTCCTGTCCCCTCAAAACACTGATTCCTTTCCTTAGGAACCCCCCCCCCAATAGGTTTTTCCCTCAGGCTTTGGTTAATAGGCATTGGAATCAGAGACGTTCTCAAAGCTAGTATAAAAGTTTTCAGATCTATGCACCTAAAAGAAATGCACTTATGCATACATTTAAATGTTTTTATATATTGGGGTGTCCAATCCTGGCAACTTTAAAACTTGACTTCAACTCCCACAATTCTCCAGCCAGGCATGTCTTAAAATTGCCAAGGTTGGACACCTCCTTTGACTTTCTCAATATTGGCAATCAGGATTCAGCAACATGGATAAATCTTTTTTCCAGTAGAGATGATGACGTTTTTTTCCAGGACTGGACTAATTATTAACCCATTTCAATATTTCTCTTGTTTCAGCTTTGCCTCATTCTAGTTCATATACTCCCATGATAAGCGGATTTGGTGGTTCCAACATTCAGAAAACTCAGTCCTTGATAGATTTAGGATCTAGTAGGTATGGATCTTCAGACTTGAAATATTAAGTCTCAATCAATAGACTTAATTTCTTTTTTTTTCCCAACAAGATCATTTCTTTTGATTATCTTTACACCTGAAGTGTAATCTCAGTATTTGGGAAGATTGGTTGGGAAAAAATAGAAATCTGCAGAAAAATAGAAGAAGAATGTTAATTTTGAATATCATGGTTTTTTTTTTAATCAACTCTGATTTATATTACAGTTCAAATTCTTCTTCTACTACCTCATTAACTGGCAATTCACCAAAGACAGGATCTTTAGATTGGGCAGTTCCTCAGGCTTCAAGATTAAAATACAGGCAAAAATTTAATAGCCTTGATAAAGGAATGAGTGGATACCTTTCAGGTTAGTGCTGGATTTAAAGATGAGTTTGTTTGTTTGTTTATATTTGTTTACCTCCCTTCTCTTTATTTTCTACAAATAACTCAAGGGAACAAACATCTTCCTTCTCCTGTTTTCCCCACAACAACAACCCTGTGAAGTGGACTGATCTGAAAGAGAGTGACAGGCCCAAGGTTACCCAGCTGGCTTTCATGGCTAAGGCGGGACTAGAACTCACTGTGTCCCAGTTTCTAGCCTGGTGCCTTAACCATTAGCCAGACTGGCTCTCAAAAATAAAAATACACAAGATTTATTTTAAAATTAATACTCTTTTTTCAGTAATCATTTTTCTGGTTTTGAAAGAATCTACAGATTATATCATATTGTCCTAGTTTTAATTAACAAAATGTTTTTTTTCTGCATGTTTGCAATACATATTAAAATGTATTTTAAATTAAATTTTAATTTAAAAAGCATTTCAAAGGGAATTACTTTGAAAAGACTTTTTTATGTATTGTGAAATAAGGTAGAATCTCCTTCAAGTCAAAGACAAAATTTGGGGTCTTCATGGATATACCTCTATAGTTATAGAATGGATATATGCTTTCGGGAATATTTTTTTCGATTCCCAACCAAGCCAGAGCCCTGGATTTCCTGAGTTTCCCAATATTCATCTGATCCCATCCTGCTCAACCCTGGACTATGGACTAAGGAACTATACACAAATGGAATCTTAGTTCTCAGATCTGGCTGGGGTGATACTCCATTATCAAGTACATGCAAACATATTGTGGTTTTTCATGAGTGTATAAATTAGAAATGAGGAGCTGAAGTGGCACAATGATTAGAATACAGTATTGCAGGCTAATTCTGCTGACAGCCAGCAGTTTGATTCTCACTGTTTCAAGGTTGACTCAGCCTTCCATCCTTCTGAGGTCAGTAAAATGAGAACCTAGATTGTTAGGGCCAATATGCTGACTCTGTAAACCAGACATGTCAAACCCGCGATGAGATTTTTCCTCATTGCCGGCAATGGGGTGGGTGTGGTTTCCTCATGAGATGTCCGGCCTGTGGGCCAGCAGTTTAACACCCCTGCTGTAAGCCATTCAGAGAGTGCTATAAAGCATTATGGGGCATATATAAGTCTAAGTACTATTGCTATTGATAAATTACAATATTTTTCAGGCCATTTACCATACATGACTTTTTAATGGTTTCCAGACACTATTGCCTCAGAGTTGTGTCGGGACAAAAATTAAATTTAATTTAATTTTGACAAATTTATTATAATACCAGTGGTATTTATTAGTTTTTGCCTTATACACATTAAAATTTACAGTTAGGAAAGGGAGTGCATCTACAGTACATTCAGAAAGTATTCAGACGCCCTTTCACTTTTGTCATTTTTGTTATGCTGCAGCCTGATTCTACAGTTGTTGAAATTCATTTTTTTCTCATTAATCTATACTCAAAACCCCATAAGGACAAAGTAAAAACAGAATTTTAGAAATGTCTGTAAATTTATTAAAAAAAAAATACTGAAATATCACATTGGCATTCAGAACCTTCAATCCTTTGTTGAAGCACCTTTGGCAGCAGTTACAGCCTCGAGTCTTTTTGATATGATGCAACAAGCTTTGCACACCTGGATTGGGGGATTTTCTGCCATTCTTCCTTGCAAATCCCCTCAAGCTCAGTCAGGTTGGATAGCGACTGTCAGTGAATAGCCATTTTCAGGTCCCTCTAGAAATGTTCAATAGTCGGGGCTCTGGCTGGGCCATTCTAGGACATTCACAGAGTTGTCCCTAGGTTACTCCTGTGTTGTCTTGGCTGTGTGCTTAAGATCATTGTCATATTGGAAAGTGAACCTTTGGCCCTGTCTGAGGTCCTGAGTGCTGTGGAACAGGTTTTCATTGAGGATATCCCTGATTGCCCATTTGGCTTTCCCTCAAACCTGACCAATATCCCAGTCACTGCTGCTGAAAAACCCTCCCACAGCATGATGCTGCCATCACCATACTTCCCTGTTGGGATGATATTGGGCAGATGATGAGCGGTGCCTGGTTTCTCCCAGAGATAACGTTTAGAATTGTGGCCAAAAAATTCAATGTTGGTTTCATCAGACCAGAGAATCTTGTTCCTCACAGTCTGAGAATCCTTCAAGTGCTTTTTTGCAAACTCCAAGCAGACTTTCATATGTTTGCACTGTGGAGAGGCTTCTATCTAGCCACTCTGCAGTGAAGCCCAGATCGATGGAGGGCTGGTTGTCCTTCAAGAACTCTGTCCCATCTCCACATAGGATCTCTGGAGCTCAGCCAGAGTGACCATCGGGTTCTTGGTCACCTCTCTTACTAAGGCCCTTCTCCCCCAATTTGACCAGGTGACAAGGTCTTGGAAGAATCCTGGTTGTGCCAACTTCTTCCATTTGAGAATTATGGAGGCCACTATGCTGTTAGGAATCTTCAGTGCAGCAGAAATTTTATTGTAGTCTTCTCCAGATCTGTGTCTTGCAATAATCTCTGCAATAGTCTCTGAGCTCTGCAGGCATCATGGTTTTTGCTCTGCTACAGTATCTGTTGTCAGCCGTGAGGCCTTCAATAGAGAGGTATGTTCTTTTTCAAAACATGTCCAATTAATTTAATTTACCACAGATTGACTCCAATCAAGGTGTAGAAACATGATCAAGAAAAATGGGAGGCACCTGAGCTAAATTTCAAACATTGTTGCAAAGGGTCTGAATAGTTATACCAATGTGATATTTCAGTTTTTTCATTTTAATAAATTTACAGACATTTCTAAAATTCTGTTTTCACTTTGTCTTTATGGGGTACTGAGTATAGATTGAAGAGAAAAAAATGAATTTTAATAATTGTAGGCATAACAAAATTGACAAAAGTGAATGCACTGTATCTCCCAAGGCTTGAGGGCCACAGCTTCTCCTGGGTTCTTAAGTAGTGTAGTTATGTGATTTCAGTTAGGGCTCTTGGCAGTCAGCTCACATTTATGATTGGTTTGCAGCATCCTGTGGTCCCATGATCATGATTTCAGACTTTTTTTGTTGATTTCTAGCAAAAAATACCCATTGGAAAAGCTAGATTAGTGTCGGACCTGCTTTACAACCTCTTCCCAAGAAAATAGAACTCTTGGAATGGAGTCATCCCAAAAGGAATTTTTATTAGGAGAAGTTGACAGCAGGCATAGAAGGCAGGATCTGAGGATTTCCCGCTCAAATCAATAGTTTAAAGGAGCAAAAAGCAAACCCCACTTCAATATTTCATCCGGTCAGTTCAAACGGGCCAATCCCCAGGTGTTAGTTTGTTGTGGGAACGGGGCTGATAAGATTCCATTCCCAAGGCTGTGAAAACGTTGTTGAGTCTTCGCATCTCTTCTTCTGAGGGAGAGATAAGCCAGATGGCCAGAGGCACATTCCTTTCTCACCCCATGCTGGTATCAAGGGGAGACAGTTCAAAGAGCAAGCAGATAGAGGAAGCGAAGAGGATACATTGTAGCAGTTAAGTGAAAGGAAGAATTAACATGTCAGATCCCCAAAGCTTTCCCCCTCCCCCCAGGAGTATGGCAGAACCCGCAGAAAGGAAAAGAATAGAGGTAATTCCCCCCCCCCAGCAAAGGAACAGGTTCTGACAATTAGCTTAACAATTGCATGATTCACTTGACTGCCATAAAAATTATGAAAAGATGGTTCAACTCAATTTACGATTGCAAGAACGTACCACAGAAATTTTGGTTGTAAGTTGTGGGCTCCCTGTGCTGCTTATGTTTGGAATTTTTTGTAAGGCTGGGATGAATTTGGGATGAAATTTAAAATGAAATTAGTTGGATACCTTTTTAAAATATAGATCATTAGTTCATAGCTCTAACTGGTTTTAGATGTTAATGTGTGTAATAAAATGTTACATTTGATTTATTAAGGATTTCAGGCAAGAAATGTTCTTCTACAGTCAAACTTATCTCAGACACAGTTAGCTACTATCTGGTAAGTTTATTCACAAATGCATGTTTGTAATTTTTTTAATAGATTGAAATTTTTATTTCAAATTTTTGAAAAGTAACTATGGCTGTAACTACCTACTTTTACAACAACCACAAATAATGCTAAATCAAGCATTGTTTTAACTAAAGTTTATTGAATAGCTCAGATTTAGTTTCCCAGATAGAATATTCAAGGATTGCTTGACCAACTCCTGCTATCTTTTCCCTATATTTCTTAGTAGTAACTGGTGGTGTCTCAATTAACTTGTAGCAATGAATAATGGAATTGTTTTGTACGTGTACAACATCATTATATTCTGTGTTCTTTGCTTTCGTGTTTTTTATGGAAATGGCCTTTTATAGACAGATGCTTGGTTATGGATGTGGTTGCTATTTGTTTACATTTTTGTTGCTGCGTGTAACTTTTTTACTTCTTTACATGACACATGTAGTAGCTTGTATTCAGCATTATGTACAGACTAGATCATTATCTATTTAATATTGTACTATTATTCCTAGATTGCAAAAGGAGAGTTGATTTTTTTTCCTGGATCATTCATTTATTCATTTAGCTTGCATGCTGCTTAATCTAAAACAATTCATGTTGCATGATAGTGGAAATAAGCCATAAAATACAATATTTGCAATTATAATTACAAAACCACAGTATATAATCATAACAAAAGCATTACACTTTAGCAGCTTTAACAAATCAAGTCACAGAGAATACAAATTGGACTTCTGGTTTGCCAACACGGCCGCCATGGACATTTGGAAGACGAGCTCCGTCTTCCTCATCCAGTTTCGCATCACTGGGTGGCCTTAAAAGGGTCAAAGAGTCGCCCCGTATAGGCGACCAACAAGGAGGAGCTTTCGCTGGATTGCGTTAGAGCCGGCGTAGGCTGTGGACAACCAAAGTCACACTTACCAGGCAACATAAAAGCACCATGGAAGAGACTGGGTGAGATCTATCTCTCTTAAATTCTAAATACCTTTTTCTACCTATGTAAGCTGCTAAAGTACTTTCCCCCATGAGAGGGAAGGGGGATTTTAGCCCTCCCTCCAGAAACAGTGGCGACTGATTATCCAGGGGAGTTTAAAACGTTGAAAAAACAATTGGATCCCAATCGGAATTTTATTTCCTAAAGTTTGTGGATTAAAAGATTTTCTACTATCTATTTTTTACTTTCTAATTTTTATTAAAGATCTGGGTTTTTCCTCATAAAATAGAAGAAAAACGGAAAAGATTAAAATAACTTTGAGACTCAAAAGAAATTTTCAAATGGTAGGGGCGACATCTTGTGGCTAAATCTGAAACTTCAATCTGTTATTCTCTAAAAGAGACTTGGCTGATAGCCCAGAAAACAAGATAAGATTCATTCAACCTTGAAACACCAGCTGTGAGAGATTCAGCTTTGTTTTTATTGACTGAAAAAAATAAAATTAAAAAAACTGTAAAAGCTTCTATGGAAAAAGACCAAGACCAGACTTTTTTTTTAATGGAGGAAAATCAGAAACAAATTCTTGCTGCATTGAAAGCAATTTACCAAACGCTTCTTACAGCTGGCAATGAAATGAGAGCCTTCAGCAAAAAACGAGAAAGCAGCTCAGATATGCAAACTCACATTTTGATTACAACTAAAAAAATCAATCATACAGAATACAACAGAAAAAGTGGAACAATTAAATATTATGACAGAAGATTTAACTGCCCAACAAGTACAGCCAATGGAAAGTCCAGAAAACAATCTGACAACACGGAAGGAGGAAAAAATTTGCTATATAAACCAGAAGGAACCTGAGGATCAGGAAGAGGAACAGATGGAAGAGAAGATAAATAATTCAGAACAACTATGTCGAGAGGGAAAAATTAAGAGACGACCTGCTAGACCTGCCAGACCTGCTAGCCTTCTTTAAAAAAATGGTGACTGGATAGTCTTTTCAACATTACACAATACATATAACAATACAAGGAGATTGGTTTGACAACTCAAAAGCATGGACATGGAAGACAATTTGGCAAAGAAAGAAAGCTAGAATAAGATGAAGAAGAATGGGGTCTTGACCTACTTATGAGATTTAAAATAGAATATATTCAAGTAGATAAGATGTGTATTTTGAACACTATTATGAATTGAAGATAAAGAATAATTTTGGCTATTCAATATCTAGAAGTATAAATATTAATAGTTAAATTTGAACATTGAGTTGCTTATAAAAGTTAGGTAAAGGTGATTAAGACATATATGCTAAAAACTTGATGAATGTAACAAATATGCTTTGATGTAGCGGTAAGAATGGAAATTATTAACTTAAATAATATAATATAATATAAAATAGATATAAAGGAGAAGAGTGAGGAAGTACTAAATGTTGAAATAGAAGAAACATTGGTTACTGAATTTAAGATATTTGAAAATTATAAGAAAATAAGAATATTATACTGTATTATTAATTTGTTGATGTAGACGGTGAGAAATGAAATAGATAAGATATGTATCCTGAACACCAGACATTATGAGGAACTGTGACAAAGGGAATTGGGGTTATTTAAAACCTGGAAATGATAAATATTAAATGTTAAACTTAAATATTAATGGAAAATTAAAACTGGGAAAAATCTATTAGGTTATTGATTGTCTAAAAGATGGAATGTTAAAACAAGACATATATAAACTAAAAATTATTGATAAATGCAAGAAAGTTATTTTTTATCTGATTGATAGAATAAGAAGTATACTAAGTTAAATAAGAGACAGTACATATTAAGGGAAAAAGAGAGGAAATGTTGGCTGTAATAGTTCGAGATTTGCACTAATAATATCTGTATGTACTTGAATTATTATAACTCAGCCACCACGTTGTTTTTCAAAGATATAATTGTAACATTAGAAAATCAATAATATATATACATACATACATACATACATACATACATACATACATACATAAGAGAATACAAATTGATCCCCAAAGGGATGTCCACACTTCCACTCTTTTCACCTGTATGGTGATGAGCATGGAGGAGAAGCTGGGTCTCACTAGAGGAGCTGCTGCTTGGAACTCAGGCTTGTAGGGCTTTATAGCTAGACATCTCAAAGCAGGTTGAAGACGATGGTTATTATAATACCAATAAGAGAATTTGAGTAAATGTTGAGTTTTTGCTGTTGAAAAATCAATAGCATACAACAACATACATAAACCTAGCTATACTATATCTGGAGTCCTCCAAATTGGTATGTGCCCATACATGAATTATAGAGAATAGGAAGCCTATTGTCTTGTGGATGATAATGAATTCAACTTATAGCAGAACCAGCCTGTCTGGATTTCAGCAACATTTTGGTATTTTATTTATTTATTAAATTTATATTCCGCCCATCTCCCCTACAAGGTGATTCTGGGCAGCTTACACATTATAGTTGCAGATTTCCTATCTCTTCCTGCCTAACAGTACCTTTAAGTACTGTTTCTGTATCTGATTTTTCAAAGCTGGTCCCTGCTTCATCATGGCTATCCCTGGAGATGTTGTATGCAAAGAACAAAGTAGCTCTCCCCGGTTCCCTCGGTTCTTTTAACACAGATCTGTTTTTCCTAGGTCTCTGTCTGACACTGACGGTGATGGACAGCTGAAAGCAGAGGAGTTCATCTTAGCTATGCATTTAACTGATATGGCCAAAGCTGGGCACCCACTCCCTCTAACTCTGCCTCCTGAGTTTGTGCCCCCTTCTTTGAGGTGCTTAACACAAGGTGATGTGTAATTAAAATTATAGATAAAAGCTGACGAACTGAAATTTTAAAAAACGACTATGTTCTCTTTTTCTCCTAGAAGTGGAAAGCCTTTGGAAAATACTAACTGTGCTCTGCCAACATATCAACAAGAAGAAGAACCTCCCCAGAAACTTCCAGGTACCTGGGATCCTCTGTTTCTGCATTAAAATAGGGGGTAATATTTTTGAAAAAAATATATTAGTTTAATTATGTTAGTTATATCTCCTATTTGAGATGTATCTGGTTGACCTTATCTTAGCTTTATATTAGGAAGCTACTGTCTGAATTACAACCCTAAACATTTCATTACTGTGTTGTGTGGGCCAGGTACATTCTCATTAGAGCCATACATTTTCAACAAGAAAAAAGATGAAATAGCAATAAAGGCAGATGCACCTAGACAGAACACTTGCAGCAGCAGTGGGATACATACAGACAAACCTTGAGATTTGAAAAGCCTCCTGAATAAGATTAGATGCGTCTCCATTTGTCTTCCTTTGGTTATTGAATGGTTCTACCATAATCCATCTCTTAAAAATAATTGAGAAGAATAGGACCTGATCAGTGTTCATAGCTCAGCGCCATTCCCTGTTATTTAATCTAGTTACCTTTGAGGATAAGAGGAAGGCCAACTATGAAAGAGGCAACCTGGAGCTGGAGAAACGGCGCCAGGTGCTCCTCGAGCAGCAGCAGAGAGAGATGGAACGAAAAGCCCAGAAGGAAAGAGAAGAAAAGGAGCGAAGAGAAAGGGAGAGGAAGGAACTGGAGCGGAAGAAACAACTCGAGCTGGAAAGGCGCTTGGAAAAACAACAAGAGATGGAGAAACAGAGGGAGGAAGAACGGAAAAAAGAGATTGAAAGACGGGAGGTTGTCTTTCTAATTGTTTTGGGATTTATGTAACCTTTGGAAAATTTGTTTCAGTTTGTCAGTTAAGTAAACCTATTGTTGTGAGAGTTTGGGGACCTTTAAGTGCACTCCTTTAGAAAATATTTCTTTATTAACAGCTAAGAAATGGATTATTTTATAATTTACCTTTTATTCTGAATTTTAATTTAAGCAGATAGTTTCATCTGGCTTCAAATAAGTGGTCATTAAAGTAAATGATAGTTTAAATTTCTTGGGGTACACTTTGTGAACCTAAGCATTGATTGGAATAAATACAAAATATTGATAATCATTCTATTATCACATAAGCATTGAAGCTGATAGTTTAGGTATTTTATTTTCAGGCAGCTAAACAAGAACTTGAGCGTCAAAGACGGCTTGAATGGGAGAGGATTCGTCGTCAAGACCTTCTTAATCAACGTAATAGAGAACAGGAGGAAATTGTGAAGTTATCTTCTAAAAAAAAGAGCCTTAATCTTGAACTAGATGCACTGGTGAGTCACACACTGCACAAAAGTGTAGCATTACAACTAAACTCAATTGTTTTCCCATGGCTTCTGCATATCTTTTGTCTAACTGCTTTAATTGTAAATAAATTGTAGATTTTTATTTTATTTTATTTTTTATTTTTTTTTGCTTCTATGGTGTCATTTCCTCACTTCTCATATTGAAGTTAAGAATAGTCATTTATGGAGACAAAACAACTAAAGGACAGCATCAGAAGATTTGAAGAAGCTTTCAGGTGTACAGTATAGAACTATATAGTAGCTGTATAGGAGGGGAAAACCTTGGTTGGTACTGTATCTCCCCCTTCTTCAACTATGTTTTATTTATTCATTTCAGTAACGTTTATCTTTGAAGTATAGTGATGTTATTTCTTGTATTACTTCAACTTACATCCTCCCCTTTTCATCTCTAGAGCACTAAAGGGGTTACAATAGATAAGAAAATACATAAACAAAATATAAAACAGTTTTTAAAATCCACTTAAAAACACCTAAAATTATCAGTTCACCTTAAAATCCATGGCTGAAGTGGAGAGAGAAGTCTTAGACCAGGGCTTTTCAAGCAGTGGTACGGGTACCACCTGTGGTACATTGGCACCTGGCAGGTGGTACGTGAACATCCTAGAAAAGTAGCGGGGGAGGGGAATAAGTTGAACCGGTGGCAACACCGCACAAGCCTGAGCGAGAGATGGCTGGAGCTGCAAGGCTGTCAGGGCTCAGCGGAAGTGCCAGGATCAGCGCCAGGTTCCAGCTGGAGCTCGGCGCTGATCCTGGTGCATCTGCTGAGCCCAGAAGAAGCGCCGATCAGCTGGAATGTTGCAGCATCTCCAGGGTCTTGTGATTTACATTCAGATGCTTGGCAACTGATTCATATTTATGATGATCACAGTGTCCCAGGGTCATGTGAAGTGACCAAAACCTGCTGCAACCACCCAGCAGACAGGGGGAATAAAAAACAAACACCCCCACCCCACCCCCGCTGCCAATCCTCAATAGAAATGCTCACAATGAAAACCTCGGACAGGAGAAAGCACAGGTGGGCAGGCAGGTGTCTTGCTTGGCTGTGGCTTGGGCACTTTTTTCAGTGCCATTGTAATTTCGAACAGTCACTAAGTGAACTGTTGTAAGTCGAGGACTACCTGTACTTTATCACTTTTTTCCTTTGGGGGGGGTCATCAAGTTTTTGACACCTTGCTAGGTGACTGGTGGTACTCGGATATTGCCATATCCTAAAAGTGGTACAGTGGGTGAAAAGGTTGAAAAGCCCTGCCAAAAGGAATATATTTTATAGCATGGGATTAGCCCAGAAGCAAATCACCTACATTCTTTTTGTCTTTCATAGATTGGTCAGAGTTTTAAAATTTTGCCTGCAAGAAGTGATAGAAAAATCTATTTTAAGTCATCCACTAAATCAGCGGTTCTCAACCTATGGGTCGCGACCCCATTTGGGGTTGATCGACCTCTTTTGTGGGGTCGCCAAATGCGGCGATCCGCCAGTTTGTCCCCTCCGGGGGTGCGGCGCGCCTCCGGGGGGGCAGTTCCGCGCACGCGCACCGCACGTGGGGGCGGCGGCGTGCCTCCGGGGGGCGCCACCGCGCATGTGTGCCGCGCGTGGGGGCGGCGTCGCGCCTCCGGGGGGCGCCACCGCGCATGCGCGCCGTGCGTAGGGGCGGCGGTGCGCCTCCGGGGGTGGTGCCACGCATGTGCGCCACGCGCGGGGGGCCCGCCCCCATGCACGCGCATGCGCAGAACATTTGTGTGACGGGGGTCGCCGTCACACAAACGTTGAGAACCGCTGCACTAAATAGTGATTTGTTAGGTGCTTAGAATAGATCATTTTAATAGATTATCCAGTTCCCTGCAGTCCAAATACTAATTGGGATAATTGTGTGGTTGCGTTGGTGATATAAAATACTGAGTCATCCTCCATGTGGGACTTGAAATTACTTAGTAAAGATAGTCCAAATTGTCCCTGAGATTACCCTGCTAGAAAGAATAATATTGTTACAAAAGAGTGGATAGTATACCAACAGAATCACTGCATTTGTCCCAGTAAATAGCTAACTTATATTAAGAATTAATGGCTCGCTAAATGGAGCATCTGGTCATTGCATTCGTATATAGCATATCCATCATGCTGCTTGCCCAGCATCTAATCTTTACCTGCTACTCAGTGGAGGAACCTGGTAGACAGAGCTCTAAGAGAATAATTCTGCTTAACTTTTACTTAGCCAGGTCTTAATCATACATGCCAGAGTTTGGATTAAATCCTAAAAAAGTAATGAATAATTGTATGTCAAGAAATTTGTATATGTTATTGATGTAATGTTTAAAATGTTTGTTAATACAGAATGACAAATACCAACAGATCTCTGGAAGACTAGAAGATGTTCGTAACAGAAAACAAAAACATAAAAACGAGTTTGCCAATCTAGAAAACAAATGTGATATGGGAATTATTGAAATCAAGCAATTGGAACAACAGCTTCAAGTATGTAATGTTCTGTTAAGTCTGAAATTCGTTCCCACAAAATGATGGTCAATGCAGAGAGAAAAAACCATTGAAACCAGTTGTCTATTAAGGCTACAGTCCTCTGAGTGTTCCAAGATTCTTTCTTGTTTTTCTTGAGAAGATTGCCTATTATCTGCCATTCATTCTGTCTTTGGTTTTTCATTTTCATATGCACAGTTTGTTTCTCTGGAAGGAACAGATTACTGTAGTCCAATATCAGAACTGAGACCTTGTACTTTCTTTGAAATTAGGTTATGGGCAGCAGGTTCTCCAGCACTGGAGATGGATAATCCACTAATGGGTTAACTTAATCCTCCTGCCCAATCAGATCAAGTCAGCCAAACTTGCCACGCCTGTCCTGGGCCTGTTTCCCCAGTTTTCGACTTGATCTTGCCCAGAACAGACGTGCAGGTTTGGCTCACAGGCAGGTAGATACCTATTAGTGGATTATCCATTAGATTATTAATTTTACTAAACTTTCCTTCACTTTGGGACCAACGCTCCTCTAGAGGACCATTTCTTACTGATTCCCATTGGGATTCAGTCTTTCAAACGAAGGACTCCGTTTGCGTTCTAAATTACCCCCCCTGGGGTAATTTGGTGGCCGGGGGGGGGGGTAGGGCAGCCTAATTCAGCCTTTGCCCTATACCCTTATCAGCCAATTGATCCTATCCCAGGTACCCTCTCTCACGCACCTGAAGATTTCATACCAGCATGGAGGATAACACGGCCTCCCAACCCAGGGTTGCCTCTCCTCCTTCCTCAGGGCGGAAAAGGCACAGATCTCCTTCCCAAGAGACCGCTGGTAGGATCGCAGCCAAGGCCAAACCCAAGGCTGCCTCTGGGGGGAAAACCTCCAACTTGGCTGAAAAACAGGCCAGTAGGAGACACCAGGCACTGGAAAAGGAGTTTTCAAAGGCTCAAAAACAGGCCAGGGCTGAGACTGCTCAGAGTGAGTCCACCTTTTTTGACCTACCCCTAGGTCTTGCTTCCTCTCGAAGTCTGGGCACTGGCAGAACCTTCCACCTCTTATGGCCAAGCCAGTGTGGTACCTGAGGCACATACCTTCAGGTCTCCCTCTACCCCACGGGCCCTGCAAGCCCCGAAGGCCACCTTTACGCCCACAGCTGCGGGGCTTAGAGGGGAGGAGTCCACCCTTACATCCTTGGACGATAGGATCCAGGCCTTGGTGGCTCAGGCAGTGGAGCGGGCCCTTGCGGTCAGGACTCCTTTGGTGCCCAGAGCGGAATCCTTGCTTTCCCTTCCTCTCTTGTGTCCAATACATCACAGTTCTCGTGACCCTCCTTCCCCCTCCCATTCTTCCTTTAGCGGGGTCTCATTGACCCTGGAGCAGGATCAGATGCTTGACGCCTCATGGTCAGAGGAGGAGGGACCGGCACCGCATCCACCCCCGTTCGGAGGGCTATTTAATCCAGCTCTTTTTCTTCCCCTGCTTCGCAAGGTTAGCTCGGTTGCACACAGGAGACCTAGCTAGTCCGCCCCAGTGGTTCCCACAACGGATCCAGAGGTGGACCCCGTCTTCGTTGAACCGGTGGTCACTCAACACCATGTTCCGTGTCCAGCCTTGTTCCTCAACGCAGTTAAGAAACAATGGGCTTCCCCGGGTACCTTCCCCCTTCCAGGAGGGAATGATAAGAAGTTGTTTAGCGTGGCCTCAGAATTAGATGAGCCGTTGAATGTTCCCACAGTGGATGAGCCCCTGTCTCACCTGTTCTCCCCTTCCACTATTTCGGGGGATATGGCAGAGGCCTTAAAATCTGAGGATCGGAGATGGCCTTCAGAAGGTCACACCAGGCGGCGGAGTGGTCTTTCAGGGCCTCCACTTCAGCCTCCTTCTTCACTAGATCTGCCCTCATCTGGCTCCGTCAGCTACAGGCCAGGATCCCCTCGGACGATGTCTGCACACATCAGGATCTGAGCAAGTTAGTGGCCGCGACAGAATATGCTTCCGATGTGACTTTACACACGGCTCAGCTTTCCTCCAGATCCTTGGCATCCAATATGACAGCCCGCCACATGCTATGGCTAAGACACTGGCAGGCAGACACCAAGTCTAGGTGGCGTCCGGCAGCAGCCCCATACCAGGGTAGTAAATTGTTTGGGGATGCCTTAGCCCCATTTCTGTCAGAGAACAAGGATAAAAAGAAGATTCTGGCCCATCTTACTAAGCGGTCTGATAGACGGTCTACCCCTTACACTCACAGACAGTTCTTTCGGGCTGCCATGATTTCTCCAACCACACAACCTTCTTGGTCCTTCACTCCCAGGCAGGACCGTCTGGCTGACAGACCGGCCCCATGGCCCAGGCAGCAGTTCCAGTCCAAAAGACCCTTTCGAGGCGGGGGTCGTCCCTTCCGCAGGAAGTGACCCGCCAGAGGAGGAAATGCAGCTGGAACAGGACTCTATGGAGGCTGAGGGAGAGGTGTCTGTGGCTTCAGAGGACTGTGGAGAAGAGCAGGCTGAGGCAGGCCAGGGCCCTTCAGGATTAGAACAGGGGAGACAGAGTTCAGGCGATGAGCAAGGCCCACCCCATCCTGATCCTAGAACAGTGGTTCTCACCTTTTTAATGCCGCGACCCCAACCGATCATAGGTCGAGGACTACCCAACCGGTCGTAAGTTGAGGATTACCCAACCGGTCGTAAGTCAAGGACTTTCCTTGCCTGGGAGCGCCGCACATGCGTGGTGCTGCCCCCTGCGCCGGTCGAGGCATAGCTGGCAAGCGGCAGAGATGGCGCAGGCCGACCACCAGCTGGGCCACCAGCTGGCCCAGCCCAAGGGAGGTAAGGCACCCACCGGGCCCCACACGCACCAGCAACCCTCCCTGCGCCTGGCGACCTCCCATCCCTGGCCCTCTTTTACTTACATTTTTAGTAGTTGCTCAGCAGGGAGGGGTGGAAACTTCCAGACAGCTCGCCTTTGCTGCAGACAACTTGCAGCACCGTTTGCAGAATGGGACTTTTGGCGGGCTCAGCAGGGCAGAGACAGCCTGGACAATTCCTATTGGCTTTTGAAAGCCAATAGAATTAGACTCTATTCAAGAGAGTCTATTCTATTGGCTTTCAAAAGCCAATAGAATAAAAGGGAGTAGCACAGCTAAGGAAAAGGGGGAAAAAATGCCGGATTGCATTGTTTGGCGACCCCCATGAAATGGTCGTTCAACCCCAAATGGGGTCCTGACCCACAGGTTGAGAACCACTGTCCTAGAGCACGGAGGATGGAGGGAAGGAAGGAACAATGCAGGGTTTTTTTACTCAGGAGGAGAGCGTCCCGTTCCACTCCACAAGGCACACCTGGCGATTGAGATTTAAGGGATGGGGTGGGGCATTTGTCGGGAACAAACACTGATTCATTGGAGTGATGTGTATTGTTGCTCTTGTTCTGTGCCTTTTGTTTGGAAACCTGGAAACTTTGACTATCGGACTGTATCTTGGATTCACTTTTTGGGAAACTGCTCAGGCAAGCTTGGATTCAAATGGACTCGTTAAGCTTATGTTTTCTTCCTTGTTATCTCTATGGCCTTGAGTACTTTCTTATGCTAATCAGCCTGTAGTTGAACCTACTTTTAACCAGAGTTGGCTGAAGGGATGTGTGTGTGATCTTTTGCCAGCAAATGAGGGAATATTTGGGGAAAATTGGGAACAATAAAAGAACTGCTTTAATTGCCAGCTGACTGCATTACCTCTATGCTGTGCCCTGAGTCATCACAACTAGCACGACATAGCAGTTATATGAGGGCTTTAAGAATTTACATTTAGGAACTGGTCATTTCTCAGATTGGGCATTTTAAGGTGCAAAATTGATATCTGAGTCTCTCATACTTAAAGAACCCATTTACCTTATTAATTTCTCAAGAAACATTGAAAAAATAGGTCATAGTCACTTGGAGGGTACTTTGGAAGCCACTAAATTCGTGCAGGAGTGTTATTTCTTACATCTGTGCTTTCATTTGTATTATCACAGTGTTTCTCAACCTTGACAATTTTAAGGCATGTGGGCTTCAACTCCCAGAATTCCACAGCCAGCATTGCTGGCTGTGGAATTCTGGGAGTTGAAGTCCACATGCCTTAAAATTGTCAAGGTTGAGAAACACTGTATTATCAGATTATGTCAAACACATATGCTGGTACTACTTTTCTAAAATATACTATCCTCATCTCTACAGGAATATCAGAATAAGCTGATTGCTCTTGTTCCTGAGAAACAACAGCTGAGTGAGAAAATAAATCACAACAAGATGAGCAACTCTTTTGGTAAGTATCATCAGTCTTATGTGTACGTATTTGTAAGAATACATTCATTCAAGTGTTTTTTGCTCCCTCAAATGAGGTGTGTGAAAAGGAGTTCTGAGGTCTCCTTCTCAGACACATAGAAAATCTTCCCATTCCTTTTTGTGCTGTGAATGACAGCACCCACTCTGCATAGCACTCTGACTGTTTAAGGCAGCTCTCCCCTATAGTTTGTCAAAGACTAAAGTATTAGTAAATTAAGTAAATATAATGTATAGATGTGTGACAAAAAAATTGAAAATTTGTAAGTAAATATTAAATACTTGGTCTTTCATTTGCAGATACACATCTAAATTCACTGCAGAAGAAATCATCAGAAAAAGGAGAATTATGCCAAAAACTTCAGGAACAACTAGATACACTAGAAAAAGAAACCACTTCCAAGCTGTCAGAAATTGATATTTTTAATAAGCAGCTCAAGGTACAATTTTGTTGTAGCCTTTTATTTAAGCATCTAGGATTGTTCATTTAGTGAAACTTTCTTTCTTCAACTAATCAAGCCTTGTGTGTTATCTTCTGTTCATGAGATCTCATAAAAATGCATACGATTTTGTTGATGATACTCAAATGCTGCCCTATTAATCTCTAATTTGATTTTAAAAAGAATTAGTACCAGCATTTTGCAGTTTAGCCCATTTACACCAAGATTTATGTGGGTATTATTTTGCATATTGTAAGGTAAATTAATATTATTTGAAGTAACATCAACTAAAATATTGAAAGTGAACCTTGGCATAGGGAAATGGATGACAATAAAATTTGCAGATACTATTTTCCTTAATAAAAAATATAATGTAATAAAAACAAAAGGAAAGCCAGCTATTTCACTCAGCATGTTCATTATTTAAGACACACCAAAGCAGTTTCTTGGTGCAAGTGAAGTTCATATTACATCATCTATTCTCCTTCCATTCATCTACAGAATGTATGTCACAACAGTGAGAATTGGGAATATGCAGATAAGGGGAAAATATGAAGAAAACAAAAAGCTTGAAAAGGGTGAGAAAACCAAAAATGTGAACAAACTGCAGTTACTAAGCTTACAAAGAATCTATTACATGTTCTTTGTATTGGCAGTTAGGTTCTCCAATCAACTTCTTTCCTGAAGTGTATTTTCCAAATTGACAAGCAAGGACTTAAGCTACACTTGAAATCTTCCTTACCTGGCTTACTTAGTAGTAATGTCTTCTTTTCGTTCCTGTTTTCTATCATCTCCTCCCAAAATTGCATGATTGCACCATGACAGAGAGCGTCTTATTTGAAGGGCTTTTATGATTCAAATCTCTTTCAGAACCAAAGATTATGAATGGAGGACTTGAAATTGTCCTTCAACTGTCAACTCTTGGACAGCAAACAGATGTATAAGTCATTTAGTGACAGTCTTCCCTGATACATTACAACGTATTTGTATTTAAATTATAAAACATTTTTAAATACATATACATGCATAATAATTGGAATATGGAGGGCTGGCAAAGCTATATTTTTTGTATTTAAGATAATTAATCTTGGGAGTGTGGTGATTATGAATTTCTTACTTAACAATGTGTGTCTGAAACCTTTCCACATAACTGATAGACAATATGTCTGTAAATATAACAAAAGGAAAAGTCAGTGCTGCCATCACTTTCCATTTTTCCTTATTTTCTTCCTTTCTAAGTAAACAGCATAGGCAGGTGATATGGAAGAAGCAACTTCCTCTTCTCAGTTACATAACTGAACTTTCTCATGACTGATTAACATTGGAGGCTTAGCCTAGCCAACTACAAGTAGTCCTTGCTTAATGACTACAGTTAGAACCAACAGTGCTATCACTAAGCAACCCGATCATTAAACAAGTAATCATGTGACTGCAACAGACTAACAACCTCACTCCTGCCACAGTTGTTAAATGAGACATCACATGACTGCAACTTGCGATTTTACTGCTTTCCACTGACTCTGCTTTTTGGAATTGTGATCCCATAACTTTGGGATGCTGCAGCAGTCATAAATACTTGCCTGGTGTAAAAGTGCCGAAATGGCGATCACATGACTGTGTGGATGCTACAATGGTGGAAAGATTGATTGTAAAACTACTTTGTCAGCACCTTTGTAACTTTGAATGATTACTAGACATGGCAGTCCTTAAGGAAGGTCTACCTGTCAATCACATATGCTGTAGAGCTGGGCAAGTGAAAGGAGATTGTAAAAGAGCAGCTGTTTGATCTCTTTCTGAAATGTTGTAGTCAAGAGAATTGGACCATAGTTCCTGACTTGTCTGTCCTGTCTATATCAAGAGGCAGAGCAGCAAATATAAAAGACTATCCTGCTTTTTTTTTTTTTTTTTTTTTTTTGATAGACTGCTCCCATGAGGCCAAATCCATTGCAGTGCCTGTTTTCACTGTAGAGCTTATGTGCAGATACTGTATAACAGGAGTCTTCAAACTTGGTCCTTTTATGACATGGACTTCAACTGCCAGAATTCCTCAGCTAGTGTGCCTAGGCATCAGCAGGCTTAAAGGGATCAACAGTTGAAGGACTGTCCATTCCCCAAACGCAGCCCAGTAATGTTTATGCATTCTATGGCATGCATTCTACTGTGGGAAATGAGAACAGAAATAGAGTGGCATATGCAGCAGAAGAAACAATGGCTGGATAGGAACATTGCAGAGGACAAGAGTTTATTGCTGATCCTATTTATGAACCATTAATATTACTAATTTTGGCTATAGAAGACTCTGTCTATCTCCCTCATTCACACCCACACTCACATAATATATAGGTAAATATGATGAGAGTTGAATCAGAACTTTGATTGCTAGATTAATTATTCTGATTCCTTAAGTTCTCCAACTTCACAACAATCCCAGAGAAAAGTTTAACCGCTTTTTATCTGCCTTATCTTACAGTGTGAGACTATGGATGCTTCTATTCTTCAGTGCCTTTTATATCTGCTAAGCTGTCTCAACAACCTCTTCCTCTTACTTAAGGTTATTTTCTAATCTTTGGCCTTTTTTTGCTTCTAATAATTTCCATGTTTTTTGTATTGGTGTGCGTTTGCGTGTGTGTGTGCGTGTGTGTGTGTGTGAGACAAAAAATAAATTTGCATTTCTATAGCACTTAAAATATTTTCCTATGCAATAATTTGGTGCTCTATTGCAGGAAGAGATTTTATTTGCCTTTTGCTTGCTTTTAAACTCTGCCCACTAACCAAATACTTTTGATTATGGGAAAAGGTAGGAATAATCCTCACGTCACTGCTTTTAAGCAAAATCCTTAAAACTCACATAGTGTGTGGTGGATGGATTACTACTCTTTACCAGTTTATCTGAAATAAAGTCCTATCTGTAATCAAGATTGTTATTATTTTATCTGTTTTGACCATTGACAATAGTTTTCTATTATATGCATAACAAAGGAAAAGTCCAGACTAGATTTCCCAGAATAAGTAAAAAAAAAATACCATTTTGTGAAAAACAATTTCTGCTTCTCCCCAGACCAACAAAATATATATGATTTTGCCTAAAGAACATTGACAGAAAAGAATAATAAACTAGCTAGATTTCTGAGTTACACTTGAAGAAAGTGGCCTGCTACTTTCTTTTTAGATAGTTATAAAATCAGAGGAAGTTGGATTCAGATCATAAAATCTCACGAATATATGTTCCTTGGAGAAAAACCTTGTGAAATTACAAAGCCCATTACATGTTGACTTGTTCTCCCATGTACTTGGCTTTTCATAACAAACCAATTGCCAAATAGACTATCTCTAAGGCAAACTTTATATTTTGCATAATAAAAATTTTAAGATCTTTGTTCCCTTATGGATTACATTGTTAGACTATTTTCAGAAACCCATTTGATTACCTCTTTGGATCCAAATTCTACCTCACCACAACAACTGCTGCTGAACATGCTATATATAGGACCCTCTTTGTTTGGCTTTTCCACTATCACAATGTGACAATTGCTCTGATTTACATACAAGTTGCCATATTGCCATTTTCCAGATTCCCCTTAGATCAAAGAAAGGAAAGCATTTCCAGAGCTGTTGATATGGAAATATAACAATATTGGACTTTTGTAGCAAAATAATAGCATGGTATGAGATTTTATAAATCATTGTTTTGACACATGCACTGACTTATCATTCTGAAAAAAGACCAAAGGGAATTATAAAACAGAGAAGTCAAGGAGAATTGAAATGAAGGACATACAGACAGTGAGGTTGATAATTGTCATTAGCTGTGCGACTTTTCCATGTTTATAAATGTTTTTTATAAAAACTTTGGTATCTGCTTAAAATCATAGATTACACAACTGAACATCCTTGTGAATTCTGGCTTACATTTTTCATTATGAAACTGGTCTTTGTGTAATCTTTTTGTTCACAAATGATCACTTTGAAAACAGTCACAGAGTATCCTGAGAAGTACCAATATTCGTACTTTATATGTATTCACAGAGTAACTGATCAACTTATTGTTTTTTGAATGTAGAGTAGTATTTCTGATAAACAGATTATATAAGAAAATGAACAATAATATGAATTCCTCATATTGTCATATAATGTGTGAACAGAGTTGGCATTTGCATTCGTCACAGGATTTGTTTCCTGTCATTTTAATTCCAGTTTGTTTTAAAAGTTTTGTAGCTGGTTTCAAAAAGTGCAGGTTTTGGGTATTCTCTTTAGGTAACATCATCAGTGCTAATGCTTCAACGCTTCACTAACATTGATGATGTTACCTTGTCTGGGTGAAAGATAATCAAGAAGCATCACCTGTCTTTGGGCATGTGAAAGAACATTCTATCTGCCTCTTTAGCGTGGAAGCACATCCAGAAGACTCAGGGTGATAACTCCATATAACAAGAATAAGATAGGATTGTGCTGGCCAATAGCATTAAGGAAAGGGTATCCTGCCTGAGGTGTACTTATTTAGAATGGGATGGACATTTTGCCAGGCTATATTAAGCCACCCAGGTCCTTTTTCCTTGTGCCATTGGTAATATAAAAGGAGACCTTTTTGAAAAAAGGGGGATCTTACAGGTTCAGTTGTTTCTGCAGCAAAGCACTTTTGGAAGGTGGGAAGCAATCTATCTTCTCCTACATGTATAATAGAGAAAAGCAGGTAGGTATATTGCTGGATATGTAGGGAATATTCTTATGTGTATGTGCAAGCACAACTTTTGAAGACTTAACCTGGCACTTGATTTGGACCTAAAGCTTCCCATTTGAAAGTATTAAGCAATTAAATCAACATAAGAGCAAGGGATAAATAGAAGATTGTTTTTATTCTGTACAATTCAAAGTGGCATTCATAATGTGTCTTTTTCCTTTTTTTTCCCCACAACAACCCATTCAGGTGGATTGGGCTGAGAGACAGATACTGGCTCAAAATTATTCAGCCAATTTCTGTGTTTAAGGAAGGACTGGAACTCCCAATGTCTTAGTTTCTAGTCCAACATCTTAGTCGCTATACTAGAGTAACTGAGATTCTGTAATTCATCTTGATCATTTAATAGTTGGTTTGACATTTGCTGACAATGTCTAATAGTATAATACAGTTAACTTCCTAATCACACAACTGATGGTGTACTAGAACAATGTAATGTTCTGTACTCAATTTAACAATGGCATTGTTGTGTCAGTATAAAGTGATTGCAGGAAAGTGACTTAGCCAGAACTGGCAGAAACATTCCACCCAACTCAAGTGATTGGCATGCAGCTTTCTAACACTGAATTAAATAAGATTGTTTACAAAGAGTCTCTTGTTATTCAGACAAGATGTAAGATACCAAAAAGTCTTTTGAATCTTTGAGGAGCCTTCTACACATTGCTATTTCACATCAAAGTTTTTATGATTCCTTCCAGTAATTCCATCACTAGAAGGCTGTAGCAGTGGTAAAGAAATGTAACTTTTTGCCATTGTCATTACAGAAAATTAGTTCTAACTTTTAAAGTAAGGCATGGACATAATAAGTGATTAGAAAACAATGTTCATTGCAGATGTTTTTCTGCATATTTGCAAAACCATAAAGAATGACTTTTAAATGTTTTTTTAAAGGGCAGTTAAATGCTGTGAAGGGCCTCAAGAGCAAAAATAAACGAATACAAATAATTTTGTCTTGCTCTATATGATTGTTGGGAAACTTGCAGGGACATTTGGATTCAGAATATTAATGGAATAACTTCTCTAAAGTCTGCTTGCTTTTTTGTTCACTTAATTTTGTGCTTTCTTAATAGGAACTAAGAGAAACTTACTGCACACAGCAGAAAGCGCTTGAACAGCTCCACAAAATCAAACATGAAAAAATTCAAGAACTGGAAAGAAAAAGAACTGAGTTTGCTTTGAAAAAAAGTATAGAAGATGAGACCACACGGTAACATGTTTAAAGTGTTACTCATTTGTTCCTCTAGCCCCTTCATTTTATTCTCTGTTTCTGATTAATAGGCAGCAATAAATGCAGAAACTGCATTTTGAGAGTCCTTATGAATGCTAGTATTTACCACTCTTTACTGATTACATTGCTGTGACAAAATTAAAATCAGGCTTAAATTTATTCCTAACATTCTGCATCAAAATACATGCATTTCAGCAAATAGTAAACATTAATATTGTGCCATAACCAAGACTTTGCATCATACAGTTGAACCTAAAACCTTCAGAAGGGAATCAATAGGAAGCTGGTATAAGGTTCATACTAAGTGTTTGCTACTCAGTCTTCCTTTTCAATACTAATATCAGAATAATTATGCTTGTTTTCTATCTTTCAAAAGAAAAGCAAAACAGGAAAAGGAGAACTTGTGGCAAGAAACCATCAGGAAGGAAGAAGAAGAAAGAAAAAAGCGTCAGAAAGAAGATCGAATGCAGGAAAAGATCCATGAGGAAAAACAAAGGGCTGAGGAGGCCATTGCACGAGAGAGGGAGATCCAGAAACAAAAACTGATAGAGAAATTTGAAGAGGAAAGACAAAATAAACAAACAGTAATTCTAAGAGAGACTGAACAGCAAAGGCAGAAACAAAAGGCAGAAGAAAAAAAAAGACAGGAGAAGATTGCAAAAGAAGCTGAGGAAAAGCTTAAACGATTTGAAGAAGGGAAGAAAAGAAAAGATATTTTTAATTCTGAGAAATCTGTTTCCCACTTAAATGAGAAAAACGTAAATGTTCTTAAACAAACAAAGGGAAATCTGAAGCCTGTCCTGAAAAATGAAGGTAACTATTCTTTTTAAGATTTGAGTGGTTTGGTTTGGATTATTCAGTAGTTTGAAAGCACATTTAGGAACCTGAGATAGCTTCCACTTTTGAGAGTGGACAAGAGTCCCTCCCATGAATGCTCCGGTCAGATAGCAGATGCTGGTTTTTGCTGGTTTCCCCTTCTCTTTGCTTTGCTTTGGGAACCTTCTACTGAAGACAGGGGACTTTTATGGAACAGTGGTAGTAGTCACAGAGGAAGGTTCCTGTGCATTAATGAAAAGGCGTTTGTTATGCACAGGACATTTAGATAGGATCTACCATGACCTCTGGTAGCTGTCTACATTGTCTTTTGCTGTTCCTGATTGGTGAGGAAATAGGAGCTTAAAGGGATGGCGACTTTTCAGTAGTAATGATTCCTGTGTATTTGGCTCTTCCCAAGAAAATAAGTGTGCTTGCAGAAATCCTGACCTTCCCAGAAATAAACTTTTAAAGCATTTGTCAGGAACTATCAATCAATAATTAGTTTCTCCTTGACTCTTCAGGCCATGCAGTTAGTGCTGCTGATTCAAAGACAACAGTAGGCTTTGTGAATTATAGAGCTTTATATCCATTTGAAGCCAGGAATCAAGATGAGATAAGCTTCCATTCCGGAGATATTATTGAGGTAAATTATCATTTCTGAATACTAAATAGTTTCCTTAATACCAAATAATTTTGTGGGGCTTTTTTCTTTAAAAATGCACCAGCTAACATGTAGTAGAATTAAAACATATTTGTAAACAAGTAAAGAAAATTAACATTATATTTGATTATTTTTTATTTTCCTTTCCAGGTTGCTGAGAAAACTGAAGGAGAACCTGGCTGGTTATATGGATGTTTTCAAGGACATTTTGGCTGGTTTCCATGCAATTATGTAGAGAAAATACCTGAAAACGAGAAAGCCGTTTCACTTCCCAAGAAAGCCTTACTTCCTCCGACAGTCTCTGTACCAGCTACTTCAGTTCCTCTAGAGTAAATATAAATTTATATATTCAGTTGAGTGACTGGCTGGCTAAGAATAACAACCCACCACCACCACTAACACACACACACACACACACACACACATAGGCAATCAGCAGCTGAAATTAAAGAATAGCCATTAATACAATACAAATATTTCAATAAAACAAATTCACAGTGAATGCACCAACATCACAAATTTTTAATTTGACATATGTGAGACAAGCTGATGTCTGTTTCCAGTTTAAAAATGTAAAACTATTTGTGCTGTGTTTTGGTATTGTGTGCTTTATGTATTAAAAATAATAGCCGTAACTGGAGGATCCATCTGCCTGCAAAAGGTTCCCAAATTGCTTTCAAGAATTCTCTCTTTCTGCACAGTAAGGATTCTTAAGAAGCTATGAATTGTAAAGAATCCCTAAGATGTCCTTTCTGAAAGACCATGAAAGTTTTTTGGCTACTTTGCTATGATGGTTGGGTTTTATTGAAAGTAATTCCGTTATGTATATGTTTTGATTTTGTAGAGTACATTCACCCAGTAAACCAGCAGACGAAGCAGAGTACCAAAATGTATCTTTTGCAAATTTAAATCCTAGCTCATGGCAGAAAAAGTCTGCCTTTACTCGCACTGTTTCCCCAGGATCTGTTTCTCCCATCCATGGACAGGTATGTTCTTGGTTCAGAATGGAACTATTGGCACAGGGTTGGGAGCATTAATATGCCAAGGACACCAAAGCACATATGTTTTGTACTTTTGGTATTTTATATTTTTATGTTATTATTAAATGTATATTTGGGATTGGCTTTTCTTTGGGGAGCTCATTTTATTTTATGTTGCCAGACTCTTTGGGAATGAACTATTTACAAATGAAAAGTACTCTGTGTTCTGCTTCATACAATACAATATTACATTATATATGAGAAATACATAGTGGCAATCTGCATAAGTGGCTAATTATTTATGAAAGGTTACTCTGTCTACCACACAAACTTTCAAGGTAGTTTACCAGATCTTGTCCTGCTTTGATTCTATTTTATGGAAAAATTTCCATAATTCAGTTGGGATTTGTAGACAAGACAATATTTAAAAAAAAACAACTTATCATTTGTATGCTTTTGGAGTGAAAATATTTTTAGTTTATATTTTGTATCTTTAAAACTTGCATGGCTGGCATTAATATACCATTTTTGACAGGGACAAGCTGTAGAAAACATAAAAGCACAAGCACTTTGCTCTTGGACTGCAAAAAAAGATAATCACTTAAACTTTTCAAAAAATGACATAATTACTGTGCTGGAGCAGCAAGAAAATTGGTGGTATGGAGAAGTTGGTAGAAGAAGAGGATGGTTTCCCAAATCCTACGTGAAGATTTTGCCTGGAAATGAATGCCAAAGAGAGGAGTAAGTGAGGCTGTCAGAATATTTGAACTGAAACTATTGGCAAAATACATGTAATTTGTGTAGAAGATGAATAGAGGACTTTGGTGGAGATTTGGAGGGATTCATATGGACAGATGACTTTTCAGCACGTCTGTCTTTAAACTTTATTGGCTCCGATTATTAATTTTAGAATTAAGAACAGTTGCACTGATAATTTTTATTCTCTTTTTAACTGTTCATACGTTACATTCCCATATTTTGGGATAAATTCAGAATTTTTAAAATGAAGTTTGAAATTGAGAAATATATTTGAAAGAAACCTTTTTGTAAGGACCCACTTCCATCCCACATCTTAAGGAAGCAGAACTCTTGGAAATAATTTCTTCCAACAGGAACTTTTATTAAAAGTAGTTGATAGCAGGCATAATAGATAGGATCTGAGGGATTTCTTTACAGATCGATTACTTTAAAGTGTCCCTAAGCAAACCCCACCCCACAGTTCATCCGGACGATTCAGATCAGCCAATCCCCAGGTGTTAAGTCCATCATGGGAAAGGGGAGATAACATCAATCCGGCTCCGTTTGTAGTGCGATGTTCCACAGCTCTTCACACCTCCTTTTGAGAACAGAGAAATAAGCCAGGTCCCGGAGGTTTGTACTTCTCCCCCCCCCCCGCCTTTTCCTAGCTGCCCGGTTAGGGAGAAGAAGGTTCAGAGAGTTGCATCATGCAAGAGGCAATTTGTTACATTGTAATGGATAGCAGACCCGGAGTCAATAAACAAAAGTTTACATTGTAGCGAATAGAGGAAGTGAAAGCAATAAACCTGCATGCACATCCCCCCTCCCCCTTGGAAGTATGGCAGAATCCAGGGAAAGGTGAGATTTGATTTTAGATCAGAGGAGATAGAAATGAAATATAACTGTATTCTGACACTTACCAGATGCAGTGGTTTTGTCTTAATAAATACCATTTTCACACAGAACGTAGAATTCTCATAGAATAAGAACACATTTGTGTTCTTATTAGGGCCTTCTGCTGATAGGTTTGTAGGAAATCACCCAATTTTAAACCATAGATTCCAATGATGGCTTATTTTAACAAATCAGAATTAATATTAACCATAGCATACTGAAGTACAGCTACTATGAAACAGAAGTTTCACTTTGAATCCAACCCAAGGGTAGGATGGGGAGGGATATATGAAAAGAGAAGGAGATGAGGCAGCATCTCATCGTATTCAGCATGACTTGATGAAGCAATACTTTCCTTTATTTCCAAGCATCTCTAAGTTTGAATCATCGAGTGTAGAAAAATAACTTTAACTTAATTATTTCATTTTCAGACCAGAAGCTGTTTATGCAGTTATAAATAAGAATCCTTCCACATCAACTTGTGTTTCAGGTGAGAGTAGGAACTGCATTTAAGTACTCTGATTCTTAAGTCTTTGAATGAGTGTATTTGTCTGAAGGAATAAAGAACATGCATAGCACTGCACAGTATTTCAGACACTCATGCTAGAACACTAACATTGTTTATCTGTCCAATACTATAAATGTTCTGAGATAAATACTGGTATAAGAAAGATAGAAAAGCCTTTTATTCTGGTCTCCATATGTTTTATTTGAGGTGTGTACTTTTCCTCTGAATGCGTTAATAAAGTAATTTAATTAAAAATGAAAGTTAAATGCAGGTTAAATTATGACACATGATAAGAAATCAGCATGCTGGATTCGGAGACATGAGCCTAACTATAGCATTCAAACTCTCATATGCTAACCAGCATTAACTTAAGTGAAGAATAAATTTGCCATCCTTGCAAATACCAAAATGTGCAGTGTATATATGTGTGATGAGGGTATGTCTTCCCCTCCGTTAGTAAGCTACACTTACAAATCACAGTATATATAGTATCATATTTCTAATATCTAAATTATTGTTTCTCATATATGAAACCTAGGTTGAATCTACTCTTTTGTATTTTAAATCATATGAAAACATCCTTTAAGTGTCTGCCATGTTAGACCAAGATAGATGAAGGGACACTACACATAGCTAAAGAATGGTGTAAGATGTTCTCAATGTGAGAGGAATATGTTCATGTGTGGTTAAGCTATTGAAGTATTACATTTTGACTTTGAATTTTTCTGTCATTAAAAAAGGTATCTATAATTTCCTTTGTTGCCTGATGTTACCTGAGCATTAGTCAAAAGATTTTGAAGTAGAAAGGATTACATGAATCAGTGTTTTACAATCTTTAGTCATATACAGCTTTACTACATGACTGAATTTTTCTCTATATTTTCAGAATATACAGCACTATATTCTTATTCAAGTTCTGAGCCTGGTGATTTAACCTTCACTGAAGGTGAAGAAATAGTAGTGAGTCAGAAAGATGGGGAATGGTGGACTGGAAGAATTGGTGATAGAAGTGGAATCTTTCCTTCAAACTATGTCAAACCAAAGGATCATGATGTAAGACTTCCCAAGTGTTCTGCTTTTAGTATTTCTTTTTTTCCAGCTAGAGATGCAGTATTTCAAGATGAAAACTGAGACTATTGCAGGGAAACTTGTACAAGCCCAAAGAAATGTAATAAGAATTTGGTTTTGTCTCAGAGAATAAATATTGCACTTGTGGCCAGGGCATAAAAGGCAGGGCTGATGGGAGGAGGCAGAATTTGTTGCAGAAAGCATTGATTTTAGATTTTCTAAGGTTGTGCTATGCTTTAAAAATGGCTGCTTGCAATAAAAAAAAGGGGGAGAGCTAAAATTAAAGTTGGACTCCCAATTGTTTCTTCTTTCTTGTAGACTTCTCCTCCAGCTAGCAAAACAGGAACATTAAATAAAAAACCTGGTGAGTATTACTGTTTTTTTCATGTTCTTATATATTATAATCATTCATTTTACACTGATACATATTTCTCTCTCATTAGAAATTGCTCAAGTTACAACAGCCTACACTGCATCAGGAACAGAACAGCTGAGTCTTGCTCCTGGACAGCTGATTGTAATTTTAAAGAAAAATTCTAGCGGATGGTGGCAGGGAGAATTACAGGTATCCATGGGCTGTCAGGCTTCTGAATGGGACATAACTTTATAACTTTATGCGTGACAGACTCGTGAGGCCGGCGTGATGTGCAATTAGTTCACAGGGTGAAATAGGTTGGGGGGTTGTAGTCACCGTGAGTTTGTGGTGGTGGGGGCACAGAGGGAGGCTCAGCCAATTTCACTGTATACATGTTATACTTTGATAATAAAGTGTTTATTATTAGGTAATAGAGCAAGAGGTTTTTCTGACTGGGTATCAAGTTTCTTATCTAGATGAGCAAATTATGTCTGTAAAAATACTTGTTGCTAAAAAAAATGCATTTTTTCAAGAAGAAAAATGTTTATTAAAAAAGGAGACCCTATTGGTTGATTGATTGATTGATCAATTGAAATCAAAAGCAATATACAGTAGTTAAATATAAATGAAAACAAGAAGGAATAAGCAGATGGACATATCAAACACTTATCTACCAAAAACTAGATCTGTATCCCTCTTGCAACATCTGCTCTTGAGAGAAATTTAGCACTCTTCCTCCTTATTGGCACATATGAATCCAATAGTAGGAAAGAACACATTTTTTTTAATCCAGCTGTCCCCAAATGTAATAAAGGCATTAAATCTGAGACCATGGTCCGTTCATAGGTCAGGGCAAGAAAACACAAGATAAGAGGCTCTCACTGCCAATCTGAGCAGAGGTAAAAGTGCGGATGTAAACAGATATTAGATTTTGGATCACCAATTGTGTTTTTCAGGCAAGAGGGAAAAAAAGACAAAAAGGATGGTTTCCTGCTACTCATGTGAAACTGTTAGGTCCCAGCAATGAAAAGGCTATGCCAGCTGTTCATCCAGGTGAGCAATTAAAGCTTGTTTCTGATTGGTGGCTGAGTTCATACTAAAGGGTTTCTTTTTAGCTTAGCATACTGTGTGATTTCATCCATTGTAATTTGTAACCTATAGTTTATGACTTCGATTCACATGGGAATAACAAACACAGATCCTCCTTGTTTTAGGTGCAAGTCATATAACTTGGGTTTTATTTTTGGTTTTATTCTTTTGTTTCTAGTTACACCTTGTTCTTGATAATCATTTCAACGTAGTTATTTATTGTGTTAATTTCTTTAATTTCTTTTGATTTCTTTGACTTCTCAATATGTAAATATATTGAGTATATATATTCTGGTTTTTCTTCAGATTTTGTATAAAACCATTGATATTTAGAGTTCTGATAAAATCATATAAAATACTAGATTATTCATTGTACCCAAACTATTTGAATTTTGTCAAGTTTGGAGCCTTGTACTTTATGAAGAAGAAAAAAACAAGTCTTTATTTTGAGAGGCAGTCTAGAAAATTAGCACAAGAGAAAGCAAAGCAAAATAAAGACAGGATTAGATTAGGAAGTATGTGTTCTATTTATATGTTTGAATTTAGTTGCATCAGAATGGGGGGCATATATTTATTGAACTTATTATAAATAATATAATAGAATTTTTGGGGGAGACAGTATATAAATAAATAAATTTAGGAAAATAGGTTTCTGAATTTAATCAAATTTATTTAAATAAAATAATTTATTTTCTTTTAAGAATTAACTGGGAAAAAAATCTGGCATTATTTTTCCCCATTAAATGTTCTAAGCATTTGTACTATTTATTAATAGTAATAAATAAGTGGGCAAGAGACAACTATGTTTATAAATTTTAGCAATTTATAATTGACAAAGCTTACCTTCACAAATTATGACTGCAATTCCTGTTTTTTAAAGATTGAAAGTATATTAGTAAATGTTTTTTGCCAACACACTACTTTTTTAAAAAAAGACACTCTTTATCTTATTGTAATTCAGTTTTTTGCAGCCCTATACTTTTATGATAGCTTCTTTTAAGAATTGAGTGCAGAATGGTCAGGTCCGCATTTGCTGAGATAATCAATCCAGAAGCCAAAACTTTTCAACTCAGAAACAGAACTGGGCCATTGAGAGTATGGTTGCTATTTCTGAATTAGAACTACCTATGATGTTAAATTTAAATGTTTAACATGCACAAACTGAAATAATTAGTTTTGTAAATTTCTAGGCAAGGATGGGGATTTTTCCAAGTACTGAAATAGTTATTGTTGGTGCTCCTGAAGAACATGTCATTTGTCATATTTTTTGTTTCTGTTAGTGTGTCAAGTGATAGCAATGTATGACTACTCAGCAAACAATGAAGATGAGCTCACTTTTTCTAAGGGGCAGCTTATAAATGTACTGAACAAAGATGATATGGATTGGTGGCAAGGAGAAGTCAATGGCATTTATGGCCTCTTTCCTTCAAACTATGTGAAGATGACTGTAGACTCTGATCCAAGTCAACAGTGTAAGTAAAACTTGCTTAAGTAATGATTGAATTTCTCTGTATTCATGCTTTGATATGAAATAAATTCAGATACATCATTCAATATAGGTATGCATTTGTATGGTCACATCCATCTCTGCAACAGAAAAATGCTGAGTTATTTAAAACTGTAAGGCTAAAAATAATGACTAAAATAATTTAGTCACTGAGACAGATTGCTGTGGACCTTGGGCCTTTTTGAACATAGCAGTAGTTTTTAAGGAAATTGTTTGGAAAGCTCAGTTAAGTATCCATCAAATTATGTTATGCTGAACTCTTCCTGTGGGTAGTAAGGTATTTGAGTAAGAGAGCGAAAGGCTGATTTAATTTAGATCTGATGCAGTCAAAAAGATTCTCAGTGGTTCATACCACTGAGAAACAATATACAAATAATATAATAAAATCAAAACAACAACATAAGTAACCTAATAAAACGGGCAAATTGCACATATAAAATAATATATCCTAGTCCAACTTTCCTCAATAGAGTTAAATACGGATTATTGCCTTCTTTCATTTTTTAAAAAGAAAGCATCAAAGAAGTTTTATAACATAGGCTTCATAACTTCCAACCTCACAAATCCGATCCATCAGATCTTTGAGATAGACCAAATCAGGAAACAGACCCTACAAGGATTCCAAGCATGCTACCTTATTGTTGTAGGGTTGGTCTTTTGTGCCATCAAGTTAGTTTTCTTGAACAATGTTTTTGGCAATGTTTGCACTTACCTACTTCCTAGGACCAAGAGAGCTTGTCTGGCCTAAGGTCACCTGACTGACTACTAAGACAGAAATAAAACCCAGCCTCCAGGTTTCTAGCCTGGTGCCTTAACCACTATATCAGACTGAACAACAAAATTACAATCCTGAAAATTTGTCAAAATTTCTCTCTGCCCACCTAGTACCAAATAGAGTGAGGTTATTTTGAGTTATCTCTGTACTGAAGCTAAAATTCTGACTTATTTTTCAGAGTGTACAGCTCCTTCATTTACATAATATTTCTTGACATCAGTCTTATTAATACAGAGATTACCAACTTTTTATTACGTACTCTGGTTTCCAATTATTAAGAAATCTATGTTTTGTTAAGGGATGGAGATAGTTTTGAAGCAGGATTTTATTTTATTTTTTTTAAAAAATGGGACATCAAGAATTGTTCTAGGTATAATTAAAGTGCCTGATAGAATCTAATTTTTATACATATAGTCTTATGTCTTGTGAATAACTGGAATAGTGTTGGCTTCAGCATGCACTGTTTTATATGTTTCCTCTAACTTTTGCTTTGTTTACCATTTGATCAATAAAACATGAATGCTCACTTTCTCTTTTGTGATTGTGATTTGGCCTAATTGAAATATTTATGAAATTTGAATTTATTTCCTATATAATTAGAATGATTTTTCTGGCTTTTACAGAGTTAACAATGTAGTTCATACTTTTAGATTTAACATATTTAACAAATTGGGCTGCACCATAGTAATTGAATAAGCCAATGTTTGTATGTTGGGATATTAACAAGATAAGATTTTCTGGCATTTTTATCTTCCTCTAGAAGACCAATCTCATATTTGTGAGTGGACCAGATTGTTATCCTTTAGAACAATTGCAAACATGTCATTTGTCTACATAGGGAGAGTTTGTAGATAAGAAAAGTCATCCCCGTATCATAATATTGGGGTTTTGGTTTGTTTTTTATGCATATACCAAGAAAGAAGCTGCTGTAAACAAAATCCCTCTGGTTTGTATATATTATGCAAAGTTAGCAATTACTTATATTCTAACCTAATAAGAGTTGGCTTGTATGAACTTCAGTGTTGGCATCACAGTTACTTCAAAATGAAAACCTGTTTCTTAGAAATATGTAATTACTCTAGCAAAGATTTCAGTACACACACACACACACACACACACTCCAGGTACACTGAATTTCTCTAGACTGCTTATATTTTTCCTCTTTCTCCATATTCTGATATGAACATGGAAAGAGTTGATAGCATATTTAATGCAGCAAAGGCCTAAGTGCTGACATGAATTGGATGCCTATAAACACACACACATACACATAAATATACATATGCATATGCATGTTTAATAAGTGTAGTTTTTCTTCCATCCTGCATGGTAATATGAATATTACATTTCATTTTATCCACTATAGCTCATTAAATAAAATCTGAACATAGCACCATTTGGAAGCAATATGCTACTATTTTTAGATCTGTTCATTCTACTTATAAAAGATTATGTTAGTGAAAAAGCCATAATTCAAAGTGAGGTGCCAAGATACCTTCCTGGAATCTGGCTTATCTCCAAAATTTGATGGATGTCCTAACACGATATTAGCATGTACCTTTATTATGTGTTTCTCAATAACAAATGGTACCATCTAATCAGACATTATTAGTATTTGCAAGCTGATGGAGAAACCGAAGAAACATTCTTAACGAAATGGCAGTATGGCGCACCACTTCCATTCTGTTAACTCTGGAAATTACATGGACATGTAGTCATGAAGGGTTAAACTCCATGTTACCTTTACCAATGTTCATTAAGCCATTTTGATGCCCTTTTCATCTCTTGAAATAAGTGTTGAACTCACTGGCCCACAGAAGTAGATCAATATCGCAATGTCTGTTGATAATTATTTAATTTGGTTTCATGCTCTTGATAAGTGGTACTATGTAATCTGAACATATATAACCCAGATATTGAATTTAAATAGCATTTAAATCCACAAAAACAAATCTTTATTATGCCTTTAGACCAGAAATCACCACATAGAAACACATAATCTAAAATTGTAGATATCAGTAAAAAGCATAAAATACAATGATAATATGACAATAATATTAATATAATGCAGGTAATTTGAGGATCATCAAAATTAACACTAATGGGACGAATAAAACAGATAGAGGCACAAAATCCGGCAGTCTGGGAAGATACGTCAGTCATGGTGGGATAGAAGGCTTGACAAATAAGCATTGCTTCTGAACTTTTTTATTAAGATCAGGTGTAAATATTGAAACTTTAAAATTTACCTATCACAAATTCAGTGAATATTCTAAGAAATTACTTTGCTTTTTGGTTTTATTTTCCCTTATATTAATTTAATTTTTAAAATGAACTGTTACAGCATCTGACAGTTTTAAATACAGAGTGTCCTGTTTCCAAAGTTTTAAATTATCAAAAATGTTTTAAAACATTAATTCTGTCTTTAGAATATTGGTTATTAAGCCAGTACTGCTTCTTATACATTTCACTATGTTCTACTATAGTCATTTATCTCTAATTTTGTTTTCTTTTCTTTTTCAAGGACCCACTGTTGTCTTCCAGTATGAAAGCACCTCAGAGACCCACTATACAAGTTTGACTATAGCATGGCGGCAGGGTGGACAGCCTGCTCAGATCTCTGAAACGATTTCTTTGCTTCGCTTCAGTATTAAATCCAAGACTTCACGTTTTGTTCTATGCTGTACAATTACAATTCATTTATGCAAACTGATTAGTGGGTCTTTGTGTGGCTTTCTGCACTCTCCAATCTGGTTTTCTCTACTCTCTTTATTTAGGAACAATGATGAATTATTAGAATGCTAGTCCAAGCTATATCTCTTGGCACAATGCAACTTTAGGCACACAAAGACCTACTATTTATACTGTCACATGGGAAATTGTGTTCTCATGATTAGCATCATATATTTCCTATGTTGCTCTCTCACTATGCACTTCATGTATGATCCTGTAAATAGTGGCAATGCTTTTGTGGGAAAACAGAGCAGAGATAGAATAAAATCTGTTGTGTTGTTTTAAAGGCACTTTATACCACTGCTATGTCTATATATGTTATATACTAGAGCTCTTTAGTTTCACCTAAAACAAAAATGTATAAGGTGGCTTTTGCTACAGAAATTGGAAAGATAATACACATTTCTTGATATGTTAAAGGAAAGAGTAACAATTTTTTAGAAAGCTGGATAAAGTTTTATTTTGAGAGAAACTTCTTTTGGGGCCTTGCTGGAAGTCTGAGAAGCCTGTTTCTTGAATTCCCAATACTGTAACAATCTTGACAGGGCTTCTCTCTTCTGCCCGCCCCTCCCTTCCCTCCCATTGGTTCTGATACTTCAGGTTGTTGTGGGATTGGTGGAGCGCAAAGAGAACCTTTTCAACTCTGGGAGAGTTAAGGGAAGTATCTCAGTGCTCCTGGCATTATCTTCAAAGAGCATTTCAGATCCTGATTATGAGAGAAAGGAGCTTGTTGCAAGAGAGGAGCAGGACATGGTATTGTGGGTCTTTCAAAATTAAAACAAGCCTTTTGGAAGCCAGATACGTTTAGACCTTTAGAAATAGCATATTATTGCATTCCAGTTGTTTGTGCCTAAGGCTGAACTTTTTTAAAAAATATCTTCAAAAGAACAGTATATTATGACAGGATGATACCTGTCATTTTTGGCTTTCACCCCCTTATTATTTGATATATTAGATAATATTTTAGTTTTATTTTTTAGAAAAAATAAGAAAACACATCATTGAAAATTAGATATTTCTTACCAACATGATAATGAGGAGACCAAGAAGCTAAATAAACTCTACAGTTCCCCTCCCCTGCCCCATTTTTACAGATACATTTAAAAAAAAACTAAAGCATTTTTTAAATTCCCAGCAACTTTATTAAATGTTTTTTAGTGCTGCATGGCTTTCTGGAAATTTCTTAGTTAACAAATCATTTTTTACGTTTAACCAAATCTTTTGGTTATTTTTTTTTCTCCTTCTGTAGCAATTTAACATTTGCTAACATTCACCATTATCACCTCACTTCATGGTGCCTTTTTGGCCACACAATCAAGCTTCCTCCCCAATGTAGTCCAGCGGCCCCCAACCTTTTGGGCAACAGGGACTGATTCCGTGGAGAGAGGTTTTTCCACAGACCTGAGGGGGTATGGTTTCAACCACTGCCTGCATCCTATGGATGGGCTTCGCTTGTTTGCGTGGCCCAATTGCTGGCATGCCACGACCCGGTGCTAATCCAGGGACTGGGGATTGGGGACCCCGGTGTAGTCCATATCTATTTGTAAATGTAGTCTCGTTCCACCTGCTAAACTGTTCTAGACATCTTGCATAGTTGTGCTGTGTTGCAGTCAGTTAGTTGCCTTGTTTTCAAGAGGTGTATTTCCACGTGAGCATATGTTACGTGGGATTTGGGCCTGTGTGGAGTGACCCAACCCCCACCCTGTTGGTTTACGGACCCCAGTATGAAAATTAGTTCAATCCTTAGACTGAAAGAAATTCCCCATTTCTTCTGTACAAGATTAGATATTTAATTTGGAGTGCATATCCATTGATTTTCAGTATTCTAAGATTGTAATCTAAAATCCTTTAATTAAGTCCCACTCAGAGTGATTTATTTTCTACAAAGTATCTTTAGCACCATTGCCTCACAGTACAGTCTGTGCCTATTTAGTATGAAATAAGCTATTATATTCAATGGTGCTTACTCTCCGATAAATGTGTTCAAAATTGCTATTTAAATGAATATAACAGGCTTATCAAATCACTGATGCCTTTATTACTAATACAAAGTAGTGGATTGTAGGAGGAGGGTCTTTCATGCCAAATAGAACAGCTGGGTACTTGCATCAAGTCATAAATAAATATTTATCTTATCTCTATATTATTATTAATAGCAGATCTGCAAATAGCTCAATATTAAGTTGATGAAAGTATAACATTCTCCTGGTAAACCTCAGGTTTATGCCATGTAAGAACTCCCAAGAGTGTAAAATATGGAATCATATGCCTGGAAGAGACCTCAGAGGTCTTCCCATCCAATTCCCTGCTCAAATGGTTATACCATCCTGATCAAATGGCTGTCCAGTCTACTTCCAATGATAGAACATCCACAGCCCCAGAAGGCAACTTATTCCATTTTTTAATTGTTCTCACTGTCAGAAAATTTCTCCTTACTTCTAGGCAGGACTTCTCTGCCAATAAATACAGGAACTGAGTTTTTTTGTAGTTTTGGTTGGTTGGTTGGTTGGTTGGTTGGTTGGTTGGTTGGTTATGTGGCTTTTTAAAGATGAGAATGAGAGCAGAAAGCCTTTGAGAGGCTTACAACCTAAAGCTAAACTTGGTACAATTTCAGGCCGTTCCTGAGGCCTGAGGAGTTTTAATGGCAGAAGTGAAAGAATTGTGCTTTCTGTGCTAATGAGAAGGAGTGGGAGTAGAAATTGTGCTGCTGAACCTCAACTATTTTGCCATTAAATTTCAGTTGGATACAGGTAGTCCTCAACTTACGGCCACAATTGAGCCCAAAATTTCTATTCCTAAGTGAGACTGTTGTTGAGTGAATTTTGCCCCATTTTAAAACCTTTTTTGCCACAGTTGTTAAGTGAATCATTGCAGTTGTTAGTAACATGGTTGTTAAGTGAATCTTTCTTCCCTATTGACTTGGCTTGTCAGAAAGTCACAAAAGGGGATCACATGACCTTAGAACACTGTAACCAACATAAATATGAGTCAGTTGCCAAGTGGATGAATTTTGATCACATAACCATGGAGAGGCTGCAAAGGTCGTAAGTGTGAAAAATGGTCATAACTCACTTTTTCACTGCTGTTGTAATTTCAGATGGTCATTAAATGAACTGTTGTAAGTTGAGGACTACCTATAATCTCAGGGTACTGGGGACTGCAAATTGTTCATCCCTGCTTATCGGTTGTAGAAATGAATTTGATCATATTTGAGAGTTCAAATAATGTTTGATTGATTTCCTAATAAAAAAGTAAAGAGTGTTGGCTTTCGTTTGTTGGACTTAATTTAGCACTACTGTTAGGATGAACAAATGTTTACTGTACCAGTAGGGTGAGTAAAAAAAATGTTTATGACAGTCTGTAATTAAGAATTTTCAGAGATAAAACATATTTTAATGTAAGTGGTACGATATAGGTCAAAAGAGGTACAAACTATTAATTGGCATTAATAAGAATGTTTGATATGTTTAGGATTTTGCTACTAAGTATTTTGCTATTATTTATTATTAATATTCTGTTTTGCTGATAATTCATTTCTTTATTTATAATTTTATTTCTAGTATATTAATATGTTAAGAAAGCTAGGCCCAAGCAGATCATAGCATAACTAAATAATAATTTAGAAACATGCATAAAATGTGTGTATCATTATAGTGAGTTATCCCTGCTAAAATTTCAGAAAGGAGTAATTTAAAAAATGTATTATGCAACAAATTATTTGAGTAGGGTTCCAAATTAGGATTCTGAAAAACTTACCCAAAACAAAATTCACATAAAATAGGGGCAATTTTCTTCTCCTAATTTCAACATCCCAATTTACAAAAATCACATGGATTTTCAAAATAAAAAGGAGACTTTTATGATAGTTGAGTACAAGTTTTTAAGCATTCAGAGATGGCTGTATAAATTATGTTCTTTAGCTTTAGAGATGAATAGCTTTATTTTTTTTTTCATTTGGATGGCTGTTTTTTAATATGATCAAAAATAGTTAACAGTATTATAGTATCACAACTTGTTTCAACATGTTATTTGTCCCCATTCAAGAAATGAAAATAGGCATTTCTCCAAATAGGAATGAGGGATTTCCTAACTTAGAAATTAATATTCAGCTTTCTTAAAAGTTTTAGAGAAAAGCTTGTGATTTCTTGACATTTTGAATGGGGTATGAAATAGCTGTGACAATACTACTTTTTATGTTTGCAAGAAGAATGTAAAAGTTCTGGAATTCTTGATTTTTATTTTTACAAATGAATTGTACTATCTAGTATGATTTGCCAGAAACGCACAAACCAGTATTTGCTAAAATATGTCCTATGACTTGTATTATTTTTCTATTAAAGTCAATCAGTGCTGACAGACTTCTAGCTGTAGTGGAGTTTTGGGCTGCTACCGCAAAATGCTTTCTTGTCATTAATTATGTTTGTTTCTTAAATATCACTATGCTGTGTGCTGTTTTGAAATTTGTATTTTGAGGCTTTCTAGTATTAAAGCAATGGAATAATGATCAGTGTTTTGCTATACAAACACAGCCTATGCTGTGCATGAGCATTGTTTTTTGAACACTGGAAATAACTATGCAAAATATTTTATTAAAGAGACACACAGAGAATATACTTATTGATGTGTGATTTTTTTTTAACACAGTTAACCGTTCTCAGGTTTTCATAAGTTGTTCATTTATTTTATTCCTTCATTATGTAACAACCAATCACTAAAATCTTCTGGAAAATGACCACATAGGTAAAACATACTTTAATCAATTGTTGGTATGTGATAGAGGAGAAATTGTTATTTCTAACATCAGGTTAAACCTGTTCATTAAGCACAAGTTTCAAATTCTCATCGAAAGAGAATTCCCAGAATGTAAGAACGAAGTTATTACTATTAAACTGGGATCAAACTTTTAAAAATTGAACTCTAAACAAGATCAAGGCTAGTTTTAAATTTATAATATAAACATATATCTCTGCAAAGCCAAGTCTTTTAACATGGTATGCATTGCTGATTTTTGCTTTCTTAGCAGGTGTTATAGATTCCCAGTTTCCTTCTTAAATTGTTCCATTTCTCACTTCTAAGCGCTACTTTCTCAACTAATCATGTTATTAGGGAGGCCAGTAGCATAGGTTGAAAGGACCTGCCTACATCCTTTTGTCCATTTGCTAATTCCCAAAGAGATTTCCCTAGTCACTTGGATTGATGGTGGTATTCCATAATTCTCAACTAGAGTCTAATGTTGTGGCTAATAAAGCTGAATGTTGTGGAATTCCGTGGTTAAAGAGATGTCAGTTTTAAAGGTCCTTATGCTTAGGAAATCATCTCACCCTTTATATTGCTCAGAGAAATTAGCATTACATTTTGTCCTGGATTTAGAATGGGTAGGTTGGATTCGAATTTACGCTTTACAGTGAAGCTCATTGTGACCCTAACCTGAATTTCTCCTAGCTTTGTTGTGAATATAAAAGTGGGGGAGAACCGTGTAAGCTGGTGTTTTTCATCAGTGATTTTATATATATAAAAAGGGGGGGGGGAGAGGGAGAGAGAGGGGGAGAGATATCCTTTATCTATATAGCTATATCTATATAGATATATATACTTTATCCAGTACAGACCATCATTGTTTTTTCTGACATATTTTTCTGATATATTTTTGTGTTTGATAACTCTCCCTATTGGCATAAAACTGCCATTTATCACTTCTAAGAATTTGTAATTGTAATTTTTGTGATGTCTCTAAAATTTTACAGACTTTTTTAAAAAATATTTGGATTTTTTTAAATGTACAATTTATATTGATTCAGATACAGCTTAGAAGCAGACAATAAAATAAATTTAGCGAAACTCAAAACTCCTAATTATGAAAACTAGAAATTATGCCCTTGATGAGAATCATGCAGAAATCACAGTATGTGTGTGTGTGTGTTCTATACACCTATTTCAGAGTCAGTTTTGGTTTTTTTATTAATTAAGTCATTGTGAGAATTTTCATTGCCTATTTGGTATTGAACAAATAAGCTCAAAATGATTAAGAACGCTTAATTTTACAGGGTGTGCTGATCTTCAGAGCCTTGACACAATGCAACCCATGGAACGGAAAAAGCAGGGTTATATACATGAGTTGATCCAGACAGAAGAAAAATACATGGATGACCTTCAACTTGTCTTAGAGGTAAGACCTATTTTGAAAGAAAAGTTGTTACTGTATAAAAATGTTGTCATTGCTTTTAATTAAATTGGGAAGTCTGGTGAAAACTGACCACATAGTATAAATAAAATAGCATGGATACCTCATCATTCAGTACAGTATTGTAAGGATCATCAGCTATGAGGATTTCCATACCTTATACCAGCGGTTCTCAGCCTGTGGGTCGTGACCCCATTTGGGGCCGAACGACCATTTCACAGGGGTTGCCAAACAACGCAGTCCCCCATTTTTCCCCCTTTTCCTTAGCTATGCTACTCCCTTTTATTCTATCGGCTTTTGAAAGCCAATAGAATAGACTCTCTTGAATAGAGTCTAATTCTATTGGCTTTCAAAAGCCAATAGGAATTGTCCAGGCTGTCTCTGCCCTGCTGAGCCTGCCAAAAGTCCCATTCTGCAAATGGTGCTGCAAGTTGTCTGCAGCAAAGGCGAGCTGTCTGGAAGTTTCCACCCCTCCCTGCTGAGCAGCTACTAAAAATGTAAGTAAAAGAGGGCCAGGGGTGGGAGGCCGGCGGGTGCAGGGAGGGTTGCTGACGCGCGTGGGGCCCAGCAGGTGCCTTACCTCCCTTGGGCTGGGCCAGCTGGTGGCCCAGCCAGTGGTCAGCCTGCTCCATCTCTGCCACTTGCCAGCTATGCCTCGGCTGGCGCAGGGGGCGGCACCACGCATGCACAGTGCTCCCGGGCAGGGAAAGTCCTTGACTTACGACGGGTTGGGTAGTTCTCGACTTACGACCGGTTGCGATCACGGCATTAAAAAGGTTGAGAACCACTGTCTTATATAGTAAAAACACACATTAATCTTTTGAATATGCAATGTAATCCTTTGTTTGGCATTCAGACAAATCAGCCATCAATAAATACATAGATACAAACCACATTTATACACCATTCAAAAGATATAATAAAAAAGGTAAGGGAAAAAAAGACCATAATGCATCCTTCCATCGAGCCATCTTTAAACAAGGATTAATACCAGACAAACAATCTAGCAGAAAACAATAGTCTAAACAAGGAACCACCAAGAAGAAAGCCATATCCCCACCATCACTAGCAGGACAAACTACTACATATAAACAGAGAGCAAACCCACACTCACTAGTCTTGATGATGTTACTTGGTCTGGTAATGAAATATCTGCAAGCGAATATTAAGTCAGAGAGAATTATCTCTCGTTCAAAATGTGATTATCTTAGTTATGATGTCTCCCTTAAAATATTTAAATAAATATTGAAAACAAGACATTCAATGACTGGTATAAACAACTATCAAATGATATATGGGTTTTAAAAACAAGCCAAGGATTAAATTCAAGATTATATAGGAAATGAAAAGACAACTGGCAACTCCAAACTTTAATTTTATTATCAAGCTAGTTGTCTAAGGAAGATTACAGACTGAATTGTATCTTGTTATGGACTGGACATCTCTATGGAGGAAGCTGCACTTCTAGATGGTATGCATAAATATCTCTGAATTGATTGAAGCAGAAACAAGCAGCTCACAATAATAAAGAGCAATATACTGAGTGTTTGGATAAATACTAAAAGAATTGGTCCAGATTTGTTATCTCTTGCTTTGTTCTTAAATGTTTATTTTTATGAAAAGGAAAGCAGAAAGAAAGCACAGAGGAGAGAAATTATTTATATAACTAAAGATGTTATTAGTAGGACAATCTCTTAAGCCTTTTATTCTTGTAATAGCTTCATCTGCCACATTGGTTTTAATATTGCAAATGAATAGTATTGTATTAAAAGAACTGCAGAAACAAAAGAAATACTTAGAGATTTGATTGAATTTGAAGGCCTTACAATATTAAATTTGGAGCAAAGCTGGGTCTTACCTATGGTTGCTGAAATATGACTCAGAAATTGAACAAGTTAAAGATTGTATATGAATGCAAAATTAAATATAATGATAGATATGCAAGAATGGGAATTTTAATGGTAGGAGGATCAAATTTACATATCATACTTGGAGAAAATTAATGTATTTTATTCGCTGGCATATACATTTGCTAAAATATACAGTTCATTTTCTGAATTTGGTTGGAAATATAATGATTCAGTCAGATCACGGAAGAATGTTAGATCCCCTTGGTGGAAGAATGGCTAAAATCAGTTCATCTCCCAGGAAAAATATACAAATTTGAAAGAACTCATTTTTTTCATCAGGTGAAATAGAAAATGGAGTTTCCAGAAAGGAGTTTAGTATCTCTTATCACAGTGTTACAGAGAAAGAATCTATAGTTGTGTTCTTTCTCAAAATTGATAAACTGAAGAGTAAGACAATAGTCCTCTTTGCACTCTAATTCAACAATGTCAAATATTTTGAAAAAAATTATTCATCATCAGACAACAGCTTTATGTGCAATAGAAAGAATAAATAAAATATTTCATAAATTATTACTTATTGAGTCAATTGTGATTTGAGTCACAACTATCACTAGTATTGTTCTTCCTGCGTCCTGTAGGTTTTCCAGAAACAAATGACTGAAGCAGGCTGCCTCTCAGAAGCTGAAATGGGGTTGATCTTCGTCAACTGGAAAGAGCTCATCTTGTGTAATACAAAGTTATTGAAGTAAGTACTGCTACTGTTTTGTTAATTTTTGTGCTGTTAAATGCCTCCATCCAAAACAGCAATCATATCTTTAAGTTTACATCACCACCCCAATTCCTATTCGTACATCTTTCCACCGTTTTTAAGTTCTCTCCAAAATATAAAGACCATGTGTCTTTGCTTTCTTCCTTAAGGTTATTCCATTGTTTTGTCTGCCATCTATTGCCTGATTTGCTATGAGTTTGAAGAGAGAGAAGATTGCTAGTCTGGCATTCACAGTCTCATTTGATTGCAGTTCTAGGGTTCTACTTACTGGACCCTCCTTTTGATTGCCTCTTTCACTCCTTTCCATTATTTGAGAGCTCCTAAACTAGGAAGAGATGCTTATCATATGTAGGGTAAACTACAGCCTGTGCACCGAGTTGAAGCACTGGGAATTCCAGGGTGCTCATAGATACCTCCTTTGGCACATTTCAGGCGTCATTTCCTGATTATATCTTAGTGGTTTAGATTTTTTTTTTTTTTTGAATTAAATAAATACTGAAGCAGTGTGAGCCTCAAGCATAATTTTCTCAGAATTTTTCTGGGGCTCAAAGATTCCAGAAGCATCCAGTGTTTTGTTTGGACATTGAGATAAGCTGAGATAATTGACATCTAATGCTAAATTTAGATTATATTTGTAACTTACTTTTGGGCCTTTTGGTTGTAAATAAGATTGACTGAGTGATGGAATTGATTGATTGATTAGTAATGACCTAGAAGGCTTCAGGAGGTGCTGGAAAGCAACCTTGTCGGTGTTCCTTCTAAGTAAAAGCTTTGTGTATTGTCAAGCCCATCAAAGGAGCCATTTTGCAAAGTTTTCAAATTCCAACTTGGCAAGTTCTGAGAGACTGAATTTTACATATTTGATGTGCCTGCCAGATTGACATCTCTTCTATTTCCCACAGTTCCTGTGAAACAGAAACATTTGTTTGCAAGGCCTTCTATAGCTTCATCTTTCTTGAATTTCTGGAGTCAGTCTGTTTTCCCATGGATATTTATGTATTTTTTTTTTCAGAGCCCTTCGGGTGCGTAAGAAGACTGGGGGGGAAAAGATGCCAGTACAGATGATTGGTGACATCTTGGCTGCTCAGTTATCTCATATGCAAGCCTATATTCGATTCTGTAGCTGCCAGCTTAACGGAGCTGCCTTATTACAGCAAAAAACAGATGAAGAGCCAGAGTTCAAAGATTTTTTGAAAGTAGGCTATTATTCAGTAACTCTCTCTTCACTATCTTTCCTCTTTCGCTTTGGATTGCATGTGCAAGTGTGACAGTAACTTTTTCTACTAGTAATGTCTTGAATAGAAGGAAGCCTTGACTCCCTCTCCAAAAAGCAAAAATGACCCTATTGAAAGTCACAACAGCATGTACAACTTGTTATAGCATTACATTTTAAATTACTCTGATGTCTATTGGACTCAAGCCATTTTTCTTTTTCACTGTGAAATGTAGAGCTGTTAGCAGTTTAACAAGGATGGTGCATAGTGATTAGGGGAAGGACAAAATTTGTAAGTACATATCGATGCATGTACATGTTGCAGGTTTAACACATATACATAACCTGTGGATGGTGCTGGGATGGGGCCAAGATTTAGATCAATTAACAGTTCTCTGCCTTCCTTCTTTCTAGATTTCCTTTATAAAAATACTTAGCACATTGAAGGAAATGTTAAATTAACTGAGATTCCTTCAGTTAGGTTACAGATCTCATTATGTAGTTTTATTCTGTGCATTTGCAGCTTTTTGTCTATCTAGTAACCAGTTGGCATGACTCCCACTTTTATCCTATTATTTATCTCTTTGTGTGCCTATGTCTACTGGGGAATCATGTAGCTTCTGAATTATGAAAACCTATCCAATGTGCCCTTTGTTACATTTAAAATGAAAAAATCTCAATATTAAATATAAGGCTGGTATTTTGCCCAACTCTCAGATTTCCTGAAATGTAGCTTTATTGTAGTTTTCAGAAGTTAAGATGCCCTCTTCTGTAAGTTAGAGGCATAAGTGATTGGTTATGAAACATAGAAAATCAACTGTTATAAACTTTATAGAAGCTAGAGGTGTTCTATATTTCTATAATGTTATGTTTCTGTTTCAAATTTATTTAAACATGTAGAAATTGGCCTCAGATTCCCGCTGTAAAGGCATGCCCCTGTCCAGCTTCCTCTTGAAACCGATGCAGAGAATTACTCGCTACCCTCTGCTCATCAAGAGTGTGAGTACCCAGTTGCTCTTTTTCTGAATCTCTGAATAACTTGCCTCAGGTGGAAAGGTGAATACAGCACTGCAAATACATTTATGAAAATATAAGAACGAGTTTTTCCTCAATATTGCCATGAGTTAATTTGTCTTTTTCTGCAACCAGATTCTGGAGAATACCCCTGAAACTCACCCCGATCGCAATAATCTGAAGCAGGCTCTCGAGCGTGCTGAAGAATTGTGTTCCCAGGTGAATGAGGGGGTGCGTGAGAAGGAGAATTCAGACAGGCTTGAATGGATACAGTCCCATGTCCAGTGTGAAGGACTTGTTGAGGTAACTGGGGCTTGGGCTCAGTGGTCAAGAAATGCAACTGAAATTTGCTATTGCACAGTTCTTATGGCAAGGAAGAAATGTTAGATAATACCTCGTAAATCCTCAGATAATATCTGAATTACATACCCAATACATTCATACATGCTTTATATAGGCAATGCATATAGAGAGAGTTTACCAGATATACGGAAAAAAAAATTAAAAAGGGAAAAGACACTAATTTAATGAACTCTTGGAACAACTGCATAACAATGGCAAGAGATACTGGGGTCAGGCACTGCCCCAGGATATGCACGCTCCATAATAAAGCTTTCTGCAAATAATTATACATTCTGAGACATTGGTTTGTTTCTAGATGAATCAGAAGCATGCCTTTTAAGAAAATAAAAGATGTTAAAATAAATGAAATCTCTTACTACAAAACCCCAAGGCTACAGAAAAGATGTTTTACATCTTTTAAAATTAGTTCAAGTTTCAGAAATGTTCAGAGGAATGTTGTATCATTATACCTTTATAAGCCAGTCAGAACACAAAAGCAAAATTCAAAGCCTATTAAAAGTATTTCATAGACACTAAGTATGTTAAAATATAAAAATGTCAAATTCCAAATTGAGAAAACTGAATCATTTGCTGGGACTAATTATAATAATTATAATAAGACTTGATATCAGCAACATGGTTTTTAAGTGGAATAATTTATATGGTGAAGAAAATCTATGTGCTTTGCATCATTTTTCTAGCAACTGATTTTCAACTCACTGACCAACTGTTTGGGACCACGGAAACTTCTGCACAGTGGCAAGCTTTATAAGACAAAGAGCAACAAAGAACTCTATGGTTTTCTCTTCAATGACTTCCTGCTTCTCACCTACATGGTGAAGCAGTTCGTCTCTACAGGATCAGATAAACTGTTCAGCCCCAAATCAAATTCTCAGTTTAAAATGTACAAAGTGGTGAGTGAATTCAAGAATCTCAGATACTTTCACCTGGGAGGAAATGGGATTTCTAGGAATAGAAATACGTTGTTCTTTAACCTGTAACTCTTTTTCCAACAGTTGGTGTTAATTGTATTATGTCAACTAATTAGCAATAATAGTTTTGAATTTACTGATCAAAACTCAGATTGTAGATAAAGTCATTATCTGTATCAATGGGATTTATTTTTTCTAAACTGCCAAAGCATTAGTTAGAGCAGTGGTGGCGAACCTATGGCACGGGTGCCAGAGGCAGCACTCAGAGCCCTCTCGGTGGGCACGCGCGCCATCGCCCCAGTCCTAGGCTTTCAGCTGGGTTTTATAAAACCTTTTCGCTTTAGGCCTCCGCTGCCGTGTACAAAAAAAAAAGGTTCAATCAATCAGTCAATTTCAACTTCTCGCGGAAAAAAAAAGATCTTGCAAAGTTGGAATTGATTGATTGAACTTTTTAGTCCTACCCAGTCTGCTGTTACCACCGCAGCCATACCCACCCAATGGGCCTCACCCACCCAATGGGCCACATCCACATGGCACCCGACGATGCATAGGTGGGTTTTGGGTTGCCGTGTGGGCACTCGGTCTCTAAAAGTTTCACCATCACTGGGTTAGAGGTTCAGTGCACCTTAATTGTGGGCATTTTTTTTAAGAACAAGGTTGCTGCATTCAAAAATCATTATTTAGCCTAATTTCAATAGCATACAGTTAGATAAACACTTATCTTTCCTTTTTAAGATAAGCTAAATAGCCATACTGCTTATGGAAGTCATGCTGAGTTTTATTTTTATGCTGTTAAATTTACTTTTGTGCATTCAAATTTGTGTGAGTTTCTGGAGACATGTTTTTTCTTGGCTATGAGCACATTGATTATGTTTGCTATGGCTATTCAACTGTGTCAAGCTCTCTGGAGAAACCTATCTATTCCTTTGGCTCATCTAAGAAAGTCATCATTCTTTGCAAAATATGAAACAACAAACATACTCTTGGGAAGGAGTTCCAAGAGAATCCTTGATGTGAAAATTAAACTTATTCCCCTTGCTTAAGATGTATAGAGATATATTTAACACTTTTATTTTTTTAACAAAATAAAATGTAATTAATGGGGACAGTAGGTTCTTCAAAAAGAATGTCTGCCAGATTTAAAAAGAAAATAATAGGTGCAGTGATTGTGGTTATCAAATTCCTTCAACTTGTTTTTTTAAAGATCAATGCACTGAATTAAATGTTATTTGCATTAATAGTTGACTCTTCTTTCAAAATCATTCCTAATTTCAATGCAAAATTTTATTCAAAATAAGCCTCTTCAGATTAGCAAATTTCTTGCTAATCAGCCTGTCACTTTTTGCTGAAATGTTTGAACTTAATTGAATCAAAATCTGTTTCTTCCAGCCTATTTTTCTTAATGAAGTCCTAGTGAAATTGCCAACTGACCCTTCTAGTGATGAACCAATTTTCCACATCTCACATATTGACCGAGTCTACACACTGAAAACAGACAATATTAATGAGAGGTGAGCCTCCAAATTCTTGCCTTAAAAAAGAAATAAAACATCTTCTGAATTTCTTTCCCATGAAATGTCAAAATGTATGCTGTTTTCTTTTTTGTTATTATGTTTGTTCTTGGATTCTTTGACTGTAGTAAATCTCTTATTCATATCCAAAAGGCTACTTTTGGAATGTGAGAAAAGCATTGAAAAAAATGTTCAAAAGTAGGATGTATCACAATTTGGCTGCATACGTCTACTTTGTATCTTAATCCATAAAAAAAAATATTGGTAATTTCACGAACTGCAGAAATTACAGGATTCATCATCTTTCTAAGGAGCAGGAACCCAAAAACCAGATATGATGACAGTAAAGAGAATACTAATTGTCCTAAGGGAGACTGGCATAGAAAATCCCTTAAATAATCTGTTGCAACTTTAACATTCTATAATAAATGGTACTGAGAATAGAGAAATTTGCTGTTTTATTATATGGGTACAAACATATTGATCAGTGTGTCTATATATGTACTGTATACCCATATTTAAAGATTTCGTGGTTATCAAGGATATTTCATGTTTTCTGGAGCCAATAATTAAGAATGAAATTAGAATGTGACATTCACAGGTTTGTGTTCAGATGAAGCCAAATCTCTTAATAAGTTGTTTTTGTTATAGAATAGAATAGAATAGAATAGAATAGAATAGAATAGAATAGAATAGGACTTTATTGGCCAAATGTGATTAGATTCACAAGGAATTTGTCTATATTATTGTTCTTTAACAAAATTGTTCATTCTTGTAGAACTGCCTGGGTCCAGAAAATTAAAGGAGCTTCAGAACAATATATTGAAACTGAAAAAAAGAAACATGAAAAGGCTTACCAAGGTGCTGATCTGCAATTGTAACTTTTAGTAACAGCTATTTTCGTGTTTTTGTGAGATTGGAAGGACTTGGCATTTATGTCAAGTGATATCTTTTGCTAGCCAGATGACATTTTCAAACATTCTAAGACATCAGTATTCATCAAAGATACTTTGGGTTTTAAAATAAGTACTAAAGATGTGCTAGATTCCTTTTTATTTAGGTGTAGATGTGTTAACAGAAAAACACTGATTGTGTATCAGCTCCAGAAATTTCATAGATCTGCATAAATACCAATTGACAACCTGGTTGCTGTGGGGTAGTACCTAGTATTCATGAAACAATCCAGAACAAATTGATCAACTTGCAAACTACAGAAATAACTTTTGTGTAAATCTGCCAATAGATAGCTTGTTCTGAAATCTTTTTTTCACATCTCATTTTTATTTCTTTTTCAGCTCGATCACAAAAAAGCTCAGGAATAGGACGTTTGATGGTACATGTGATTGAAGCAACAGAATTAAAAGCCTGTAAACCTAATGGTAATAATTTAGGGATGGGTTGTCAACTATCTGGCCAAATAGTTTAAACTGAGGGGAGATTTGCTGTTAGAAGTAGAGGCTGCCAAGCACGTATTTCCAAAATATAATATGTAGCCTTGCAGGGGAGATCTTTTTTCCTGCATAGTATGGTGAATATATAAGTAAAAAAGGTGGGACATTATAAACAAACTTGTTGAAGATAATCACAGACATTTATAACCAGGTATTAAAACCATAAAGTTATTATTTGGAGAAACTGTTTGTGAATCCACCCTTTCAACCTTCTGGAAGGCGTTAAAACCTGGCTGTGCCAAATTGGCTTGGTGCTTTGTGTTGGAGTGGCTAGTGGACTAATAAGTACAGATAGTCCTTGACTTAAACCATAATTGAGCCCAAAATTTATGTTGCTAAGTGAGACAATTGTTAAATAAGTTTTCTCCCATTTTATGACCTTTCTTGCCACAATTGTTAAGTGAATCACTGTAGTTAAGTTAGTAACATGGTTGCAAAGTGAATCTGACTTCCCCATTGACTTTGCTTGTCACAAGTTTGCAAAAGGGGATCACATGACCCCAAGATTCTGCAACTGTCATGAGTCAGTTGCCAAGCATCTGAATTTTGATCACGTGATTATGTATGAAAAATGGTCATGTCACTTTTTTCAGTGCTCTTGTAACTTTGAACAGTCATTAAATGAACTGTTATAAGTCGAAGACTACCTGCATGGTGCCAATGCTGTACCAATCTTACCTTTGGTTTTTATTTCTATATTTAAGGTTAATATTTTTTTATTATTTTAATTGTAATCCACCAGAGTTGCTTTGCAGATGAGATGAGTGGCATATAAATTTGATATATAATAGATGCACTTCTGTTTTGAATTAAGGAAAAAGCAATCCATATTGTGAAGTTAGCATGGGATCTCAAAGCTACACTACCAGGACACTGCCAGATACCTTGAACCCCAAATGGAACTTTAACTGTCAATTCTTCATCAAAGATCTTTATCAAGATGTATTGTGTATCACCATGTTTGACAGGGATCAGTTTTCACCTGATGGTATGTGTGGAATTCTGTGTTTGACCATATTTAAAATTTCCTTCCAATTTTAGTGAATAGAAAACAGAAGCATAAGCTCAAAAAGTAGCCAGACTTCTACTGATTTTGATTGTCCAAAATATGCTGATAATGCTTAATTTTCTTTATTTCTTTAAGATCTCTCTTTGTTTCACATTTGGTGATCTGACATAGGAATTTTGTTGTTGTTATGCAGAGTTTTTGGGTCGCACTGAAGTTCCTGTAGCCAAAATCAGGACAGAGCAAGAAAACAAGGGACCTACAGCTAAACATTTACTACTGCATGAAGTACCAACAGGGGAAGTTTGGGTACGCTTTGATTTACAGTTATTTGATCAGAAAACACTTGTTTAAAGGAAGAAAATGTGTTTTATTTATAACAGCCAAGACCAGCATAGATCATTGAACTACTTTTACTGGCATGTTTTACAAATGGTATTTTAATATATACTGCTGCAAAATCATTTTGCCTAGTCACACGAACATTGTTTCTCCAAGTATATGTTATTTAGCTCTGTGCTTTGCACTCCTGTGTTGGTGGCAATCTATGCAATATACTGTATATGAGATAATATAAGACAGTGCCTTTCTTTATTGAAAGTAAATATTTTTACAGTAAATGCCAGTGTTTATTTCAGATTCCTTTTAAGCATTACCAAGGAATCTTGACAATTTAAAATGTTTGAAATCGCTCCGCTTAGATTTCAATGAACCATAGGATATTTTAGTTCGGGGCTAAAATCATTCCTCAGGTTCAAAAACTGGAGTCTGGTTGACCCTTATCTCAGGATATAATTGTAGAAGAAGTTTCAGCACTTCAGGATCCTTTCAAGATTCTATATTGACAAAAAGTGCAGCCTTTTAAAAACTTGCTTCTGTTTTAAAAAGGAAATAAAATCTCTCTCTCTCCAGTTCTTTTAATAATTTTGCAAACTTACCAAGGTTTTTTGGTGGTAAATAAGTGAAATTATTTTGTCTAATGTGGGACATAATGATATGGGTTATGTGACTCATCTGCAGAAACAAACCACCAAAGCACTCTCTAAAGCCACTGCTTAAGGCATCAGGAGACCACATCCTCCTCAAGGTGGCCCATCTGTAGCAATCCCTGGAAAGTGTGCATGTCCAGACAATAAGGGAGCGGCTTTTGAAGCAGCCATGCCAAGCCACCCTAATGTTCAGATAATAAGGGAGTGGCTTTTGAAGCAGCCATGCCAAGCCACCCTAATGCTCAAGCTATGGCTTCAGAGAACCATGCTTCCAAACGATTGGCCTAATAATGTTTTGAAAAGTGGAATTTCATGCAGATCTCAGTAAAACATGCAGCTAAAACATGTCCAAGACAAAGATTCCGAGGAGGAGGAAGTTAATGTTACCTTGGGCTTTATAATAAATAAAATAAGCTGATGAATATACTGTAATTTCTCTACATATTAATATGTGGCATATTGTTTTTCTTAAGCCAGTTTTATTGTATTTTGGAATGTAAATGAGTAAGAAAGCATCTAGGAATGAAACCATGCAAAATTATCAACGCTTTAAAACCAGTTACATTTACCATTGGAATTGCTATATAGGATTTTATGGAATTCAAGTCGAGAGTATTCATCCAAACTCCTCTGGTATGGCTTTACTAATAGAGCCTGAGCACAGCTAGTTTTTATTTATTTGCAAATTTTTAAAATGTGCTGCTATTGAGCCATGCTCTTTATTGTGAAGGGTTCCTCTTTATAGAATGTAAGGGTTGAGTAAGAGCTGTATATTTTGAATATGCATCTCAGATATATGTATTATTTTTAATTTAAAACAATGAGTGAAATTGTATGCCTTAAGTGCTGCCTTTCCATGTAGCTAAGTGAACTGCAAACCTGAGAAACAGTTTTCTGAAATGCATTTTTATTAATATGAAATAAAAAACGTTGTTCCCAAAGTATATATTCAATTAATTGAAATTAAACACATTGTATAAACTTCTGTATGATAGTCATTTCTGGGCAAGTGGAAAAGAAACACACACTATTCCAAGTTTACATAAGCCAAATTGCAGTTTAAAAACTCCAATACAATAAAGAGGAAAAAAAAAAAAGTCCAGATTTATACCATAAGAAAACAATTACATTTAAAACAGTTAAAATATTTTAAAATAATAATTATGTGAGGAGATACAATTTATTTTGAAATTCATGTATTCATACACACAAGCATATTTCTTGGGTATAGAGAAAGTAAATATAGCTCTATAGAGTGCTACAAAGACAATTTTATCACAATTTTAGAACATTAGAATTTTTGGTTTGTTTCTTTTTTATTTGCAACTGATATGCTTCAGGCCAACAGAAAAAGAGGAAATGTCAATGTTAAAAAAAAAATTTCCAAGCAGAAGTTCTCATTCAATTGTCCATAACATCCATTCCTTCCCAGAACACATCAGGAAAAGTAAGCTGTTGCTAACAATATACAAACACCTTTATTCATCACTGCATTTCTGGTTCTTTTCTACTCTGCTCACATGTGCATGGTGCATGTGTGTATCCTGAAAACAAGAGTTCACATTACTTTATGTGCCTTCGAATAATTGGGCCTCAACTCCTGCTGCTATTCAATGAGATTTTTCACTTTACCTCAAGAGATTATTTCTAACCAAAGAAGACTATACTTTTTATAATCAGGTATATTTTAACAGTTCATAACAATAAACAATGTAGGATTAGGCAACTGGCTTGAAATTACTTCCACTTCAGTCTCTAAAATTGAAACTTGGAAAAATAATGTTTTTATTTGGAAAAAAATGTATTTTCCTGTAAGCTGTAACACTATATCTTTGTTCCTGCACATTATTTATAATTTCAGCACCTGTCCAAAAAGACAATGCCATAAAATTGAATCAAATGAAGCTAAAGACACTAAGTTAAATGGATAAAGAAAATTTCATTTCTGGTGATAGAGGAGAATTTTATGAAAGAAAACCTCATCTCTGAGCTTTAAAGATTAATAAACTCTTGAGTTAACTCCTAACTCTATTGAAGATTCCTTACTTTAAAGGAATGTAAAAAAAAATCTATATTGCACCAGGAGCAGAAACACTAATCTCTCAATGAGCCTTTAGAAATGAAGTAACTGAATATTTTTTTAGCTGCTTTGTGGACAGGCTGTTAATCTTGCTTTGTATCTAAATAGGAAAACAACTTAGGGAAACAGCAAAAGCCATATATTCCTGCTAAATTTATAAAAGTCTGTTGTTCAGTCTTTTAGAACAATTCAACTGGCATCAGCAGAGCCTTGGATTTAAAGACAAAAGATGCTTTCGAGCATGCAAGGCACTCGCCTAGCATCTGATTGCAACTTCTTAAGCCAAATGCATTTTTCCCCAGCAACTACAAGCACACGCACTTGCCGGGGGAAAAAATGCAGCTGCTTTTAAGAGCACATCCCTGTGTTCCCCAAAACATCTTTTTATCTCTGTATCTGAAGCACTGTCTAACCCTATTCCACTTCCACTTCTGAAATAAAATATACTTATATAGCACATTCTGTGATTTTCCCCTGTAAGAAAATATGAAGCAGCTGCTTAGCAATACTTTTGAAAGCAGTAATATGCAATCACAATTTTATGCAGCATTTAGTGTAAAATCCCTGTAGCCTATGTTTTACTATTCTCAGTAGTACCTGATGCGGAAATAAGCTTCTAATCGTTCCTTTTAAGTAATTGGATCACACTTTTATGGACCAAATTTTGGCATTTTCCTTTTACGAGGAATCAGTTTCAAAGAAAGATCAATAGAAAGCAGATTTTATTTTTGGTTTCCAAACTGATGAGCCAGTAAATATCTGCTTTGACAAAAGACTGGCTATTTGGGTGAACTCTGATTTCCTGACAGAGGGGCATCTCTTCTTCAGTGGAGGCCAGGCCGAGTCACCCCAGCTCTTGAAATCCATAGTACTCTGGTTTCTAGTTGAGCTCATTTTTTGCCTTTTAACAGAATGAAATTAGGATGGTTAATGCTGCCCGTTATTACTCAGCACCAGTGTTTACCTCTGTTGAACCAGTTGTATGCTGTGCTAATTGATGCTGCTTGACACTCAAAAAGGTGGCCAATTTTCAAACATCACCTTTCGATTTCAGTGATACATAAAACCAAACCTTGTTACTGTTGATAATGGTGGAGCTGCGGACAATATAAAATGCACAGTAAATGAACAACATGGAATTATTCTGTGAGGGAGAAGACAAATCATCTTCAGTGGGAAGTCTCTTCCCCTTGGCTTTAAAAGGCAGACTGTTACAATGTTGGTGGAAGGCCTGGGGCTAGACCCAGATCATTTCCTGTTTTGAACCGGAGAGCAGGTTCCTGGCTTTCCTGGTTGTTGAGCCCCTAGGGAGAAAGTTTATTTCCTTCTTTCTTGCTTTCTCTTGCTCTTTACCTTTCCTAGCTCTCATATGTGCCTTCCTACAAAAAAGAAGGAGAATAAGAACAGGAACCACACACTTCCTTAGAGATCAATTATAAGGATTTGCTCCTGCCAATTCCTTTTGTTTTCTGGAACTGAAATTTCAAGGTCTCTGTTCGATCTAATTACTGTAATATTGCCTACCTAATTCCATTGTTCCTCCAAAATATATAGATCAGACTGTGAATGTTTACTGTTTAACCAAAGCCATTGTATTTTAAATGGATCAGATGGGGGGGGGGTATGTGTATTGATTTTCTTTTATTCTAAAACTGACCTTTAATAAGGAAGGAAGGGGAAAACTAATGCTAAAAACAGTAAAAAGAAAATTTAGTTATTTTGCTAAATGCCTTGGAAAATAGATGGTTAGTGATGTGTTAGAATGTCAATTGCATTCATCATCATTCCATTTGTAATTCTTATGAAGCTGGGTCTTACTGAAGGATTCCTAGGGAGTGCTATCGCTGAATTCTACTTCACAGAAGAGATTATCTTTCTACAAGTCACTAACTATCCCACACAGCCTAGTCCTGAACCACTGAAAGTGAAAATTAAAGGATTAAAGAAGAGTATGTCTCAATCAGTTTTAAATTGGAGAACAGAATCTCAGCCCGATACATCATGAATCTTTGTGCATACTTGAATACAGATCAGGGGAAGCCTCAAGCGAGAGTATTAAGAATGGTTTTCCTCCGTAAAGAGAAGCCCCTCTCTACTTACCTCTACGCGTCCCATCAGGTCCAGCAGAAAGAGTCCTGTCTATGAAACAGTCTCAACTTTTCTGGCCCAGCGCCTGCCCCTTGGGAATGTCATTCCCTAGTGGTGGGTCTGGCTTGCCATGTGAAAGGCTCTAAAGACAGGCTTGTCTCAATGATCCTGAGCTTCTGGTTAAGGTTTGGAGCTTGCTAGACGGTTATACTTATTGATCCAAGACTTGCACTTGCCTGCTTTTTTATGAATGTTGGTTTCAGTTAGGTGTTTATTTAGCTATTGTGTTTTTACTGTTTTCCTGTGTTTGTTTATTGGTTGTGTTACTGTATTTATTGTTTTTTTAACTATGAACTGCCCAAAGTCACAAATACGAGGTGGCAGATAGACAAATTGAAAAAATAAAATAAAAAGAGGTACATTTTGAACTGCCTCTAACCATCTTCAAAGTAATAAAAGAGCAAATGTCATCTTGCCAGCATTGTGGCTAGCTGCAGACATGTGGATATACAAGTTATTGCAAAGAACTACATTCTGTTCTGACAAAGTGAAACCGGAAGCAACATTAGGAAGAACGAGAACTGAGCCTCATCACAAGAAGAGATTCTATTATTCTCAACTACAGTTCCACAAAAATGAGCCCTGTAGTAAACTGCCCTTCAATGAGCAAAACAAATGACTTATATTGAAGGATCTCAGAGACTATTTAAATTAAAAATATAACAGCTTAAGAAGAAACAGCAGCTATTGAAAATGAGAATGCTTTTTTTCTGAAGTAATGGAATAAAGGAAAACTGCATATTGTAATCTAATGGCTACCTTGTTACCAAACTGGAACTAGCAAAGATTCAGTTCCACTATAGACCTCACTAGTCACACACACTTATTTCAACTTTGATGAAGATTCTTTTTGTAGGAATAAATGCAAACTCAATAGATGAATTGAGAGTTAAGGGGAAAAAACTGGGGTGAATCAAAACTGAGTAGTGGGAATTCTAAATAGGCGTTTCAATAAAAAAGAATAATAGAGAAAATATAGCACTGGGGGGGAGAATAAATTTGACAAAACAGCGTGCCAAATGAATTATTACAGCAGCTAGGAATCAACCATAACCTCAAGAAAGGGTAGAATGGCTTCGGTGGTTTTGCAATCTGGTTTCTATTAATATCCTCTGCAAGAGAAGGTTACAGGCTATATTTGGTTAATTACAAATTTGGCTAGTGCTAATTACAGGTAATTTAGAAATATATGGTCATTTATATAATAAAATGGTAAAGTTTGTGTTCCAAAGGGTTCACAGAATGTCATCATTATACCCTTCATAATCAACTTTTATATCTGATGCTATTCAACAGAGAATGAATTTTAAAATGTAAAGGTTTCTCAAACTTTACCGGCTTTTTTGACGGACATCACTTTCCACATACTGGAATGGAATTTTCAGCCAATCTATGGGGTTCATAAGTTGCCGACCCAAAGGAAGTGGTGGTAACTCAGTCTTATGTAGTTCATGAACATCTTTAGAGGAATATAATTTTCCTGTAGAAAGTTGTAATGCATATAGAAAAAAGGTTTTTTTCTCCTCATTAGGCAAACTTTCTGATGAAAAAACAAAACCTGTATAGTATTCAGCTAAATCCAATCTTCCCCCCAACCCCAAGTTACAGACATATCATTTGCTGTATATATCACATCGTGGAAATGGTTTCCAATATTTTCAAATTGTCATGCTATTTTAAGATTAATGCAAAAGGGAAAGATGAAAGAATAATTCAAAGCCTGGTCTCTAAAGAGACATTAAACCTGAAGAATATCAGATGCAAACAGAAATATTACAGAACCTGTTTCACATTGCTGCATAATGCTGGCTTCGATGTATCTTCCTTCTACTTCCTTTAACAAGGGGTCACGTAAAGGAGGAACGGATGCCTAGAGGGAGAAAATAGCTAGTATTAATATTTTAATACTTCATAACATCAAATTAGTCAGATCTATACCAATAATCCTCGATTTATGACAATTGAGCCCAAACTTTCTGTTGCTAAGATGGTCGTTAAGTGAGTTCGCTCTATTTTACAAGCTTTACAAGCTTTCTTTCCACAGTTATTAAGTGCATCACTGCAGTTAAGTTACTAACACAGTTGTAAAGTGAATCTGGCTTCTTCATTGACTTTGCGTGTCAGAAGGTCGCAAATGGTGATCACATGATCCTGGGACACTGCAACAAGTCAGCTGCCAAGTGTCTGAATTTTGATCACATGACCATGGGGATGCTGCAGTGGTCGTGTGAAAAACGGTCATAAATTCCTTTTTTCAGTGCCATTGTAACTTCAAATGATCACTAAATTAACTGTTTTAAGTTGAGAACTACCTGTAGTTCAGTTGCTATATACATCAAGGAGCATTTAGAAGCTTCCACACTGAACCTTGAAAGAAAAGTGCAGTCATGTTGCTCTGCAAAAAGATATCAAACCTACTTGGTTCACAACTGGTGAAGTTTAGATACTGAATTTCTGTCCTCCTATTCTTGGGCATAGCCAAATAAAGGGCTCCCTGAAAAAGATCTGGTTTCCGGCCAATGCAGCTGAGTCAGGTACTAGATAAACCCTCTGACTGACTGCTCCATCTTCAGCTCAACCAGAAACATCTTGGGTAGCATTCAGCAAGCCAACATTTTCTAATTTCACTCCCTAATCTATAATATAAGAGTAACTACACCAATTAATCTTTTATGTATGATGTGAGCATTACCTTGAATATTTTATCACTTTATTTTCACCATCATTTAAAAGACTTCCACAAAGAGAGGCAAACAAGATGAAACTAGTTGTGCAATGTGTTATTCTCTAATTACTCTATAAGACTATGTAAATTATGCTCCAGCAGTAATAAGCAATATCCATTTCGAATGTGTATAATACTTTCTTTTGTCTTCATGGTTCTTCCCTTCTATGTTCTTAGAAATTACAAATCCATTCTATTTAAGCAACTAGAAACTGGAAACTACAAAAACTGCACATGCTCTAAACTTGGGAAGGGGGAAAGGTGAGAATCCTCACAGGAAAGGCAAGGCCAGCTCTGCCATGAAGTGTCTTTATTTAAATTTCAGTAGCCAGGAAGCCAATACCACAACTACCTACAAATACCTGTGAGGTATTTTCCACCTCTTCTTTTAAAATCTCTAACCCAAGCCCGTCTTTCACAGAAGTCTAAGAAAGTCAATAGGAGCTCATCAGGAAAATGGGAATGCACAGTCTCTCTCACCTTCCACAAATCTGGAGAAGTCTTCAGGAAGAAAGGATCATAAGATGACGGACTATAACTTTCTAAAAATGCACCTCCCTGAGTGAGCAGAAAGAGCACTCGGTGAACCTATGGCCATCACATATTATTACTTCAGAGTAGACAGTAAATATTTCCTGTTTGATAGCTTAAATAACATCTAATACAAATATCTTACACAAATTACTCTTATAGTCCCAATTTTCATAACATCTTCTTACAATAAAATGAGTTTATTTTTATCACCCATGTGAATCAACACCACTGAATCAGGATATTTTTATCCACTTTATATGAAAGTGAATTCATTCAAGCCAATACAAAAACCAAGTATTTCAGTTACTATACAAACTGTATTAAATGAAGACCCAACACTTTTTCAGCATTACCAAGGTTGACATTTTGAGACGGCAATTGCCCTTTACCTATAAATTAATGGACCTTTTTAGAAGAAATTTTAGTTATTCAAGACAGTAAGGACCAAATTACACTTTCCACAAAGCATATTTTTAGAGGGCTTTATTTTAATCACTAGAGACCTTTCCCCTCCTGAAAAAGGAGCTTCATGGATTTTAATGTGCATTGCAACCAACGGGGAGGGAGGGAGGTTAACCATTTCCTCTCCATCCTTTCTTCCTGTCATTTCTGCTACACTGCAGAAAATGGTTTCAAACAAAAACAAAATATATGTCTTTGTTTACAGCAGGGGTATTTTCAGCAGATAAATAAATGTGAAGGAAGCGTTTAATCTTTCCCTTCATATATGCCATAGTTCTGATACTAATAAGGCAAAGCTTAACTTCTTATTCTGAAAAAGAAGAAAGTTACCATGACAAAGCAAGCTTTTGAAATGAATTTAAATACAACACATAAATTGGGGAATGATGGTTTAATTTTAGAGTAAGATGTAGGCCACATTTCAAATGAATTTTTATGCACAGCCTCATATATTTTTTTTGCCTATTATACAGTATATTTACATTATAAATGACTTTGAAGCCATTGGCACTGATGAACTTTCCCATACAGCTGAGTACCTTTAATCCCTGGTAAAAATTTTATGTTACGCTCAATATAGATTTGCAAGAAATATATTGCACCAAACAAAAAATATAGCATATATTCCTGCTTCAAAGAGTGTGTATGATATACCTATTACAAACATTAAGGAAAATAATAATATTATGTGGGCAGACAATACATAAAATCCATAATTACACAATGTCTTAGTTCTTTTTCTTCACTGCATGGTGCTTAAAATACAATTAGCAATGATTCCTGAAGAACTTTCTCCTAAGTCGTCAGTCATTTTCATTGTACATTTGGGAAGCATTACAACCACAAACATTTGAATCTGGTCTACCGTAGAAAAGTGGCTTTTATTTATGGGCCAGAGCGCTGAAGAAACCCAAAGCATCTTCTGTCTTCAGGGATATTTAACACTGTCAGTATTCTTCTGCCGGGCTTGATACCTCCTCTGAGACTGGATAGGTGGAAGTACGGGGAGGAAGAAAGGGTTATGGGAATGATAAGCACTGAAGTCATGACCATATTTTGATTCGGATTCTGGAGGATTTTGTGAGGCCAAAGAAGTATCCGTGGCTGAAGGAGAAGATGATTGAAGGACAGGAGATGAGACAGGGGGAATTATATATTTTGGGAGAGATGGCAAAGCATTTGGAGAACTGACCAGTTCTGTGGGGGACAGCTGTAGGAAGGGTGAAGGGAAAAAAATAGAAGGTGAATGAAGATAAGGGGGAAATGGAGGAAGCAAATGAAAGAAATGAGATGGAACAGAAGGAGGAAGTAAGACTGAGGGGAGAACGATAATTGGAGGGGAGGCAGATGGAGAAATGGAAAGGAGAGAGAAGGGAAATGGAGGAAGAAAAGAAGGGAAATAGGAACTATAGGGAGGACTCTGGGACTCAAAAAGTGGATGAAATGGAGGAAGGAGCACACATAATGAGACGGAGGATCCTGGAGCAGAAGAAGCCTAGTAGAAGGAAAAATACAAGGAAAGCAGAAAACAAATATATGAGCAGAAAAGCATAGAATGTTAAAATATACTAGATAATAACAGAAAGTCAAAGACAAGTTTCATTCTTTCTTACTGTCAATGGCAGTTAAGTAAGACTGAAATAACAAATAAACTTTAAAATGACAGAATGCAGTTTTATATGCAAATTCAATCACGTGTTAATTATGATGCACATATATAGAAATGGTACACACTTTATAATCATTTATCATAATCATTTTTCATACTTGCAAATCTCTATTTTTGCCTTTTGAGGATTTTTCTATCTCTCTTTTAAAATGAAGGTATTAAATTTACTCACTGATACTGCCTTTGAGACTGTACGTGATGGATAGAAATAATAATTTATCCAAACATTTCTGGACAATAAATATAGCAAATCAGGAACCCAAATAAAGCAGAAGTCTAATATGTGGTCTGCATTTATATATACTGCATACATAAACGGAGATCAGCCAAGTATACACACACACTTACACATTTGTATATATGTGATATTTTCAATAACTATCACGTCTGAAGCAAATAAACCAAGAATAGAAATAACTATGGTTACTTATATTGATTGTATTGAGGAGTATTCTCCCAGGTCAAATTCCCTGGGAATTTTACTATGAAGCTCAAAATTGATTGATGTCAGCCCTCCAATTGAAAAAAATCTGAAGTCCTAATTACCGGGGGAAGAGGATCATATTGGGAAAGAAATAGAAGCCAGAAATATATTTAGTTAGCAGGGATCATTCAGTTAACTACAAAGTTCATAACCTTTAATGACGTGTCATTTGTTCCACAATGGTAGAAAAGATTGGCCTGTGTTACCCAACTGAAATAGCCAAAGCATTCCAACACACACATCTTTCACAGAATGTTCCACCAGCTGTTTCATCCCGTTTCTCTAAGATAGAGTCTTATATATATTCTAAAAGTCAGTAAAGACTTTAGGAAATGGGAAGAGAAGACAAGGTCTCTTGATGCAATTGCCTATAGTTATGTAATTCTCCTTGCAAGAATTCAAGCAGAGATTGTCCGATGCTATATGTAAGAAACCCCCTTTGAATTCTTGATTCATTCCTAAAATAAGATGTTCAAGAATAAACATCTGTGAATTTAAGAGCCCCTTTTCACCCTTGCCACAAGCCTTCCCTCCACAAGAGAAGATGAAGAGAAGATGAAGAGCAGCAGGACAGGCAATCCTTGACTCGAATCCGCTGCTATGTAGTTTATATACAACTTGAAAAATACCCATTAACTGCAGCAAGTAAAATAACCTGACTGATTTTGACTTTTATGACCACAACGAGCCTAAAATTGATAAATTGCTAAGCAAGGCAGTTGTTAAGTGCGTTTGCCCCATTTTACTTTCTTGCCACAAAGTGTTAAGTGAATCACTCCAGTTATTAAGTGAATCTGGCTTCCCCATTGACCTTGCTCTTAAGGTTAATTTTAAGGTGATCAGGTGATCCCCGGACACTGCAACCGTCATAAATACATGCCAAGCATCCGAATTTTGATCACATGATCATGGGGATGATGCAACAGTCATAAGTGTGAAAAATGGTCTTAAGTCACTTTTTTCAGTGCTGTTATAACTTCAGTCACTAAACAAATGGTTGTTAACTTTGTACTTTATGTTCAAAGCTCGGCAATGAGTCCATGAGGGCAACTTAAATGCAACTTTCTGTATCTACTGATTCAAGTCTTATAACTGGTCTTTTCCCCCCATTCTTCAGTTATGAGTTCCATGCACTTCATTGATGTTGTGGATTAGAGTGAATAATCCCTCTGGGTTTGCTCTGCAAGTTATGCTCCCTTGTCTTTTCTTATAAGCAGGCAGCTTGTCTTCTTTTCACAGATACTGTAGATGGCTGCCTTCACACTAATCTTGCCACTACATTTTCACAGCTTGGCATATAAAGTCTTTGGCATAGAGATTATTTCAAGAAAAAAAATAAACCATCCACCTTAATGAACCCAAAAGGAAATTAGTAACTTGACTAAAATACATTACAATATGTATCAGAGGAAGTAATTGTTTTTCTCTAAAACAGATCTTATAGAGGAAAAAATATATTTTTCCCTTCCCCTTTTTATTTTCCACCCATCTACAGAAAAAAATGAAACATAGCAGAGAGTCCCAGAGTCACCCTGAAGTGCAGCAACTGACAAGAAATAGGCAACTATTAAGGGCCAGGATTTTCATCATTATGGTACCAAAATAAGTGAAAGACGAGGACAGGCTGCCAAACTTTACTGTTTGCATTGTTATGTTCCTGCACACAGGCTCCTTGTTGCACTCTAAGTGACAAAATAAAACCAAATCATCTTCTGTTCACAAGAAAACGTCCTTTTGATTAGTTGGTCCTACATTTGTCTATTCAACCCAGGTAATGCTGAAGGTGTTTTACATGAAGGCATCACCAGAGCTCAGTGAATTCTCAGAATATATTATATACAATGACCCTCTCTGTGCAGGCCTCATTTCCTCCATTTCCAATGATCTATGCCTCACTTTAAACAAGCAGCATGTTATTCTGTTTCAGTGTGGAATTGGATAACTCGATGCAGCCAGCTCAATGTGGCCATCTGAGAACCACCAAGTCGCTTAGGCCAACTCACCACTGCCAAGTCACAATAGGACAACTCCACAGGGCCACCTTGCCATGGAGACAATTCCCCTTGGGCAGCCAGAGGAAGAGTATATTGGGTAGGTGGGTGAGCAAGCGAGCAGGTGGGCAGAGCACAGAGTCGTGGCCTGGAGCTTCCCATTTTCCCATTCCCTGCCGCTGCTGCCACCCTCTGAGCCAAAGAGACCAGGGATGGTGGTGGCAGCAATGGGTGGGATGGGTGGCAATGGAGGCTGGTAGCACCCCATTTTCTCACACATACATACACACACACACCCTTCCGCTGCCACTGTCCCCAGCCTCTTCGGCGTGCAGCTCAGTGTGATGGCAGTGGCAGCAGGGAGTGTCAAAATGGGACACCCCCCCCCCCAGCCTCCATTGCCACTCTATGCTCTGCCCACCCGGTTGCTTGCCCACCCACTTAGCTCTCCCTCCATCCATCTGCAGCAAGTTGTCCCCACAGTGAGTTGGCCGTGTGGAGTTATCCTGTGGCAACTTGACAGCAGTGAGTTAGCTGAGGTTACTTAGTGGTGGCAAGCTGGCCATGAGCTGGCTGCACTGAGCTGGCCGTTCCAAGTTGTCTTAGATGCATTTCAGCGATGGTGAACCTACAACATGTGTATCATTGACACATCATGATCTTTTGGCTTCACCAACAGCTGACAACAATAATTCTCGAAAGCATGCCCCATTCTTGCAGAAATTTAGAGGCTGTGGAGGCTGAATGAGAATGAGGTGTGCTCTCACATGGATTCTAAATCCTTCAAGTCTTACAAAAGGGCTGTGCTCTCATACAGCTCCCAGAGTGTCTGAAAATTGTATGAGAAGGAAGTGTGTTTTTACAGTTTCCAGAGGCTGTAGAGTCCATGGAAGAGCATTCTCCAAAGTTGCTTCAAGAATGAAGGCCTTTTGCAACTTGGAGCAGCCTCAGATAGGCTGCAGGGGCCCGTCAACAGAAAGAGAGCACCACTTGAAGATAAGCAGCATGCAGCAGATCCTGGGGAGTGCCACATAGTGGGAACAATTATGCCAAGGCTTATGTCCTTGGGGAATGGTGCACGGTGGCCTTTTTGAGTGGCAGCAATGGCATTAGGGCTGAACGTGAGGCCAAGGCCTCTGCTTCCCAGCCTCAAATGTGCCACTTTTGAGTGTAGCCTAGATGGGGTCAGGGGAGATAGAGAATTGTTTCTTTTTGATTGACACACCAGAAAAGTCAAGGTAGGCATTTTCCCAATTTTGACACCTAAGCCAAAAGGTCTGCCACCACTGCTCTATTTACTGAAATTAAAAACATAAAATAAATGAAATTCTAATTGTTATTCTAAACTGGCACAATAAACAACACATTTTCCCTCACACGTTGCTATTAAAATAAATATAACTTTATAAAGAGCTAGTAATAATTTCCATTTTCATCCAAATCAGAAATCCAAACGTTTTGCAAACATCTTCCCAATGTCTTGTAGTAATAACACCTTTTTTTTTTTTTGGATACCTTCTCATTACAATAGTTTAGATAAAGGGAGAGCTGTTTTCGCTTCCTCTCTTCTATTTCTTTGCTTGACTGGTTGTCAACTTTGTCCTGAATTTTCTGAAGCAGAGGTCTTGAAACACTTTCAAACCATTTCTTGTACAGCATTTCCCTTCTCCTTAGAGCTAAGAAATCATTGTGCTTCAAATACCTGTCTACTTCCTAATTAACAGAGAAACTATTATTAAGAAAGGTAGTTTTGAATAAATAAATCGTGGACTTTTAAAACAAAGCTAACAGTATAAATCATAGAAATTGAGAAACACTAGTAATTAATAAATACTTCACACATTATAACATTCTCCCAAAGACAACACTTGCATATATAAAATATGTATTGCTAGTGCCTACAAGCCACTGCAATTTCATGTGATTGCCACAGGAAATCAATTATGTGATACTTGAATATGTAGATTACATCTTATTTGCTACAAATATATAATTTATCTGTTGGACTTTTTATATACAGTATATAAAGAAGCCAGGTACAGGCTTGAGTCTTCTTAACTAAAATCATGTTATATTTACCTTGACAAGAAATACTAGTATACTGTATTAAACTATTTAAGGGATATAAAACATATAGATTATCAATCAAACCTCTACTATATTTAGTGTTAATGGCTGTTGATATACCTATGAGATTCTAACTTTTCTCACCTTTCTCTTTTTTTTTTTAGATAAGGTTGCCATTTGTCATAATTAAAAAAAAATCAAATAAATATGAGATTATTCTTGGGGCTACTTGAGATAGGTGATCTGTAGCACTACAGGTGTTGTTGGCATGTTAGCTGTTGCTCCTGGGAACTGTATTTCAGCAGTTTCTGCAGGGCTACAGATTTCCCACTCCTATGTTTAATATTTCTCAAAATTACGCATTGTATTCCCTGGTTACAACCCTAGAAACACAATTCATCTTCAACTGTTTGAATATGAAATCTAACTTGAAATATGTAATATATATTTACTTCATTCAATCATGTCCAATTCTTGAAGACTGCCTAGATAGGTCCCTGCAGTTATCTTGACAAGGTGTTTCAGAAGCTGAGAAAAAATGACTGGGCCAAGGTCACCCAGCTGGCTTTGGGCCTAAGGCAGGACTGGAACTTAGTCTCCTGGTTTCTAGCCCGGAATTTTTAATCACTATACCAAACTAGCTCTCATAATCTCTAATACTAAAGACTTATGTGACCACTACTAGCTATGTCAAGGTAAATTTGGAAAAGCTAAGACTAATCTATCTCAAAGGGAAATAATAAAAATAATAAATAAATAAATAAATAAATAAATAAAAACAGAATCTAGTGGTTAAGGCACCAAACTAGAAAGCAGGAGAAAGTAGCCATGAAATCCAGCTGGGTAGCCTTGGGGCCAGTCACTCTCTGACAGCCTAACTCAACTCACAGGGCTGTTGAGTAGAAAACAGGAGGAGGAAAAATATCAGAGTTATTTGAAAAAAATAATAGGGGCAGAATACAAATAAATAAATAAGTAATACAGAGAGGACAATGCAGACAGATGGCTTTCCTAGATAAAAGTGTCATAAAAATATATCTATTGAATGATAGATATCAAGATTGGACTTTTCATCTCACCACTAGTGATGTGTTTTCCTTCATGGATCAGAGAAGCTGTTTGGAGAAGCAACAGTAGTGTTGCATGTTGATAACAGGATGCAAATGTAGGGTCCAGAATGAGGACAAACAATGAGGTTAACTTCTTGTGGATACAAACAGGAATATCAACCTCATGGAACATCTTCTATGAAACTGGTATTTCCTAGACAAAACAGTCCCTTTGGTTTTCAGGCAAATTTTGCTTTCTCTAATATCAATACACCAACCAGAGAAATGCCAAGCCCCATGCTGACTAGGAGGCGGCAGTCCTGCATAAACCTCACAGATCACTGATCTCCTTCTGGCTCCTCTTCCATAAGAATCAGGATGTTTGCATAGGAGGTTATATTGTTTTCCAGTGGAAAACCCCACTTTACTGCTGGATTACCTTGACTCAGAAGTAGATTGGAATTAGGAAGGAGATTTTGTTGGGAGAAAAATGTCCTTGACTAACAGTAAAGAAAGTATCTTGGCATTGGGGCAAAGAGGGGGTCATAGATAACTCCAGTACCCATCTTTTTTTTTATTTTTACCCAATTTTTATCCATCCATTTTCCCCCCTTTTCTTTTTAAAACAAGCTCGCAAGCTTTAATTAACCTAAATAATAACTTAATAGTTATAAAATCTACATCATCCTTCCCTAATTTAAAACCCTCCAGATGTGATGCTCTACAACGGCAAACTGCACTGCAAGCCAGAATGATCAGCAACACACCACTATTCCTTGGGAAAGCTATCTTAGACTTATAGCTGAAAAGTAAAAGATCAGATGTAAAAGACACTTCAGTACTGAAAATTTAAGCTTATAACAACTGTAGCGGGGCTGGCTGAAAGTCTTTGCAGGAGCTTTACTGGGGGGGGAGGGAGGCTTGGACAGCTGCTGGTGGTTTGGGGCGTGAGGCAAGCGTGGATTAGGAGGAAGGAAAGAAAAGGAAGGGAGGAAAGGACAGAGGAGGAGTTGTTGCTGCTTGTCGGAAAGAGGCCAGGTGAAGACAGAGGGGTTGGAGGTTTTAAGTTGATCCCTTCCTGTGAAGGAGAGGGGGAGGAGAGCGTGAGAGGGTGGAATTTTATTGCTTTCTTTCGCAAGGGGGGTATCCCAAGCGGAGGCAAGAGAGAGTGGGAGGAGAGAGAAAGTTACTGGGGTTGCTAACTTCAGATTTTAATAATAAAGGATAAGGGGGGAAGGGTTTGACACCGACGAGACCTGAGACTGCAAGCAACAACAGAAGAGAAGGAGAGGCTGGTCATCACTGCTGTGAAGACTGGAGGCCATCCAAACTGTGATTATCGCTGCTTGTGCAAGTTTTAGACATTGTGGGGAGTTGCCCTGGGGGGGGGGGGAGACAGACGAGCTGTTACTGCAGCATGCTGACTACCTTTGTTCGTGTTTCTACTGCTGCCTGGAGCCGGGGCTTTTCCCCACCCCACTTGTTTCCAAACGGCCGCTGGGGAATCACTGACTATTGCTGCTATGACAGCCAGGGGCTGTTAGATACCACCATAGCATTGACTACTGGGGCTAGAGGCTGGTCATCTTTGTTCCTGGAAGCCCCTTTTTTGACGACAAGAGCCTGCCACCTCCTCACTTCGCATGAGCTTCTGCTAGAAGAGACACTTTACTAAAACCTAGAGACCACAGCTGCAGAGCTCAACAGAGGGGAACGGGGCTGGGAGGCCCTGGGCTTTGGCGGCCTCTGAGGAGATAACACCACACAATTTTTTTTAAATGACTAGGAACAAGATCTTTTACAAACTTTTTCATTTGTGTGATTTTTGTCAAGAAAGGACAAATAGTGGGGGCAGGGGGAGACTTAACACTGATGTTTTTATTCCTTATTTTTATAGAAAATTGTTATTTGACAATAAGATTTCAAAAGTCAAAAAACAAGATCTTCTCTTCATGAATGAGGGTCACAGGTATGGATTTCTGGTCCACGTATTTTTATATCTTTCTCAATAGTCAGAAAGTTACATTGCAAGCAATGTTTATTTCTTACCCTTATAAAGCAGCTTTCTTTTTCCAGCAGCAATTGAATGGGACCAATAACATCCTGGCTTTCATTAACTAAAGCCTAATAAAATATCAGTAAAATCTGTGAAAGAGAACTACTATATTAAACATACTTATGAAAACTAATTTTATAACCAGATCAGCTCTATAAGATACAATGAATTCCATGCCACTGAGAAGAAACGCAAAATAAAATTACATGAAAAGCCTTATTTGAAATTTAAGTTGGTACATCAATGATGTTACTATATCATAAGGATGGCAAACTGTATTTCTTCAGATGTTGATCCACTACAAGTCACAAGAACCAACACACAGATCAGGCTAGTTTTTCAGAGATCCAGTGTGGTCTAGTGGTTAAGATATTAGACTGGGAACATAACATGAGTCCCAGATTCAAATCCACCTTCAACTACAGCAGCTCACTAGATTTGTCTTTCAGCCCAACCAATGGGCTGAATTATATGGTTGTTGCTGCAGGGGAAAAATGATATATACTGCCTTGTACTCCTAAAAGAAAAGAGGGATTGAAATCTAATTAAAAATAAGTATCTGAAGAAGCACAGATGGATTAGATCCCTAAGTGGATTTTGAATTTCAGTATAATGAAAGTGATGACAGATGCCATTATTGTTACTACCTGAACTGTAGAAAAATTTAGAAGAAGATTTGATTTTGATGATTGGAGATGACAGTTTAAAATGCTTTAAGATCCCTGAAATAATTTGGAATAAATATAATATTCATAGGTTTTGCAATAAAAGTTTTAATAATGTGTTGTCGTAAACGTAAATTCAGTATTTCTCCAGAGAACAATTAAATACTCTATTATGCTTTACATATGTAAAGATAAGGTAACAATTAGAAAATCTGCCTCAATATAACTGTTCTCCTTACTTTTTATTAATAATATACAATTTTCTATATTTATCACCGATATTAAATCTAAACTGATTAAACAATATTCATGTTGAAATGCTTAAATTAAATATTTAAAACAGTATTTAATATTAAAACAATATGAAAACCAGTCTACAACTCTAAAGATCAAACTGAGAAAAAGTCATCATCGCTTTTCTTCAAAAAGCCAAACGGACTAATCTTAGTTTTGATTGTGAGTTGAGGACATTGAGGGCAGTATTGAAAAAACTAGAAAGGGTGAATAGGAGCTTGATGGCTACTATTCAGAGCAAATAATTATTGGAAGCAGATTAACCAAGTGATCTATGAAAGGCTATGAGTGGGAGGAGCCCATTACTGGGTCTTTTATTATTGTCTATGACAAAGAAGGAAAGCATCTTCAGCTGTCCATTGGGGGATCTGTTGCTGAGGCAAACCCATATTAGGAAGAAGTGATGAAGCATTCCACATTAAGCGTTTCATTGGGGTCTCTGTGAAATACATATCCTATCACAAGCAAAGTTCCTTTCTGTAGAGACGTAGGCCATGTCCACCTCCTTGCCATCTGTGGATCTGCATGCTAGAATTGATCTGTTAAATCTTACTTTCAGGCTTATATATATATATATATATTCAAATCAATCACGTAATTTAAAAAGTGTTGTAAGATAATCAAAATGCAACCACAGTATGAGAAAGAGACTGGTTGCATTTTGATTATGTTACAACCCTTTTGTGGTAAGAGCAGACAGGAATTCAATTTGTTCTAATCTCCAACAAACACATTCAATAAACTGCATGGAACTCAAAAAAATGGATCACTTGCCTTCTAAGGCCTTTTGAAATGTGCACTTTGCTATGAGGTAGCAAAACATTGCCAGTTATTGGTTTTTGCCTCTATTCAGTGCCCCCAATACATTGGTACCTGTGCAATGGACAAGTGCTTCTGTGTTAGCCAACTCTCTGAAGTTTTTGTTTTTTCAGATTGACTAGCTCCGCAAACCTTGCTCTGCGATTTACTCAGGAATCTAGTAACTCCTGGAAAAGACTTATTTGAAAAATAAAAAGAAACCAAGTGAATGAACAAAACTTTTAGCTACCAAAAAATCAAACTTAACTATACAAAGGATATCACAGTATATCACAATATTAGTCTAAATTAGGAAACTACAATACATTGTGGGTTCTATTTAATTTCTCTCATAGATCTTTTTTTAAAAAAATCCTTAAAATGAAAAGCAGCATATGTGGATAATCAAATAATTCCTGCTTATAATGGAAGAAAAGCAAGAATAAAAATAAATGAAATACTCAGCATGTACTTGAATACTGAGCAAGGAGTAAGACAGAGATGGGTGAGGACGTCTTAGTTGCTTAATATATTTATAGACAAATGTATAAGGAATGTTTGCGGTGGTATTAAAGGTATTTTGGTTGGAGGGATGTGAACATGCACATATTTTTATTATGCAGAAAATGACATTTTATTGGTTAAGGACCAAATGCTTTGCAGTGAATGTCAGATAAACAGTAATATACACTGAAAACACAGATCTGAAAATTAGTATATCAAGAATCAATGAATTAACAACTGCAAATTATAATAGAATGGGAAAAATTATAGCAAAGGAATGAATTTGTATGCCTTAATAGAAAGAAAAGGAGAAAATGGATGTTTAAATAGAAATAGAAAGCTTGTAGTGGATTGCATATGGTTTGGATGAATGTTTGTCAAAGAAGTTGTGCCCACTTTGTTTTAAGGAAATGAGAGTCAATATGTCAAGGAGAGATAAAAGTAAATCGAATGTAGTAGGAATAATTTGAGAAATCCATGTGATAAGGAAAGACAAGGCAGGATTAAGAATGAAAGGATGCTGAATGAATGTTGACTGAATATAAAAGCAAAGGACAGTAATGAAAAAAGTACTATATGTTGACATAATTTGGTCATAGAGAAAATGAATGAGGATCAAATTACAAAACACAAATATGAATGAATTGATTAGGAAGAGGAAGACCATTTAAAAATGAAAATGTATTTCATTTAAAATGATAACATATGTATTAGAAATATTAATATCATATATTAGAACTTTTATGATTATTAACTAGATTTTTAAAAACATGACTAAGATGAAACTCTTCTTTTACTGTTATAAATAGTAAAATACTTATATGATAATATTACATATTAAAAAATAGTAAATACTTATATGATAATATTACATTGTAAAATATTGACATATTCACATCCAAACTTACTTGCTTCAGATCTGGCATCAATTGTTCCATTTGAGCTCTTGGGCAACGAAGTCTTATCAGCCACTCTAAGTCTGTACTCTCCTGCCTTGGCACTCTTGTATAGTCCTAATATTAGAATGTTAAAATAGGTTGTGTTTGTTGCTTTGTGTTCTCAGAAAATAATGTTCAGCAGATTTAAGAAGTATACTGGCTCTCTATAGTTTCATACAAAGGTTACCAAACTTATCAACTTCCAGTAACTCACTGCAAATAAATGGTGTGGGTTACCAGAATGTTGATGTGCACAGAAAGAACTTTTCTAGTGTTATGTCATAACTAGTATTGTGATACATTATAAAATGATATGGTCTACTAAAAAAAAATTGGAAAAATATGTTGAAAGCTAATACAAGAGCTATTAACACTGAGGTAAGAAATCAGAAAAAAATAACTATATAAATGGCATTTATTCAACAGGAAAAGGCATTTTTCTATAAAATAATTATTTTTGAAATGTCTTTGAGGGTGGCTATATTTTTTTCCCAAATGTGGCAGATGAAATTTAAACAGCATGCTATTATTAAACAACAGATTTTATTGAAAGAAAAAAAGTTTTTTTATCACTGCAAATGAGCATTTTAAAAATGGTTGGTTATATGTTAGAGGCAGTTACATGAGATAGATTGTAAGAACCTCATCAATTAACTATAGGCTTATAATGGCAATTGGGACCAGAATTGCCAATTACTAAATGACATGGTATAAACTGTGATGTCACATGACCACACTGCTTAGTGATACTAATTCTTGCAATTCCACGCCATTGTTAAGTGAGAAGCGTGGTGTTATTAAACAGGGACCTCATATCATCTTCCCCATTGGTTTTGTTTGTAGGAAGCCCAGCAATGAATATTCGAAATAATGATCACATGATCTTGCCAACTGCAAAATTGTATGACGGTGACAATGCAATTGCCAGAACTATGAGGCCCATAATAAATACCAACCAGTCACTACAATCGTAACTTTAAATAGCTTTGAACGAATGGTAGTAACCCAAAGACTACCTATATTGTAATATGTTAAAAATCCATTAAGATAGCCTGAAATCTTTGATTTATATAAGTTAAGCAATGTCTCACTCCATTGTACTGGTAAAGTTTTTTTCCCCCAAGATAGTTACTTTGAGATCTGAAATAAAATGTTTAATCCATATACCTGGTAAGATGTAGTAGGTGTCAATTCTGTTTTCTCTGTGAAGTCATCTTTTTTATCTAGAATGCTTGAGTCTCCAGTTTTTGTGGACCGTGATGATATGCTCTGTTAAATTAGGGAAAGACATTAATTCTATACTTATATGGAGATATCAATCTAACTAAAACAATACAATCCAAGATCAGATTAGATCAAGATTAGCCATATTGATTTTAAATTCTAATTTTCTGTTTTCTTAAAGGACCCTTATAAACCATATTTTTAAGAATTTTTCTAGTAAGATAACTTCTCTAAATACATTTTTTCTATCTTTATCATAACTCTATAATTAGCATTAAAGACAGTAAAACATTACTATATAAGATTTTCATAGTAGTTTTATATGTTCAAAGAACTACAGTTATACTAAGAAATGTCTTGCTTAATGACCAGGGTGATTCACTTAACAGCCATGGCAAAAAAGATCATAAAATTGGGTGTAGTCACGTGATGTCACTTAACAATTCTCATCTTAACGATGAATTTTCCCATCCCAATTATGGTCATAAATTGAGGAATATCTGTATTTAAAAATGTAGACTGCATAACTTATTTATATACTTGATTTCCTTTTTCTTATTAAAGGTTAAACAGTTTTGAACAAATACATTCTTTACAAATAATTTACTTTCACAAGGGTATGTGAATATAAACTTTCTATTAAATAAGATTGGTATGCACTTCCATGTTCCATGTTTGTATTATTTATCTCCAGAAGAACACCAACAAGAGTCACTAACTTTTATTTGACTCCTATTTTTGAAAAAAAAAATAGCAAAATACAATAATAAATGAAGGACAGCTATAAAAGTTCAAAATATTTTATTAGTATTTTCTGACATTACTTTATGTCTATGGAGATTCTCAACCATCCAAGTCATGGCTGTTCAGAAATGAAGAAGCTTCTTGGATGAGAAGCAAAACATTTTTAAGGAAAAAGCAAGAAAGTCAATTAGTTACATTTTGCATAAATAATATTGATTGTTCGTTAGTAAAATGTGTCCTTCTATATGTTGGATAATTTTATATAAAATCTCACTTTTATATAAAATCTCACTTTTCATCAATAATATCCATCTTTTCTAGCATTATAGTTCACACACTATGTCCTAAATAGGATAATTTGAGCTTGGTCATTTGTGACTCAAGTGAGAACTCTGAGTTGGTTGGTTGCTTGATGTATTTATTTATTTATTTGATCACCCATTAGTTTTTCTTGGCTGTCAACAGTAATCCTAGAGGTCCTGTCCAGCATCAAAGTTCAAAAGCATACTCTTTCTATCCTGCTCTTTTGAAGTCCAATTTTTGCTTCCATGGAGTGTCAAAGGGAATACCATGGCATGCATGATGATCTTTATAGATCCCATCATGACATTTGAAGGTTTCCAAAACCTTCCTGACTGCTGAATCAAATGTTAGTGTGGCACATTTCTTGATTGCTTGTACTTTTATTGTTGATGATTAATCCTAAAAAGCAAAAGCTAGTTACCATTTCAATATGGCAATTCTAAGACTGGTTATTCAACCTGTTATTAGTTTGGTATTCTTTAGGTTTATGTTTAATTTGTTGTTGTTTTTTCATCCCTCGGACTTTTAGCAAGACTTGCAGATCCTTTGCATTTTCAGCTATCAAGGTAGTATCATCAGCTTAGCACAAGTTACTGATGTTTCTTCCTCCAGTTTTAAAACCACTCATCTTCTTACAATCAAGCTTCCCTTAATATATATTCAGCATGTGGGTTGAATAAATAAGGGGGGTACAACATTATCCCATTCCTTTGCCAAACTGGAGTCTCTCTGTTTTAGCATAATTAAAAGCTGTCTATAATTGAACAACATTATTAATTTCCTTTTGGTTTTCTTTGGCTTTCTTAATTATCCAGCATGCATCAGCAATAAAGTATTGTGTTCTTTGACCTTTTCTAAAGCCATCTGGAACATCTCACATGTTTTTCTATGTGTGACTCTAATCTGCATAGGATGATCTTAAGCATTATTTTGCTAGCAGGAGAAATTTAGTATATTGTATGATAGTTTGCACACTCTATTAGGTTTTCTTTTTTCTTTTTTGGCATTGAAAGATTGACCTTTTCCAATGAGGTGGCTACTGTGTTCTCCAGATTATCTGGTATAGCTTGATTAAACTGATTCTTTTTCTGTTGCTTGTCATATTTTAATCAATATTATACTTGTTCCTGTAGCCTTCTGACTTGGTAATAACCAGAGTGCTGATGAAACTTCATCTTCTAGTACCAGATATTACTGTAAATAGGGAATATCTTCTTGGATTTTGACATCTCTAGTATACAATGTTTCAGTATACTCCTTCCATCTTCCTTTGAATGTCCTTTGGCATCCTTCAGCATAGTAATTAAATGTTGGAATTTTCTTTTGGACTCAGAAATCTTTTGAATGACTTGTTTTCCATGTCTGTTACAATCTTCAATATCTTTATAGATATTATTGAAATATTACTTCTTTTTTTAAAAAACAGCTTTCTGATACTCTTTGTAAAATTCCTGAGATTTTTGTCTTTCTTGGCTTTGGCTTCTCTCCTCTTCTTAGCAATTACCACAGTTGGTTCATAACATGCTTTCTTCTCTTTCTTCATTTTTGACAGGCTCTTTTCACATTTATCTTTAACAATTTCATGAAGTTCATTCCATAATTACTCTGCTTCTCTTTCAGTGAGGTTGAGGACTTCAAAATGGTTCCTGATGTTCCCCTTGAAAATGGTGGACAAATGTTCAAATCATGCTGTAGAAATTAATTGGCTTTACACTTTTTCTTTAGCTTAACTCAGAGCTTGCACACGATCAGTTCATGATCTATTCCAGTCAGCATCTTTCCATGTCTCTAATGCTACTGCTGAGCTCCTCCACCTGCTTTTAGCAATAATATATTAAATTGATTTCTATATACTCCATCTGATGTCCATGCATTGCTTTGTTTGTCTGAAGATACTATTATCTATGAAGAAATCATTGAAGTGGCTGAAATGGATAAGTCCATCTCCTGCTTTATTCCAGTTTCCTAAGCCAACTATATTTTCTTCTTTCATGTTTCCAGCTATAGCATTCCAGTCTCAAATCACAAGCAGCATATCTTGCTTGCATGTTCTATCAATATCAAATTGAACGATTGTAGAACTCATCAACTCCCTCTTCTTCTGCATTGGTGATTAAAGCATAAACTTAAATGGTCATCATATTAAGGATTGTTCATAAAATCTAATCAATATTATTTGCTCATTGATTGCATTGTAGCCAATACTATTCTTGCTACATTCTTCCTAATTATGAAAACAATGCCATTCCTTATTTGTCTTTCATGTCCACAGTACTAAAAAGTGTAATCTTCCAACAAAAAATGCCCAATCCTACTCCATCTCAATTTGCTGATTCCTAAGAGATCACTTTGCAATTGTTTCCTTTCATCTTTCACAGTCCTTGAGCTTTCCTTTGTCCCTGCTTCTTACGTTCCATGTTCTTACTGTAATTCTGTATTTGCAGCTTCATTTTTTTTCCAGTACAGCAACATCACCAAATAGATGTCCCAAAGGTTTTAATCTAGCCATATCATAAACACCTTTAGTATTCCAAAATGTTTCTCAGCTCTTTTCCATTAGAAGACTATCCAAGGGACCATTTTTTCCCGAGTTTCTATCTGTAAAGTTTGTTCCATCAGATTGGGCATGCTGCACACCCTATCAGCTAAAGTGTTAACTGGCAGAAACTAGAAGACGGGCTGTCTCTGCTACAGCTCCTACTTTGTGGAATGTTCTTCACTCAGAGATTAGAATTATCTCAACCCTATTGGCCTCATAAGGCTTTAAAAACCTGGCTATATACCTGGGCAATATGTTAACAATGCCATTTCTTGGCTTTACTGTTAGTTGGTTAACTACCTTGGCAGCTATACAGTATGTACTTATTATTTGGATATTTTTATTTATTGCTTCAATTGTTTTAATTATATTGTTTTATTTTATGTAGTTTTAGAACTATAAGCCACCTGAGTCACTTGATTGAGATGGGCAACTACAGAAGTTGAATAAATAAATAAAATATTGAGTGTCATCCAATCTGAGGGACTCGTTATTTGGTACTATAGCCTCAATCATTTTGTATTTTCTGTACATCTGACTTTCTTGATAAAAATAGAGAAATGATTTACCACTGCCTTGTCCCATGCACTATGAATTACCATGTCATTGTCACTAATGTGATGACATTTTCCTATAATGCTGCTGCCCAATATGTACTCTAGGTATACATGCCCAATGCTCTTTATACCCTTCTGAACTGTGATGAGGCAGCACGGCAGGACTGAGGGGAAGGGGAAGAGCTTAAATCTAATATGAGTTAATTAGAAGTCATTTTGATCATAAATAATTGTTTAAAGAAGAAAAAAATTGCAACGGAGAGAATTTTATTATGATATAAAAAAGGAGGCCTGTTTCAAGGAAATGGTTGCATACAAAATGGGTAACTATGGTCTATTGACAGAAGAAAAGATTCAACTTACGAAAACTGATGTTGATTTAAAAAGTAGCATAATTCTTATACTAATTAAACATGTGGAGAATATGATCCAAAAAAAGTATAATCCAGACAAAGCTGTCCAAGCTTTTTAAGATTTATGCATCATATAAAATAAAATGGCGCTAATTTTACCTCTATTATGCCCAGAGTTCATTGAATATTTATCATATAAATGAGGGGTGGCTGTGAACTCTACATAATGAGTATGGAAACAAAGTCTCTTAAACAGCTTAAATTCAGTTTTATACCTCTGAACATGAAGTCAAATTTCTGTTGAAGTAACTAGTGTTTGCCTGGTTGCTAGGATTCTTCTTCTAATCTAGGTTTTTAATGTTCCCAAGTATGCATAATATTCAAATAATTTTAGTAAAGTAAGACATTTCTTGTTTAAGAAATCCTAACTATGCCCTCATGTTTTAGTCCTGCAATTTAGACTGGAAAAAGTTTTTTTCACTGTTTTAATTTTTGCCAACAAAATTGGGATGGGTCTCTAAAAGTTTTTAGATGCTGTATAATACTTTTTGGATGTGCATAAATATGTACCATTGCGTATTATATTCATCTTCCATCCTGAACTGGTGTCACAAGTAAATTGCATATTACAGTATATTCATCTTCCATCTGAACTGGTGTCACAAATTATGAAAATATAGCAGGAAATAATTCTGCATCTTCTCTACATGTGGAGTATTCATGCCATATGATTAATTTACTTAAGGTGGGAAGTGAAAAACAGAAATGGAATAAGAACTTCCACAAAATTCTTTCCTGGATCAATTGAATAGCTGTATATATAGGTTTCACATTAAAACTACTGTGTTACCCAGCATTCAAAATAGACACTATTCTCTTAGCAATTTTTAACCATGTTTAATTAATTTAATTAACAGTTAATTAATAATATAATAATATATAACCTTTTTTGCATGAGCTCGTTTACTGTATCGATGCCTTGCTCCTGGACAACACACTTTTATGAGCCAGTCTTCTTCTGAACTTTCACTATTTTCAGATGACAAGGAGTCAGCCTGAAAAAATTGGAAAAAAAAACAAGTTTTTTTAAAGAGTGTATTGTAGAATAGGCATTTAGCAAACAACCTGCAGCAAATGCTTCTACACTGCAATTACTTCCATCCACTTCTCTCTTCCCCATATGTCAATGAAAATTTAAAAAATGTTCAGCAACTTTCTAAATTCTGCAATGTGAAGCATGCAAGGTACATATAAAAGAACTAAACACAAAAGGCTTTATTAAAAGAAAACAAAAAGGCACTTAATATTCTATTTTCTCAGTTCCTGCTTGAGTAAAGATCTAGAAACTGAATAAACCGATCTCTGCTATGGCTAGAAAACAACCACATAAATTTTTGTATCTCAGCTTTAACTCTTTGAAGCCAATCTGCAATAACTTCACTTTTGCTAAACTAGAAATGCTAGGAACATGCAATGATGACTATGATCCATTCAGTGCTCCTTCTAGGACAAAGAGTGGGAAAAGAGTTGAGGTTCCACTCCTTCAGGCACTGTAAGTACAATAATCCCCCCATCCTCACCATAAACTCAAGTAGTACTAATAGTAGTAAAGTTGAAGTCAATGACTATTATCTACATTTATTATGTCCATGTTGTTTACTTGGCAATAGTAATAATGTGATTTGAACAGCTTCTTTTCACATATAAATTTGACTTCTCTAATTTCCAATCTGATCCTTCAGATTCACATGAGTCCATCCACTTTGCTGTACATGTCTTTTCTTCCCTTTTTCTTTTCACCTTCCTCAGTATTATAGACATCTCAAGTGAGCTATATCTTCACATGCAACCCAATTATGGTCATTTGAGACTGATCATTTATTCCTCAACTCTGACTGATTTGTTTGATGATCCATTTGTTTATTTGCTTGGCTACCCCTGATATTCTCTGGAGTCTTTTCCAGCAGGTTCAAAACCAACAATACTCTTTTTGTGTGTACATACTGCTGTTTCTTCTACTATTGATAGTAGATTCTAAAGAAGGTGTCCATTGATATCTTTACTGTATCAGTTCTAACACTAGTTGCTGTACTTGTCATTAATTTAATCTTCTGTATATTTAAGTTTCTTTTTTCCCACTGTGTCCCTTTATTTTCATTACTAAAGCTTTGTGGAAGGAAATATACATTTTCATTTATCATTTTAGAGATTCAGGATACCATTATTTTTGAGAAACTCTGCACCCGGTTACAATGTGGCTATCAGCTCCTCTTAATTGTACATAAAATATGGTTTGTAAACAGTAGATTTTGCTTGCCTCTCAGTGCAATATTATTGTTGAAGCACAGGCCATTTTAAAAAATAATTTTGTTGAGTTTATAAAACAATATATTAAAACTTACAAATTACATTTAAACTATTAAAGGATACATACACAAGTATGTGTATTACATATATTTGAATAAACTAAAGACTAGGCAGAAAAATAGAAAAAAATCCAGGAAAACTAAACATTACAAAAAAAAAGAAAAATAATACATAATCTTGAGATGTTGTTCAGATAAGGATGTTTTATTTAAAATTCACCTTATATGATTATATATGTGTTGAATATGCCTGCATACACACACATTAGGTGGTACTTATATGCTAAACCTTACATCTTATTAATACACTACAGTACATTAATACACAGTACACACCAATTACGCCAAAATAAAACATTAATTTAATATGGTATCATTCTCAGGCTTATGCTGTGTTCACAACACAATGAACAACAAACCTAAAAAATTATATTTTGAGGATATCATGCCCACTCAGCCTGTGTAGTTTATATTTCAATGTCTCACAAGAACCCCAAAAATCTGAGTGAGTGCCATAAACCAGTCAAATTAGCTACAGATAGGCATGTCCTGTGAAGATAACTATGTGATTTGCCTGGTTTTGGACTAGTCCAGTGGTGGCGAACCTATGGCACACGTGCCAGAGGCAGCACTCAGAGCCCTCTCTGTGGGCACACCTGCCATCCCCCCAGCCCCGTCCCCCACCCACGGCCCCCTCCTCACCAGCAGCCCCCGTAGGAGAGTCACCCCCAAGCGTGGCCCACGCGGAGCAGTGCAGCCAAGGACATGGCAGGGGATGGGGACAAGACTCTGCCCTCGCTCCCTGTTGTATGCAGATGATGTGGGGCGTGAGCGGAGGGCGTGGCCACCATGGCGGTGCAGCGGGCCGTGGAGGCAGTGGGTGGCCCTGAGGGCAGCAGGGCAGGCAGGGGCAGAGACGGGGTGGGGGCAGGGCAGGCAGAGCTGGGGGGCAGGGCGGTTTGGGGGCACTCAGTCTCTAAAAGGTTCGTCATCACTGGACTAGTCACTGTGGTTTATAATGGCTTTTGGAGACTAGCTACCAATGAAGGAGCTCAGGGACATTGAAGTGTCTTGGTAGGTGGTTTTGTTGGAGGTGGTGTGGCAAATGAAGAGCTGTTTGAAATTAATCTGCTATTCTAGTTTTATGGGGAAAAAGTTGCTCTCGCCATTAATCTTCTTAGCAAAAGTTAGCAGTCTTATTATACATAATACTAAATTATGTATAACGTATATTATGTATTATGTATAAGTTAAATGTATAAATTAAGTTAATTAAGTTTTACTGAATAAACCATAACTACCCAGTATAATTCATAAACTGTAAGAACAGAATTCATACACAACAAATGCTTGTTTATTTCTGAATTAGCATGTTGTATAACTCCCAACTGAATACAAATTTCTCAAGGAATACATTCTATTGTTTTCACTAAAAATGCTGTGAAGTAACAGATTCTCATGTTCCTAAAGTTGTTAAATTCATTGACATTAGTGGTTTCAGATATGTCAACTTCTATAATCACATCTGGGATGGCCAGATGTTTAATTTAATCTCAAGCCCCACTAGCAGTCGTTAGTGGACAAACTACTTAATTAAACAGGCACTATATCCTAAACTACATAAAAACAAATGGGTTGCTTGTGGCTGGCAACAGTCTTGGGTGAACTAGACCCAATGGAGCTTAGTGTGGTGGTGAACGTGTTATTACGCTAAAACTTCTTTCTGAAGCTAAAGTAGACTCTTATTGTGTTTGTGGCAACATCCAAACAGTTTTGTCGGGGACCACACCCTTTACCGCTGCAGTAAAGGGATACGCCAAGCCCTAGAAGTCTCTAACTAAGCCCGATGCTATTTAATTTTTGGAGATCGCTCATTTATAGTCCGCCTTTCTGGAAGGATATTCTGGAATCCTGGCCACGAGGTTCATTCTGAAGATCTCGGTTCAACTCCTAAAACATTGGCGCAGTGGGCGTTTCCCTTTGCCCTCTAGTTTCCAACTACTCAGTTTACGATACAACTCCACTCACCCTTGTGGCGAGGCTCGGGGTAGATGACTCTATAGGCGTAGATGTCAACGGTCCCAGATGGAAAGGACCCACGCCGTTCCCCGCCACCTCCATACCCCTTTCCCATCCCCGTCCCGGGGGGTAGAGTCCACTTCGTTGCCCGGCCACGGCCCAAATTCACTGGCAGTGGTGCGCCAAACCAGTGATCAGTTCCCTCCGCCAGGAAAAAAAATAGTTCCTTCCAGCTTTCTTGTCTCAAGGCTCCAATTAGCGCTTTGGTGATCAAAAACGGCAGAAGGAAGCACTTTTGCCAAATTAAAAACATAATGAAAATGGGGGCTCATTGTCCCTTATGCTTTTTTTCCGAAGGAGATTGGGCTGTATCCGTCCGCTTCAGTGTTGCTCGTACCCATGGCAATCCCGCGACGCAATTGCTCTGCTGTGATGGAAAAGAGTTAGCCTGGCTGGAGGCTTGTAGATATGGAAAAAAAAAAAAGCGCTATCTGTATCCAGAAATTAAACTTATAGCTAGTGGGCTTTGAGAGATGGAAGACGCCGTTATAAAATTTTCGGGGTCCCATTTTATATAGAACTGCCTTCTTTTTAGCGAAAGACAACGTGCAAGCACGCGTAGAGCGATCTTCTAGGATTAATTTGTAGCAGCGTTCCCAAATCCCTGAAACTTGCTGCAAGGACGAGACTAACATTTGGGTTGTTTATGCCCTGTAAAATTTAATTTTATCCTCCCCGTCTGTGATGAAAACCAACTCTCCCATTTTCTTTATCCTACTACCTTTCGTGGTTTGATTCATGTTTATGCTCAGAACAAAAACAACTACTTGTGGTCAAATATTAATACAAGCTATAAAGGGAATTAGGAAAGTCTTCTTAGGTAATAAATTATGGAATTAAATGTTACCAAATATTAGATTCATAATTATACATTAACTCTATTATTTTTAAATGTTTATTAATTAAAACATCTGAATGGTCTTAATGAAACAGCGGTAACTTTCAATTTAAACCAGCAGGGTGACTTTGGGAGAGGACTCCGTCTGTTTTAGAGGTCCGAATATCGACCATCATAATACTTTAACCGCAAAGAATCCGCTCAATTTCTCGCCCGCTTTTCAGATCTTTTATTCAGACTACCCTCATTTCCCATCATGCTTTGAGAGAGAATGAGCGGCCCAGCCAATTTGAATAAAGAGTTTTCCGCCCTTTTCGAATAGGGGAAGTACTGCGTTCCTTTTGATTTAGGAATTCGCCAGTAGGAAATAGAACAGTGGGAGTTACGTTGTTCTTTCGGGAAAGTCCGGTCACATGGATGGTCTTTCAAGTGCTTCTTTTCTTCCCTGAGGAATTTTCCTGCCTCCAGTACTTAATTTTTATAGCGTAGCTGAGCCGAATCTTTCCCTCCAAAATCGCATTCGTGCGAGTAAATTTCGGAAAGAATTTTCTTCGCTGCCCCTTTCGATGCGCTGCCTTCTCCTTCCAGGCTTGACAAGTATATTCAGTAAGCAGAGCCGCACCACTGTTCCCGCCCAACCCGATAGACTGGAGGCTTCGCGCTTTTCATCTGTTTTTTGCAAAGAAGCGGCTGGCTTCTTGCCCTCATAGATTCCTTAGTTGTGTCCCGGCGATGCGGCATTTCTGTCTGTGTTTACTCGCCTCTATTATAAAACGGACGCTGGGTATTTCTGAAACCTCTCGCATCAAATTGATGTCATGCCATGTTGTAGTCCTCTGTTAGATACAGTCTGATGAAAAAATAAGTTGTTGTTAGTTGCGAAGTGTCCGACCCATCGTGGCCCCATGGACAATGTTCCTCCAGGTCTTCCTGTCCTCTTCTGGAGTCCATTTAAGCTCACACCTACTGCTTCAGTGACTCCATCCAGCCATCTCATTCTCTGTCGTCCCCTTCTTTTATTGCCCTCAATCTTTCCCAGCATTAGGCTCTTCTCCAGTGAATCCTTCCTTCTCATTAGGTGGCCAAAGTACTTGAGTTTCAACTTCAGGATCTGGCCTTCTAAAGAGCAGTCGGGGTTGATCTCTTCTAGGACTGACCGGTTTGATCGCCTTGCAGTCCAAGGGACTCGCAGGGACTCGTGGTTATCTGGGATGTTAAGCTCATTCTTGTATAGTTCTTCTGTGTAGTTTTGCCACCTCTTTTTAATCTCTTCTGCCTCTGTTAGGTCTCTGCCATTTTGGTCCTTTATCATGCCCATCTTTGCATGAAACATTCCCTTCATATCTCCAATTTTCTTGAAGAGATCTCTGGTTCTCCCTATTCTATTGTTTTCTTCTATTTCTTTGCACTGTTCATTTAAGAAGGCATTCTTATCTCTTCTAGCTATTTTGTGGAATTCTGCATTCAATTGGGTGTGTCTTTCTCTTTCTCCCTTGCCTTTCGCTTCCCTTTTTTCCTCAGCTATTTGCAAAGCTTCCTCAGACAGCCATTTTGCTTTCTTACATTTCTTTTTCTTTGGGATGGTTTTAGTTGCTACCTCTTGTACAATGTTGCAAACCTCCGTCCATAGTTCTTCAGGCGCTCTGTCTATCAGATCTAATTCCTTAAATCTATTTGTCACCTCTACTGTATATTCATCAGGAATATGATTTAGTTCATACCTGAGTAGCCTAGTGCTTTTCCCTACTTTGTTCAATTTAAGCCTAAATTTTGCAACAAGAAGCTCATGATCTGAGCCACAGTCAGTTCCTGGTCTTGTCTTTACTGACTGCAGAGCACATAGTCAATCTGATTTCTGTGTTGACCGTCTGGTGATGTCCAAGTGTAGAGCCATCTCTTGGGTTGTGGAAAAGAGTGTTTGCTATGACCATCGTATTCTCTTGACAAAATTCTATCAGCCTGTGCCCTGCTTCATTTTGTACAATTTTGGGGATTGTATCCCAGTATTGTTTTTCCTACTCTTTTATTGACTATGAAGGCTACTCCATTTCTTCTGAGGGATTCTTGCCCACAGTAGTATACCTGATGGTCACCTGAGTTAAATTCACCCATTCCTGTCCATTTTAGTTTGCTGATTCCTAAGATGTCGATGTTCAGTCTTGTCATCTCTTGTTTGACCACGTCCAGCTTGCCTTGATTCATGGATCTTACATTCCAGGTTCCTATGGAGAAAAGATCTTTACAGCATCGGACTTTCCTTTCACCACCAGATGCATCCACAGCTGAGCGTCCTTTCGGCTTTGGCCCAGTCACTTCACTCTTTTTGGCACTACTAGTACTAGCCCTCTGCTCTTCCCCAGTAGCATATTGGACACCTTCCGACCTGAGGGGCTCATCTTCCAGCGTCATATCTTTTTGCCTTTTGGTACTGTCCATGGGGTTTTCATGGCAAAGATACTGGAGTGGTTTGCCATTTCCTTCTCCAGTGGATCACATTTTGTCAGAACTCTCTGCTACCACCTGTCCGTCTTGGGTGACCCTGCACGGCATAGCTCATAGCTTCATTGAGTTACGCAAGCCCCTTCGCCACGACAAGGCAGTAATCCATAAAGAGGTAAGTACACTCCATGTAAAGTTGTTTCTTTTCTAACATGTGTACACCTCAGTATTATATCTTAATTCAAAGATGATACAATTGAACAAAGACACTCCCAACCTTTTCTATACCCTGCACCCTGAGAATGCTTCTGATATATTCTTGTACCACTTACAAAAGTTCAAAATAAAGACAATGAATTATACACTATTATTTTGAAAATCCAAGTTTTCACACTCCCTGGAATATCATCTCGCACAACCCTGGTTGGGAACCCCTATTCTATTGCTTGTGTTTGTATTATATTGAATTCCAATATGACATGGTCACTCTTGCCCAGGTTCCGGCAGTTTCAACTCCCTCTGTCACTTCTTCTCTATTAATAATTAGGTCCAGTATAGCTTTTCCTCTAGTCCCCTCCTCTACCTTTTGGATGACAAAGTTGTCAGCTAAGTTGGTTAGGAATCTGTTTGATCTCCTACTTGCTGCAAAGTTTATTTCCCAGTTGATATCAGGTAGTTAAAGTCCCCCATTACTACAGTGGTATACATTTGTTAATTATTAGCAAAGAATTCATCTCCTTCTTCTGCTTGGTTTGGATGGCCTGTAGTAGACGCCTATAACAATGTCATTTTTTCCCTTTTATATTAACCTATATGCATTCTAGGAGGTTTTCATCATTGGTTTTGTATATTTCTGTAGAGCTGTAGTTATCTTTTATATATAATGCAACTCCACCTCCTCTTTTTATTTCTTTTGAATAGTTTACATCCTTCCATCAATATATTCCAGTCATGAGTTTCATCCTACCATGTTTCAGTAATGGCAACTATATCATATTTACCTTCATGTACTAATACTTCAAGTTCATCCTTTGTTCCCTAAATTTTGACCTTTAATGTATAAGCATTTGGGTCCTTTATGTGTCTTGTGTATACCTCCTACTTTGTAACTGGGATTTCCATCCTTTCTATCACTCTCTACTTCATTATGTTTTTCTTTTTTTATATTTATTCTTTCTCTTTACTCCTTATCTCATGTGATTAGTTATCTAGTGGTTTTTGCTTGGAAATAGGTTCTATAGGTCATGAAGATTGCCCCCTCCCCCCTCAATTTTGGTCTAAAGCCCTTTTGATAAGATAAGCCAGTCGTTTCCTGAATATATTGTTTCCAGTTCTTGTGAGGTGCAGTTCATCTCTTGCCAGTAGCCCTTGATCTAGGTAATGCAGACCATGGTCTAGGAAGCTGAAGTTCTGTTGACGACACTAGTTTTTTTTTTAAAAAAAATAATTTTTATTACCATTTTGCTTTATACAACTCTAATACTCATTCAGCAGACTGTCATTTTTGTATACTTTGGATCAATGTTCTATACAATATATACACTATATACATTCAATATCTAACTCACAATAGCCTTATATATATTTCCAATTTTTGTTTCTATTATCTATCCATGTATACCATTTTTCCCAGACCGTGTAAAATTCCGAGTCATCTTTTTCTTTTAGTTCTAGAGCAGTGGTTCTTAACCTTTTTAATGCCGCGACCCCGAACCGGTCGTAAGTCGAGGACTACTCAACCGGTCGTAAGTCGAGGACTACTCAACTGGTGCAGCACCGTTTGCAGAATGGGACTTTTTGGCGGGCTCAGCAGAGCAGAGACAGCCTGGACTATTCCTATTGGCTTTTGAAAGCCAATAGAATTAGACTCTATTCAAGAGAGTCTATTCTATAGGCTTTCAAAAGCCAACAGAATAAAAGGGAGTAGCACAGCTAAGGAAAAGGGGGCAAAAAAAATGGCAGACTGCATTGTTTGGCGACCCCCGTGAAATGGTCGTTCGACCCCAAATGGGGTCCCGACCCACAGGTTGAGAACCACTGTTCTAGAGTGAGTTTA